CAGGTATAAATATAAGGTATAAATATTTTTAAAAAGGTATAAATATCTGGACTAAAACTATAAAAATTGAGGCCTTGAGGCCTCAGTTAGCTACAAGTAGAAAAGAGAGAATTTATTCTAAGCAAATGCAGAAATGTCTTTGCTATCTTAAAAAAAAAAAAAATTAGATTCATTTATTTTATGGAGTCTTTCTTCACTCACATTGAAAGCAGAGTATTATAGAGTGTTACTCTAAATTTGAGAGGTCAAAGTTTGTTTTTGAGTCTCTATTGTTTTAGGATTGTGCTGTCTTTTGTGGAGAGGGTCATAGAAATTCTTGGATGATGTGACAATGGCTGATAATGCAGAAGAGGCTGGAGTGGAGACAAGAGATAACTGAGAAGGCTTTTGCAAGAGGCGGGCCTGGCCAGTGTAGGATCAGAAGAGAAAGAACGGAGGGCAACTGGAGAGAAAATAGAGCCTCAGAGGAGCTTAGCCCATATATATTTTTTAATTTTTAAATTTTTTTGAGATGAAATTTCGCTCTTGTCACCCAGGCTGGAGTGCAATGCCGCGATCTCAGGTCACTGCAACCTCTGCCTCCCGGGTTCAAGCGATTCTCCTGCCTCAGCCTCTTGAGTAACTGGGATTACAGGTGTCCACCACCACACCCAGCTAATTTTTGTATTTTTAGTAGAGACGGGTTTTCGCCCTGATGGTAAGGCTGGTCTTAAACTCCTGACCTCAGGTGATCCACCTGTCTTGGCCTCCCATAGCGCTGGGACTATAGGCGTGAGACACCATGCCTGGCCAGCCCATGTTCTTTTGGTGAGTGTTTGCTTTTCTCTTTGCTTGTCCTTATATCCTTCCTCCAAAATCCATGAAGTGTTAGGGACCAGCTATTATGCAAAACATCTTACTTAGAACACTCTTAGGAATGTGTTAACAAAGGCCACCTCCTTGAAGTAAATGGGGAAATTGCTTCCTTTCGTGTGTTCTAGCTTGTCTCTTCATAACTCACTTGGCACAAGGAATCAAAGAAGAATGGCTGTCTTCATCCTTCCTTGGGGGAAGAACTTGGCAGACAATGCTGGTATGGACAGGCAATAATTAAATTGCCACGGATAATGTCTAATGTAATTGAGACTAAGAACTTGTGCACATGTGCCCCAGACAAAGCACTGTCTCACACAGAGAATCCTCTGAGCCTTTGAACCCTTTCTCCACCATATTATGAGAAGCAGTATCTTTACAGTAGAAAACATTTTAAATAGCTAAGAGTGGAAAATGCGTTGTAAGAAAGAAAAAGAGAGACTCTTTCTGCCTAGCAGTTTTGAAAGGCAAAAACTGATAGGCTTAATTACTGACTTCTTTTTCCAACTTTGAAGAAAATAACTGGAAACATTTTATATAGGATTTTGAAGGGGAAAAGCAGGGTTTTTACCTTTGCTTATTAAAAATAGTATCTTTAAAAGCTTCTTTTTTATGTTTTACTACAGACTGGTGGATGAGGAAGAGGCAATTAAGAAAATACTCAAAGCAGTAAATGTAGATAGTTTTAGAATTTTAAACATGCTTTGCTTTCTTTGTTTTGTAAGATCGGTGGTGTTAAGAGAGCATATTGTAAGCTGGGCACGGTGGCTCAAGCCTGTAATCCCAGCACTTTGGGAGGCCGAGGCGGGTGGATCACGAGGTCAAGAGATCGAGACCATCCTGGTCAACATGGTGAAACCCCGTCTCTACTAAAAATATTTTAAAAAAATTAGCTGGGCATGGTGGCGTGTGCCTGTAATCCCAGCTACTCAGGAGGCTGAGGCAGGAGAATTGCCTGAACCCAGGAGGCGGAGGTTGCGGTGAGCCGAGATCGCACCATTGCACTGCAGCCTGGGTAACAAGAGCGAAACTTCGTCTCAAACAAACAAACAAACAAAAAGTACATTGGTTCCAAGAGAGGCAGGACAACTTGAAGTAGGAAGAGGTGGCAGGAGAGGGACTTCCATACTGTAATCACAGAGAAATGGATTCTTCATCTCTTTCCTTTGTGTTGCTAGAGGACTTTGAACTACTGTTAGGGTTTTATCACACTCTGCTAATCTTTGTTTTGTTCATTACCCCCTACTTTATACCTAGGGCTCTTCCCTAATCATTTATTCTTTGTTAAGGAGTTTTCAGCCTTTGTTTGGATGTTTTCAGCCTGTTTCTAGTCGATACTTGGGTCTAGGCATCTCTGTCCTTGGGATCATCATAGAAGAACATCACTGGAGAACATTGTACGGCTGTCAGCATCTCTCTGTGTGTGTGTGTGTTGTTTTTTGGGTTTTGTTGTTTGTTTTACAGAAACAAGATCTCACTGTGTTGCCCAGGCTGGTCTCAAACTCCCAGGCTCAAGTGATCCTCTTGCCTCTGGCTCCCAAAGTGCTGGGATTACAGATGTGAGCCACCATGCCCAGCCAGTGTGCTTTATTTTTATAGCAGATAAGAAGAATGTTTTCTAATAATTTCAAAGTATATCATTAACTAACTATATTATGACTTTAAACTATAAAGAAGAAAGAAATGGATTCATACTGTAAGTGGATTGAGTGGAATTCTGTGGGATTTTATTTAACTAACTTATCTCAAAAGAGATACACAAAAGACTTTTCTCTGAACACTACCTAAAGTAACACCCTTCCCCTGTATAGGCAAGATTACCGTATTTATTTTTCTTCTTGCAGTTTTCATTATCAAAAATTATCTTATGTGTGTATATATTATATATAATATATAATAGGATATGTAAAAATATATACCGTATATGTTATATCATAACATATATGATATGTATGTTATATCATATGTTATATCATAGCATATAGGGTATATATTTACTTAATATGTAACATATATTTTTATAATATACATCCAAAATACTCATTATTATATATATTATATTATTAATATTTTTATATATAATATAAACTTATTTATATATGAACTGTCTTTCCTTGTCTAGAATGTTAGATCCTTGAGGGCAGGAAGTTTATAACCAGCACATAGTGGATGCTCAGTGACTTAAAACAAAATTAATACAGGCCAGATGTGTTGGCTCACGCCTCTATTCCCAGCACTTTGGGAGGCTGAGGCAGGCAGATCACCTGAGGTTGGGAGTTTGCGACCAGCATGACCAACATGGAGAAACCCCATCTCTACTAAAAATACTAAATTAGCCAAGTGTGGTAGCACATGCCTTTAATCCCAGCTACTTGGGAGACAGACAGGAGAATCGCTTGAACCCAGGAGGTGAAGGTTGTGGTGAGCCAAGGTCATGCCATTGCACTCCAGCCTGGACAACAGGAGGGAAACTTTGTCTCATAAAAAAAAAAAAAAAAAAAAAAAAAAATTAAAAGGAAGTAATCAATCATTTAGATCAGGGATATTCAATCGTTTGGCTTCCCTGAATGATACTGGAAGAAGAATTGTCTTGGGCGACACATGAGATATACTAACACGAATGATAGCTGATGAGCTGAAAAACAAAAATTGCAAAAAAATATGATAATGATTTAAGAACGTTTACGAAGTTGTGTTGCGCTGCGTTCAAAGCCGCGCAGGGCCGCAGTTTGGACAAGCATGATTTAGAAGGTTGTGATGGCTTAGATATAAAGTGATTGATTATTAAAATGATTGAAAAATAGGTGATTGGTTAGTTGTAAGGTAATTTGCTTTGGTTACAGTAAGTTACTAGTGAAACCAAGATTAACAGTTTCGTATGTGAATGGTCTTGCAATTGTCTGGGGAAATGGGAACTTTAAAATAATATTTTAAATTTTATTTTCTAGTGTTCCTCATCTCTGAAATTATAATTATTTCTCTATTCATAATTCACTCATTTAGTACATTTGCTAGAATGCCTACTTATACCAGCTATATACTAGGGACACACAAATTAACAAGCTTTCTGTCCTGTAAGGGCCTGCCAGCTAAGTGGGGAGGCAGATGAGCCAGTGTCACCCAGGGTTCTCCTTGCTATCATGGGACCAAATTCTGGGCACTGAAGGTGGGACCACTAACCTGAAGTTAAAGTTTCAAGGTAGACACATGTAAGTTGAGACTGAAGAAGTCACAATTACCAGTTGGCAGAAGGTGTAGTGTGAGTCAGAAAAGGATAGGGGTGGGGGTAGGTTTGGAGGAAGAGAGCGAAAGAGGAAATAACATATTGGGAGGATCTGGAGCCTCAGAGAGAAATGGATGTGACTTTGCATGGAAGGAACATAGATTGTTGGGGTGGAGACTGGTGTGAAATGCAGCTGGGAATGTGCGTAAAAGTCAAGATACGGAAGGATCGTGTGTGATCCACTGTGGCTGGAGGGCAGTGAAACTCACTGGAGGGCTTTAAACCCAGAAGGGGCATGGCTAGAGTTTTGGGGTACATGGATGATTTGATATGTGTGTGATTTATGACCCACTGTTCACCCTATGATCACCAGCTTCCACAGTTGGAAGAGGGGAGGGTGTAGAAATGGCTTGAGACAAAGCCATCCCTATTAATGTATTTTTTAAAAATCCTTGGATTCATGCAGCTGACTGTATGACACGATTGATTAAATAACACCTTATAAAGAATCAGGCCAGGCACAGTGGCTCACACCTGTAATCCCAGCACTTTGGGAGACTAAGGCAGGCAGATCACTTGTGGTCAGGAGTTCGAGACCAGCCAACATGATAAAACCCCGTCTCTACTAAAAATGCAAAAAGTAGCTGGGCGTGGTGGCCCGCACATGGAGTCCCAGCTGTTCGTGAGGTTGAGGCAGGAGAATCACTTGAACCTGGGAGGTGGGGGTTGCAGTGAGCTGAGATCGTGTCACTGCACTCTAGCCTGGGCAACAGAGCAAGATTCCATCTCAAAAAAAGAATCAGCCAAAAGATGTTCCCTCTCCTCTGTCTGACATTCCTGTTCAAAACAAACAAATAAACAAAGGAGGTTCCCATCATCTCTCACACCTTTTTTTAAGAATCTTTTCTCCATCTTGTTTTCTCAGAACAACAAGCTCACCCTCTTCCGCCAACTGCAGCAGATGACGTACAGCCTGATCGAGTGGCGGTCCCAGATCCTGTCTGGGACGCTTCCCAAGGATGAACTGGCCGAGCTCAAGAAGAAAGTCACAGCCAAAATTGATCATGGGAACCGGTAGGTAAAGCAGGGATGTCTTTTCACTGAAAACTTGGCAAACAGGGGGCCCGTTCACGCTGATGACACTATTTGCAGTAGACTTTTGATCTTAGAGTTGCCAAAGAATAATGCTTACTGCTCTCATTTTGTCTTTGAAGACATTTAATTTTGTTGAAAAAAATGTCACAGTCCCCTCCATGGCCAGGCCCTGTGTTGAATCTCTGATCCCATGGAGGTGACAGATGACCAGAAAAGACGGGGCTTGGATTGAAGCTGCTCTACTCCAAATAAAGAAAACGAAAACAAATAACCTGTCTGGGCACAGTGGCTCACACCTGTAATCCTAGTACTTTGCTAGGATTTTGCTTGAGTATCGCTTGAGCCCAGTATTTTGAGACCAGCCTGGGCCACATAGTGAGGCCCCATCTCTAAAATAAATATTTGAAAATTAAGTGGGTCTGGTCATGCACACCTGTTGTCTCGCCTACTCGGGAGGCTAAGGTGGGAGGATCACTTGAGCCTCGAAGTTCAAGGCTTCAGTGAGCTATGATTGCACCCCAGCACTCCAGCCTGAGCAACAGAGTGAGACCCTGTCTCAAAAACTAAACTAAACTAAACTAAACTAAACTAAAAACACTGAAAATGGCCAAGCATCTGAAGTTGACGTTTTCAGATACTTGGGACTGTATCTATTTTTATTCTAACAGTGGATTTTAAATCAATACCAGACTCATTCTCTTTCTTTCTCTTTATCTCCCCCTGACTAAGACCGTTGTTTACCGTGTATGAAGAGCAGGCTTGCAGGAGTGGTATAACATGTTTGTAGCCTGTGGATCGTGTCTGCAATCACCTCTACAGAGTTAATCACTTCATTATCTTCTGATTAGCTCAGGCCTATATGTAGGCTCCGGATACTACCACCTTTAGGAAAACGAGAAATTCAGTCATTTTTCCAAAGGGATGGTGGCCTCGGATTTTTGCCTCCTGACCAGCTATTTTTTAAAAGGCAGAAGTGGTTCCTTCATTAGTTGTTATTGGTGATTCTTTGGGAATTTAGTTTCGTTATCTACGTTTCTTCAATACATTTTCCTTCCTACATTTCTTTTTCCTTCTCCTCTATCCTACATTTCCAATCTCAGAATTCTTGGCTATCCCTCAGAGACCTATTAAAATGCAGATTATTATCCCACTTATTTAAATGTCATAGACTCTGACAACTGTATTCTGAAATAACTGAAGTGAAATTGACATGCAAGATTCAGATTCAACTAGTATTTAGGAAACACCTTCTATGTGCCCCCTTTCATATCCATTACTTGATTATAATCTTAAAACATAGGGTTGGGATTACTGTTATTATTTCCATTTTATGGATAAAGAAACAGACCAAGTGAGTTTAAGTGATTTACTTTCTAGTCACATAGATAATAAATGGGAAAGGTTAAATTTGAACCCCATACTTTTGACTCCATGTCTAATGCTATAATAAATGGGAAAGGTTAAATTTGAACCCCATACTTTTGACTCCATGTCTAATGCTGCCTTCTTAGGGTTAAGAATTAACAGTTCCAGGGGCTGGACACAGTGGCTCACAAATGTAATCCCAGAACTTTGGGAGGCCGAAGTGGGCGGATCACAAGGTCAGGCGTTCAAGACTAGCCTGACCAATATGGTGAAACCCCATCTCTACTAAAAATACAAAAAAAAAAAAAAAAAAAAAAAATTGGCCAGGTGTGGTGGTGCTAGCCTTTAGTTCCAGCTACTTGGGAGGCTGAGGCAGAAGAATCACTTGAGCCCGGGAGGCAGAGGTTGCAGTGAGCCAAAATTGCACTATTGCACCCCAGCCTGGGCAACAGAGCGAGACTCTGTCTCAAAAAAAAAAAAAAAAAAAAGAGAGAGAAAGAATGAACAGTTTCCTCACCTACCACTTGACCACCCAGAAGACCATACCAACAGTGGCTACACTGCCGCTGTGTCAGAGGACTTACTGAATGGGCAATTAGACTGGGTGAGGTTGCTTATGCCTGTAATCCCAGCAGTCTGGGAGGCTGAGGTGGGCACATCACCAGAGGTCAGGAGTTTGAGACCAAGTTAGCCAGCATGATGAAACCCCATCTCTTCTAAAAATACAAAAATTAGCCAGGCATGGTGGCATACGCCTGTAATCCCAGCTACTCAGGAGGCTGAGGCACAGGAATGGCTTGAACCTGGGAGGTGGAGGTTGCAGTGAGATTGTGCCACTGCACTCCATTCTGGTGACAGAGTGAGACTCTGTCTCAAATAAATAAATAAATGAAATAAATAAATAAATAAATGAAATAAATAAATGAAAGGCCAATTAAGTGGGATAAGGCAGTTCCCCACTGTGCATAGGACACCTCTGTCATTTGATGTCTTGCCATGACATTGGCCTGGAAGTTACATGATCTCTGGCACAGGATGTTTACACCCCATAAATGGCAGAACATGCCTGCCTTCCCATTCCAGCTCTTGAAAGTAGCTCAGGAAATGGAGCTTCTATGTCAGTGCCTTCCTGATCCAGTCTCTGAGCAGCCAGCATGAGTCTGGGTGGCCTGTGGGTCTGGCCGCCATGAAAAGGAACCTGCCAGATCAAATCAGTTGACGGAGTTGCTGTAAAACAGGGAAGAGGGAAAGGAGGCATTTTTGCTTTCTTCCCAAAGACTTGGTGTATTTCAGGCTTATTGCTGAGCGGTCTTGCTGTTTGGTGCCTGGAATGCATGCTGGGTATTCGGATAGCACTATCCTGTTTCCACCACAGTCCTCAACTTCTTGAGCCTAAGCAAATTTTTTCTACTTCTGTGTACACATTGGCACAAAAGCCTTGAGGAAAGGGGTTGCACCCACAATATGGCCCTTTCTGTTCCCAAGCACATGCAGAGCTACAACTTCACACACAGCCAGGTGTTTGCTTCTACCAGTTGCTACAATAAGAGCTGTATTAGTCCATTCTCACACTGCTATAAAGAAGTACCTGAGACTGGTTAATTTGTAAGAAAAGAGGTTTAACTGGCTGATGGTTCTACAGGCTGTACAGACAGCATAGCAGCTTCTGCTTCTGGGGAGGCCTCAGGGAACTTATAGTCAGGGAAGCAGGCATGTCTTACATGGCTAGAGCAGGAGCAAGAGAGAAAGAGGTGGGATGGGCTACAGAATTTTAAATAACCAGGTCTCGTGAGAACTGTGTCATGAGAACAGTACCAAAGGGATGGTGTTAAACCATTCATAAAGGATCCACCCCCATGATCCAGTCACCTCCCATCAGGCTCTGCTTCCGGCATTGGGGATTATAATTGAATGTGAGATTTGGGTGGGGACACAGATCCAAACCATTTCAAGAGCTAACATTGGTGCTTAAACTGAGAGCTTACTGTATGCTAAATATTGTTTTAGGTGCTTTACATTCATTATCTCATTAAATTCTCATAACAGGGCCAGGTGCGATGGTTTATGCCTATAATCCCAGCACTTTGAAAGGCCAAGGTGGGAGGCTCACTTGAAGCCAGGAGTTCCAGACTAGCCTGGACAACATAGCAAGACCCCCATCTCTACAATTTTTTTTTAAATTAGCTGAGCATGGTGATGTATTCCTGTAGTCCCAGCTACTTGAAAAGCTAAGAGAAGGGGGATTGCTTGAGCCTAGGAATTTAAGGTTGCCTCTAAAAAAAAAAGTAAAAAATAAAACAAATTCCTTACCTTGAAGAATAAGGAATATATACAGATAAAGAAACCAAAGTTTTGCAGAATTAAGTAAATTCTCCAAGGTCATAGCGGTGGCAAGTACTCAAGCCAAGATTCAAATCCTGGTCTAAATGACACCAGAGCCCATGCTCTGGGCGTGAGATAGCAACAAGCCAGGACTTACTTCACTTATCTTCTTTATGACCACCTTGAATTAAGTAAGGAAATGAAGGCAAACCCTCAAATGATTATTCATTGGTCTTTCAGAGCAATGTAATAAACAGTGAGGCCACACCTACTTGGTCTGTTTCTTTACTCATGAAATGGAAATAGTAACAGTTACCTCCACCCTACCTCATGGTGTTAAAATCAATCAACGTATGTGAAATGTATATAGGAGGTATGTATGTATGTATGTATGTGTCTATTGTTTCAGACAGGGTCTTACTTTCTTCGAAGGCCGGAGTGCAGTGGTGCAATCTTGGCTCATTGCAGCCTCAACTTCCTGGGCTCAAGCAATCCTCACACTTCAGCCCCACAAGTAGTTGGGACTACAGGCATGTGTCACCATACCTGGCTAATTTTTGTATTTTAGCAGAGACGGGATTTCACCATATTGCCCAGGCTGGTCTTGAACTCCTGGTCTCAAGTGATCCACCCGCCTCGGCCTCCGAAAGTGCTGGGGTTACAGATGTGAGCTATGGTGCCTGGACAAAGGAGATGTTTATTAAACACAGGTTGAATCTGAGTTTTGTGTGCTATATTTACTTCATTTCATAGTGCCTCTTTATAGTAACAGAAGATTACACGTAAGAAGCATTAGTCAGAGGAATTTAGTCAGAATTAGTGTCGATTTTACTTTTCCCTTGAGGGTCTCTGGCCCATAGTTGCATATCCTTCTACGACTTTGGCTAACGTCATCTGATGAGTTTTCTGACGGTGCTATGTGGAAAGGTGGCGTAAACTGAAATGAGAAAGGTCAGTAAAGTTGTGCTTCCCTGGGCTTGTCCGGCACCTCCCTTTCTAGCTATGGATCCTCTGGGCTCCTTGATGAGGATTCTTCAGTAAAAAGTCTGCCCCTGGTGAGGAGAACCAGCTGACTGCTCCTTTCTCTCCAGAATGCTGGGGTTAGACCTGGTGGTGCGAGATGACAATGGGAACATCCTAGACCCCGACGACACCAGCACCATTGCCCTCTTCAAGGCCCATGAGGTGGCCTCCAAAAGGATTGAGGAAAAGATCCAAGAAGAGAAGGTAGAGTTCCCCACACGTGAAATTCTGCCCCATTTTTGCATTGGGTTTTAATGAAAGACGGCAGAATCATTGACAAGAAAACTACTTCTGGAGTTTTGTCCTCATTTTTAAAGGGAAGCATAGCAGAAAGGATGAGGCAGGTACATGTATGTTCTGATATGGAAAGATTGTAAAGATACATAGTAAGTGAATAGATGAGGATGCAGAATGGTGTATATAAAATGCTATTATTAATGTTTAAAAAAAGTATATAAATCTATGCCTGCATATATATAGACTAATTCTGAAATAAGAGACAAGAAATAAATAATTATTAATGGATACCACTGGGAAGGAAAACTGGGTGGGAGGAAGACTTTTTAAAATATGTAATCTCTTGCACTCATTGCATATATTGCAATTTCCAAAATAAATAATTTTTTTTTTTATTTACATATTCATTTTTGAGACGGAGTCTTGCTACACCCAGGCTGGAGTGCAGTGGCACGATATCAGCTTACTACAACCTCCGCCTCCTGGGTTCAAGCAGTTCTCCTACCTCAGCCTCCCAAGTAGCTGGGACTACAGGCGCCTGCCACCACACCTGGCTAATTTTTATATTTTAAGTAGAGACTGGGTTTCACAATATTGGTCAGGCTGCTCTGGAACTGCTGACCTCAAGTGGTCCACTCGCCTTGGCCTCCTGAAGTTCTGGGATAACAGGCGTGGTCCACTGTACCCAGACTAAAATAAATAATATTTTTAAATAAAGTGTTTGAAAGACTTCAAAAGTAATAATTGGACATTAAAGAAAAATTAGAATCCAGGCATGATGGGGCTTGCCTATAATCCTAGCCCTTAGGGAGGCTGAGGTGGGAGAATCATTTGAGGCCAGGAGTTCAAGACCAACTGGGCAACATAGCAAGATCCCATTAGAAAAAAAAAATTTTTTTTTAATTAGCTGGGCATGGTGGTGCATTACTATAGTCCTAGCTTCCCAGGAGGCTGAGGCAGGAGGATTGCTTGAAGCCAGAAATTTGAGGCTGTAGTGAACTATGATCATACCACTGCACTCCAGCCTGGGCAACAAAGCAAGACTCTGTGCCTCTTAAAAACCAACAACAGCAAAAACCCTGTTATTCATATTTTGATTTCTCATACCCAGACATAGTGACATTTTGGTATGTGTTTTTCTCCCAGTCTTTCTGTTCTAATGAGTAAAAGATTTGTGTCAGTTTCTTGGGTTTGTTGGTTTGTGGTGTTTACTTCTTTTGCACGGTCATAATAATATCTGTGTTCTGAATCCAGGCCTCAATGGCAAACCACGCCTGAAGGTAAAGCCGTTCCAGTGGAATGGTTTGTTTTGAATGAGAGTTACTTCTGTGTCCAGGATAGTAGATCTTGTTTTTGCTTTTGAGCTTCATTCAGAAGCTACTGTATAAGACAAGCACTTCTGGGAGCTACCAAATCTCTGGAATTACCCGCTTTAGACAGCGTTTTCTGAATGGCTTGAGTGCAAGGCCCTGAATAGGACAGTCGTGATTACTAAAATTATAATGGTTACATTTTGCTCACTGCATTTGTCTACTTACATGCACTTTTTCTCAGCAAATACACTTCCTCTTAGGTGTTATTTGACTGTGTTTTTTTCCTTGTTATTTATTGATTAATCAAGGGATTGATTGAGACAGGGTCTCACTTTGTTGCCCAGGATGGAGTTTAGTGACTCCATCATAGCTAACTCACTGTAGCCTCCTGGGCTCCCAGTTAGCTGGGGCTACAGGCACAGCTAATTATTTTTTTAAGTTTTTGTAGAGACAGAGGCTTGCTGTGTTGCCCAGGCTGGTCTCAAACTCCTGGGCATCCAAGAGCACTGGGATTACAGGAATGAGCCACTGTGCCCAGCCTTTGTGTGCCATTTGCAGGCAATATATATATTATTTATTTATTTTTATTTTTTATATATTTATATATTATATATGTATTTATATATATATATATATATATATATATATATTTTTTTTTTTTTTTTTTTTGCCAACATTTTCCGTTTCCTGAAACCAAGGTGTTTTTTTCTGTTCCCTCTTCAGTCAATCCTGCAGAACCTTGACTTGAGGGGCCAGTCCATCTTCAGTACTATCCACACTTACGGCCTCTATGTGAACTTCAAGAACTTCGTCTGCAACATCGGGGAAGATGCAGAGTTGTTTATGGCCCTCTATGACCCAGACCAGTCCACTTTTATCAGGTAGCAGAGACCCAGATCCCAGCTGTTGACCTGACAAAGATACCCAGACTTCCCCTGATTCCCACCTGGGCAGCTCTTTACCAGATTGGAGAAGAGAAAATAGGGAAGCAGGGAAGATTTCTAAGTAGTAGGATGTAAAATCCTTTGGGCCAAGAAGCCTTCATATGTCACTACTGGCACAATGTGGCCAGTGTGTCTACCCCCAGGGGTTTAGAGATCACATAAATCTCATCAGGACTTGGAGATACAAAGAATTCAAACGGCTGCATGGGAGGGTGAGAGAGGGATGAACAGGCAGAGCACAGAGGGTTTGTAGAGCAATGGCACTATTCTGTATGACGCTATAGTGGTGGATGCGTGTCATTATGAATTTGACTCAATGCACAGAATGCGCAACACCAAGAGGGAACCCTTATGTAAACTGTGGACTTCGGGTAAATGATGAGTCAATGCAGCTTCATCAGTTTGAACTAATGTTACCGCTCTGGTCAAGGGAATGTTGATAGCAAAGGAGGTTGTGTTTGAGGGGAGAGAATATGTTATGGGACTCTATTTTCAGGTCAACTTTTCTGCAGAGCCACAACTGCTCTAAGAAAATAATGTCTATTCAAAAAAACATTTTTTTAAAAGACTGTAAGAAATGGGAATTGTTCAGCCCTAGAGGAGTACTACTAGCAGCTAAGAAAATGGAGAATTTATTTTTGAGAAGATAGTTAAAAGTAATTGCTGACAATTTATTTCAAAAAATAATTTTTAAATGTCATAATATGGTTTACAGGGGATAGATTTGGAATGACTGTTACAAAATTAAATTCTTATTTATTTATTTTTTATTTTTTGAGACAGAGTTTCGCTCTTGTTACCCAAGCTGGAGTGCAATGGCGCAATCTCGGCTCACTGCAAACTCTGCCTCCTGGGTTGGCGATTCTCCTGCCTCAGCCTCCCGAGTAGCTATGATTATAGGCACCCGCCACCACACCCAACCAATTTTTGTATTTTTAGTAGAGACAGGGTTTCTCCATGTTGGCCAGGTTGATCTTGAACTCCTGACCTCAGGTGATCCACCTGCCTCAGCCTCCCAAAGTGCTGGGTTTACAGGCATAAGCCCCCCATGCCAGTCTAAAATTAAATTCCTAATTCAGCAAAGCTGAAACTTTTATTCAAAGATTTTGAGATGGAAAGACGACCCAGACAGTAGCATCCCATAAGCTCTACGGTGTCTTTGCCCATCGGGAGCAGGGCATGTCCTGTACCTGTATGGGGCGTGCCTTCCTGAGCCACAGCAAGGACATTTCTCTAATGCTGGGATACCAACAGTGGTCATCTGTGTGGGCTGAGTTCCTAACTCAGTTGTCTTCACACTGGCCTGTTGAATTTCACTGAGCATTTCTGGCCCTTCCTCCTTCCCTTGTAAGTCTATACTAAGGGCAGCCTCACCTCCAGCCCCAGGTAGCCTCTCATTAAGAGTAATTTTTTTTTTTTCCTTTGCCAGTGAGAACTATCTGATTCGTTGGGGCAGTAACGGGATGCCCAAGGAAATAGAGAAGCTCAATAACCTCCAAGCAGTGTTTACTGTAAGTCCTTCCTCTGTTCAGTCATTCTCTTTGTTTATGGCATGAGCAGATTCACATAATGAATATGTGGAAAACATACAAAATGAAAAGATGAAAAAATCATCAATCCCCCTAGAAGGAATAATCCACCCATTTATTTAACATGTACTTACTGAGCACCTGTTAGATGCCACACACTGATTTAGACACTTGAGCCACATCCATGAAAAATCAGGAAAAAAAAGCAGCTTTTGTCCTGATGGGTAAGACAGACAATAAACAATAATCAATCCAGGCATAGGGGCTCACGCCTTTAATCCTAGCTCTTTGGAGGGCTGAGGTGGGAGGATCACTTGAGCCCAGGAGTTGGAGACTAGTCTGGGCAACATGGTCAAACTAAGTACAAAAAGAAAAAATGACCTTAAAGTAAAGTACAAGAGGATTGATGCTGGCAGTTCGGATATGCCAAAGACAAGCACCAAGTGCTTCCTTTAAGTGAAAAGATAAACCTTTATAATCATGTATGTATAGGAAAAAACAGCACATAATAGGGTTTGGCCCTGTCTTTGGTTTCCGGTATCCACTGGGGGAATATATTCAGAACATATTCATCACAGATAAGGGGAGACTGCTCTATGAATATGCCACAATTATAGTGTAACCATTCGCCTGGAGTCTTTATTTTTCTATTCACAGAAGCCTTGCAGAACCTAGAGCAGAAATGCAGGGTGGATGTTATCATTGATGTATATTCCTATCTTGGAGACCTGAGTTAACTACATGACAGGGGCTGGATTTGGAATGAGTATTTTAAAAGTGATTCTTGCTTCAGTAAAGAGGCCTCGGGCAACTGTTTCATATAACCAATTTGAGATGTGATTAATTTTTTTCTGAAGCTGAGTTGAATGAAAGATATCAGCTCATTCCTGGGTTTACTCACTCATCCTTAAGAATACAAGTAATGGCCGGGCACTGTGGCTCATGTCTAATGCCAGCACTTTGGGAGGCCACAGTGGGTGGATCCCTTGAACCCAGACGTTGAAGGCCAGCCTGGATAACATAGGGAGACCTTGTCTGTATAAAAAGAAAAAAAAAAGTGATGCAAACAAATGTAGAGCCCTAGCTACAAGAGAAATGGATATTTCATCGACACATCTGTCAGGATTCTGTGTACATGGATAAGCTTTCGATGGAGACCTCTTATAAATCAGGTGAATAATCCCATAAAGCAGTGCCTGTCTTATAGTTGCCTCACGGGCTTGTTTTGAAGAGGAAATGAAATGTCACAGACGTGTGCGGATACCAGTAAATGTCAGTGTCACACAGGTTTTTATTTCATTTGAAGCTGAAGTGCATCTTATGCTGAGATTCGTCCAGGAAGGATGTGCAGTCACGATGATGAGGGCCCTGGTTTTTCAGTACCCTCCTTAACCTCATGATCTAGAGACTTCCAATGGACTTGATCTAATTTGTAAATTTGGAGTAGTAACTGGGGAACAAAAAGTCCCTTGTTTACAAGCACAAAGTCATGTTCTCTGAAGCCATAATAGCTCTTGGAGGGAGATGGGGAAGAAAAGAGTCTTTCTGGTATTTCGGCATTGAGAAATAAGGTCTGAACAGTATTTCGTTGCAGAGGGTAAAGATAAGAGAGACGCGGGTGACAGAGTGGCCCACCCGCACCTCCTCTTGCACTTTCTCTGCCCCTTTAGGACCTCAGCAGCATGGACCTCATCCGGCCCCGTGTCAGCCTCGTGTGCCAGATTGTCCGCGTTGGCCACATGGAGCTGAAGGAAGGCAAGAAGCACACCTGCGGACTCCGAAGACCTTTTGGAGTGGCAGGTATGAGAGAGACCTAGAGACAAATGTGAAATAGTGCAGCCCTGTGGAGACCAGTATGGCGATTGCTCAAAAAATGAAACGTGGAACTAGCAAATGATCCAGCAGCCCCACTTCAAAAGAATCAAAAGCAAGGTCTGGAGGAGATATTTGTACATCCAAGTTTGTAGCAGTCTTATTCACAAATAGGGAAAAGGTGGAAGTAACCCAGGTGTCCATCAATGCATAAATGGGCAAAGAAAATGTGGTGTGTATGTACAATGGAATAATACTCACCTTAAACAGGAAGGGAGTTCTGACACATGCTACATACAGGGTGGATGAACCTAAAGGACTTTACGCTAAGTAAATAAGCCAGACACAATAGGACAAATATTGTATTATCACACTTACATGAGGCACCTAGAGTAGTCACATTCATAGAGACAGCACAGAACAATGAGTGCCATGGACTGGAGATGGGGAATGGGAGTTAGTGTTCAATGGGTGTGGAGTTTCCATCTGGGAAGATGAAGATGAAAAGGTTCTAGAGATGGACGGTGCAGATGTTTGCACAACAATGTGAATGCTTTTAATACCACTGAACTGTATACTTTACAATAGGCTAGATGGTAAATTTTATGTTATGTGTGTTTTGCTACAATTTTGAATATAGAGAGAGGGAGGTAAGGAGGAAGAAGGGCAGGAAGAAATAGTAAGAGATGAATCACGTTGTCGTCCTCAGTATCAGGCGATGCCTGGCACTGCCAGTTTTTTTGGCATGGGTTGTGTGTCCTCACCTGGCCCACAGTCTTTGCTTTCTCCTGTAGTGACCAACGCTGTGTCTTATACACAGTAGAGCCTTAGTTGTGGCTGTCAGAATCCTCCCTGTCTCCATCTGCTGAAGTCTGTGGTTTTAGGGGGATGAAATACTCTCTGGGAAGTGTTTTGCCTGTCTAGGAAATTTACTCTTTCAAGACAATATTGTGTTTGTTTCTGAATTCTTTCCAAGAGGCTTCTTGGCTTACATCAAACCCCAGAACCTGCCTCTATAATTTGTTCAGTTGAAGAAATGCATTTTGGGCCTTACATTGACATTTTGGTTGCTCATAGATCGAAAACGATCAAGGAAATGTAATTCTGCTTCTGCACCCTTGTTCCAGACTTACTAAAAAGTAACCTGCTGTTAAATTTCTCAGGAACTTAGCAACTCAGGCTAAGTTTGTTTGGCTCGTGCTTGTAATCCCAGCACTTCGAGAGGCTGAGGCGTGTGGATCACCTGAGGTCAGGAGTTTAAGACCAGCCTGGCTAACACAGTTGAAACCCTGTCTATACTACAAAAAATACAAAAGTTAGCTGAGCATGGTGGCATGCACCTGTAGTAGTCCCGGCTTCTTGGGAGGCTGAGGCAGGAGAATTGCTTGAACGGGGGACATAGAGGTTGCAGTGAGCCAGTATCACGCCACTGCACTCCAACCTGGGCAAAAGAGCAAGACTCCATCTCAAAAAAAAAAAAAGGAATTTAGCAACTTGATCTTGTAGAGTTTGAAAGTGGGTAGTCTGCAAAATTGATCCAGTAAAACCCAGACCCTCAGCATCTCATGAGTTGCTCTTTTGCTGGGCTGGGTACACTGGGAATCATCATTGGTAAAGAAATTTTTTTAAAAAGTCCCTGCTTGTTACCTTTCTTCCTCTAGCATTTTATGTTCGCTTATACTGTCCTTTTCCATAGTGACTTACTGAGGCATGAAGCAATTAGTTTCTTTAATGAAGTTTATCTTTTTCCTAGTGATGGATATTACTGATATCATACATGGGAAGGTGGATGATGAAGAAAAGCAGCATTTTATTCCCTTTCAGCAGTAAGTACTTTGGCATGTATCCCAGGTGACTTGAGACCTGGATTAGCCATTCAGTCATGTGTTAACACAGAAACAGGTGCTAGAAACCATTTTCTGAGAGAAGGAACTATTCCAAGCTGAAAGATTGTCAGATAGGAGCTGGACAGAAGACTTTATTCAAAGTCCTTGATGTTGGACTCCCATGGAAGAGGGTAAACTGAGCTTTCCTGATTCTATAGAGAGGACCAAAGGAATATGAAAAGGGCAAATATCCGTCTGCCCTGGAATGCGGAGAGTGGTACTGTCTTTGCATCAGAAATGCTGAAGTGTCTGTGGAGTCGATTGCATGAAACAGGCACCGTGGAATACTTGGAATCACGTGGGGTAGCACAGGGCTTCTCAGACTGTGTCATGTATGTGAATTGGGGGAGCTTGTTAGGCTTCAGGGGAATTCTGCCTCTGACAAGCTCCCAGGTGATGTGGATGCAGCTGGTCTGAGGGCCACACTGTCTGTAGCAAGGACTGAGGAAATGAGAGAGTGAGGGGCTGACCCACCCATGGGCCAGTGTTCCTGCATGTCGGGGGAAAGCCAGCCAGGGAGTGTGTGAAGGGATCCCTGCAGAGCTTTACTGAGGCTCTCCATAGTGAGCTGCAGGAGCTGGACCCATGGGTAGGCCACTGGGTAGCTATTGGGAGCAAGACTTGTCACTCTGAAGAAGTGCAGATGTGAATGTCGTGACCTGTTCCAGCACCTGCACAGGCGGTAAATGCCTAGCAAAGGCCGAGAGCACTGCCGGGACCAGCTCTCACCAGGGGCCATCGTGCTAGTCAGAGGGCGTCAACTCCGCTCACTTGCAGCTGCCACAGCAGACAAGTAGAACAAACTGAGAACTCCAGAAACAGGCCAGAATCATGTATTTGAGTTAATATATCATTTTTTACAAATGATATCACAAATTAGTGGAGAGAGATACCTTATGCCAAAAAAAAAAAGTGCCGCGCGCAGTGGCCCACGCCTGTAATCCCAGCACTTTGGGAGGCTGAGGCGGGTGGATCACGAGGTCAAGAGATCGAGACCATCCTGGTCAACATGGTGAAACCCTGTCTCTACTAAAAGTACAAAAAATTAGCTGGGCATGGTGGTGTGTGCCTGTAATCTCAGCTACTCAGGAGGCTGAGGCAGGAGAATTGCTTGAACCCAGGAGGCAGAGGTTGCGGTGAGCTGAGATTGCGCCATTGCACTCCAGCCTGGGTAACGAGTGAAACTCCGTCTCAAAAAAAAAAAAAGTGTTTGAAGAACATTAGCTACCTATTTAAGATCCCTAAGTTAAATTCCAGTCTCATAACTTAATGCCAATCTAAATTTTGGATGATTAAACATATAACTGTAAGAGCTAGAATCTTAAAATATTAACAAGAAAATAGAAGTTTTATATGCCGGTAATGGGAGGGAGGCCATTTTCAAGATTCAACCAGAAAAGAAAAATTGATAGGTTTAACCATCCAAAAATTGTAAAGAACTTATACATAGAAAAAAATCAGTGCAATCTTTGCAATGTGTATGAGAAAGGATGAGTAGTTGTAATATGTGGAGAATTAATAGAAATCAATAGGGACCTAAAGGGGAATACAAACACACACACACACACACACACACACACACACACACACACACACACACACAGAAATGGTGCTGTACATTTATTGAGGATGAGTGAAATGCAAATTGAAACATCAAGGTTTAGTTTTGATCTTGATCAAGTTTTAGTATTTGGTTAGATATAAGGAGACATACATTACTTACAGGAATATAAATTGTAACAATGCATTAACAGCCTTTAAATTTAGATATTTCAAAAAATATACTCCATGATTAACAGTGGTTATTTCTGTTGGTGTAACTCTTGGTGATTTTGCTCCTGTTTCTGTTTTCCTGTTGTCTATTTTTATACAAAGTATTATGTGTAATATATAAAACATAAAAATATTACTCTTTCAATGTGAAATCTATACCTTTGGACCAGTTTCTAAGCATAATAGTGTGGATAGCTCACGCTAACTAGTACTTCTCTCTTTAATCCAGAGGCTGCTATGGATTATTTTTAAAATATGGCCTTTGCACTCCATCCTGGGTGACAGAGCCATACCCTGCCTCAGATAAAATAAAATATGAAGTAAAAATAGGTAAAATAATTTAGAGAATAAAATGCACTTACCATGTGTGCTACCACCTATATATTGACCTTCCAAAATGAGACAAATGTTTTCTGTAGCACAGTGCTAATATTAAATATGTGATGACTTTCATCTCCATGAATGCTGCTCGTTTTGTTTTGTGTATAATATAAAACACTGTATGCACACACCTATATAAATATGTATTGTATAATATATAAATATGTTTAAATAAGTATATTTAATAAATATGTTAAATTTAACACAAAGTTAATATAATTAAATTTATAAATATATTAAATATAATACGTTACATAAAGTACAGTCATGCATCACTTAATGGCAGGAATACATTCTGAGAAACATGTCACTAGGCCGTCTTGTCACTGTGTAAACATCATAGAGTACACTTAGACAAACCCGGAATGGATGGGCTGCTACACACCTAGGCTGTATGGTATAGCCTTTTGCTCCTAGACTATAAACCTGTCCAGCATGCTACTGTACTGAATACTGCAGGCAATTGTAACACAATGGTATTTGTGTCTTCAAACATATTTAAACATAGAAAAGATAGTGAGTTGTGCTGAGATGTTAAAACAACTGTAACATCACTAGGCAATAGGAATGTTTCACCTCCATTATAATCCTTTTATTTTGATATGGGATTTCTCTCTTGTTGTCCAGGCTGGAGTGCTGTGGCGTGATCTCTGCCCACTGCAACCTCGCCTCCCGGGTTCAAGCGATTCTCTGCCTCAGCCTCCTGAGTAGCTGAGATTACAGGCACGCGCCACCACATCTGTCTAATTTTTGTATTTTTAATAGAGACAGGGTTTCACCATGTTGGTCAGGCTGGTGTCGAACTCCTGATCTCAGGTGATCCACTTGCCTCGACCTCCCAAAGTGCTGGGATTACAGGTGTCAGCTACTGTGCCTGACCAGCTCCGTTATAGTCTTATGGGACCTAGCCATTTATGCAGTCTGTCATTAACTGAAACATTGTTAGGCATATGACTGTATATTGAATAAACATAAATAAATATAATAATATAAATGTTGTACCACATATATATAATAGTACTATAAATGTGTTACGTTTGCATTTAAGATTATATGTATGTGTATATGTAGGTAAAAGGAGTTGCATTCATGGATTTGAAAGGTGTCCGAAACAGTCATGTGTATATTTGCTGGTGGTGATGTGCTTCCTGTTTAATTTCTGAACCAGCTTTCCTCCAGCAACTATATCCCAGTACTTAGTCCTGAGATTGTCCTCACCATATAATCTGCACTTTGAGTCCCTGACGAACCCCCACTCTAATGTTATTACCGCTCACTGTGCAGCCAACAGCCACAATGAAGTATTGACTGTGCAGACTGCAGCCTCTGGCAGTGAATGCCTAAGATTTATGGCAAGTTCTGCCATAACCTACTTCAAAAACTTTACAGTGTTTTCCAGTAGGAGAGTTTTGTATGTGTATCCTGCAAGTCCGTTTATCAAAAGTCATGTGTAAAAAACAGGAACTCAAGACTAGGAAATCCCATTTGCCAGTCACATATGGCAGTGTGTCTTATTGTCAGGGTACAGGGAACCCTGCAGAGAAAATTGGCCTACATACAGTGGAGAGAGAAGTCAGGAGACTGTTGTCCTTCACCAGGCTGATGTGCAGTTGCTGATAGTGCTTCTGCCCTCAGTAGAATGGGGCTGTGTTTGCTGCTTTGATCACCCTTTACGAGCCGCAGTCTGATAGGATTCCTCAAGTAGAGGTTGTTTGGCAGCACCCATGCCAAGATCTAGCTTGTCATCACATGGAAACCTGAGAACCTCTACCACACACCAGGCGTACACACTGCGCTCGTACATGGAGGGGCTGACACTAGACAGGAGCCTTAACAGGCAGGCGATCTCAGCCCATCTCTTACAGGTGAAGAAACTGAGGCCCAAAGGGCGATTCTTGCAGAGCTCACTCAAGTAGAAGTAGACCTGGAGGCCAGGGCTCCTGCCCTTTCTATGGGTGGTCTGTCTTTAATTCTATTGCAGCAGCCTCTTCTGCTTCTGAAAAAGCCTGGAGCATTGCCTCTGATTTTAGTTGTTAACCTTTGATCACCAGTTTTGTGTAGTCTTGGTTTTTTTTTTCTCTCTCTGTCATTTCCGAGGTGAATTTAGTATTTAAGATAGCCCGTCAATGGAAAAATAAAGGAAGGATAGCAAGATAGGTGTAGTTAGTGTTGATATTTCCAAATCATTCTCATACGACTCACCATTATCTGAGGTTGTGCTGCAGAGACTTCCTTTCTTCCCCTCCCACCTTACCTCTTATTTCTCTTTCCCAAGAATTGCGATGGAAACCTACATCCGCCAGAGGCAGATCATCATGTCGCCCTTGATAACATCACACGTGATTGGGGAGAATGAGCCACTCACTTCAGTCTTGAATAAAGTGATTGCAGCAAAGGAAGTGAATCACAAAGGGCAAGGTATACAGTCCAGTGCCGGAGCTGGGAGGGACTCTGCTGAGGGTGGGGGACATTCACAGCTGGGTCTTTGGACTCCTGCCCTTTATTATCTTTCTTCGATATGAAACAGCCTCCGCTGGGGACCATCCTCCTCAGCTTCCTACCACAGGCTTTAAATACTGAACTGACTTGAGATGCACCCAGCAGTGACTTTGATCACAGTTGTATTTTATAAATTCTGTGGAACAAAGTTTTATCCCATGAGTCTTTTCTTTTTGAGATGGTCTCATGCTGTCACCCAGGCTGGAGTACAATTGCATGATCTTGGCTCACAGCAGCCTCCACTTCCTGGGTTCAAGCAGTCCTCCTACCTCAGCCTCCCAAGTAGCTGGGACTACAGGCATGCACCACCATGCTTAGCTAATTTTTAATTTTTTCGGTAGAGATGGGGTCTCACTATATTGCCCAGGCTCTTCTCAACTTCTGGCCTCAAGTGATCCTCCCATCCTGGCCTCCCAAATGCCTGGAATTATAGGCATGAGCCACCACTTCTGGCCTCCACATTTTTGTCTAATCTTCATTCCCAATGCTGACCCTAGTTAATAATTATACTCTAGTCTGATCCCATCACATTTTTTAAAATCGAGGGAAGGAAACCAAAGTAATGTAAATGAATATGTATTAATATAGAATAATGCAAAAATTATAGTTTTTAGCACCTCCTTAACATGTTCTATTGATGGAGTGTTTTAACCAAGAGAAGTTCTGCTTATTGAAATTGCATTTTGAATCAAAACAGTTTTAAGATTCAAATACCAAGATGGTGGCCATATTTGTATAACGTCTAAGATTGAATACTTTGATTTTCCTTAATATTTTATAAATCTTTCACCTTCTACTGAAGATTTCCGTGGAGAGGAACCACTCTGAGCTTTAACCAGTTTTTTAAGGCCTTGTGTTTGCAGAGGTTATAAAATTAGTTTTAAAAAATTAAGCAGTGTTGCTTTCTGGGGTTTGTTGTCTTACGCCAATAAAATGAAGGACGCGGACACACAGAGTGAGTTTAGGAGTGGAGGTTTAATAGGCAAAAGAAAGAGAAAGGAGAACAGTTCTCTCTCTCTCATGAGAGATAGGGGCTTTTGGATTTTATAGGCAGGCTTGAGAAGGTGTGTCTGATTTATGTAGGGCCCACAGATTGGTTGGACCAGGTATGACATGTATACAGCACGCAAGGAAGGCTGGTCACCGCACCCTAATCTTACAGAAATGGGCTTTCCATCTGGCTGGCGCCATGTTATGTGCTTCTTACTGCACACTTGGCTGGCAAAGAGAAGGGAAAATGGAGCCTCCATATTGGACATGTCTAGCTCCAGGTAGCCTTTTCCTATTGGCTGGCATTTACCCATGCAGACTTCCAGCTTGCTTGTCTGTGTCTGCAGCCTGATTTTGCAGGAAAAGAAAATTATTCAGGGGCTGCTTTTCATTAAAAAGGAAAACCTTACTGAGGATTTCTTTACCCTCACTATCTGCCTAAATAATTTCTTAACTCCTGTATCAAAAATAAGTAGAGACTGAATCAGCCTGTATGTATCAAAAATACATAGAGACTCAATGACTTTTTTTTCACTACCCTATTACTGTCTTCCAAAATGGAAGCAATCAGAAAACACATGATTTTCATTATATTTAGTTTCTGATGTATTTGAAATTATCCTGTGTAGGAAAGGCAAGCAAGGAATCAATAAATAATCTGAAAACAAGTAACTAAATTTTTTAAAAATTTTTTATTTTTTTGAGATGGAGTCTCACTCTGTCTCCTAGGCTGGAGTGCAGTGTCTCAATCCTGGCTCACTGTAACCTCCACCTCCTGGGCTCAAGTGATTCGTCTACCTCAGCCTCCCAAGTAGCTGGGATTGCAGGCGCCTGCCACCACACCTGGCTAATTTTTGTATTTTCAGCAGAGACAGGGTTTTAGTATGTTAGCCAGGCTGGTCTCAAACTCCTGACCTGAAGTGATATGCTTGCCTCAGCCTCCCAAAGTGCTGAGATTACAGGTGTGAGCCACAGCACGCACCCTATTTATGTTTTTTAGAGCTCTTAACTAAGTATTACTTCAGTTGCAGTGGAAAACACTTATACTAAACAGATTACCATCTATGGATAATTTATTTAACAAAACTGAAAAAGAAAAGTCATTTCCCTTCTTGCTGCCTAACAACAAAACAAGCACTTTTCATTCTTTTTTCTTTCTTTTTTTCTAAGTACTATACTTCATGCCAAACAAGCACTTTTCAAATGTTTTTATGTTCTTCATGAGTATTTTTATGACTGCAGAGTATTCCAGTGTTTAGATTTAAGAAAAGGGACTCTCCTAGATAAACACTTACATGCTTCTTAATTTGTCATCATTACAAATATAAAAAACTCTGCTCTATCTTTTTTTTTTTTTTTTTTGAGACGGAGTTTCGCTCTTGTTACCCAGGCTGGAGTGCAATGGCGTGATCTCAGCTCACCGCAACCTCCGCCTCCTGGATTCTGGCTATTCTCCTGCCTCAGCCTCCTGAGGAGCTGGGATTACAGGCACGTGTCACCATGCCCAGCTAATTTTTTGTATTTTCAGTAGAGACAGGGTTTCACCATGTTGACCAGGATGGTCTCAATCTCTTGACCTTGTGATCCACCCGCCTCGGCCTCCCAAAGTTCTGGGATTACAGGCATGAGCCACCACGCCCGGCCCTCTGACTATATTTATACATGAAGTCTTTTCCATGTTTGAGACTATCTCCCCAAGAAAATTCCCGGAATTTGGATTTGTGGGTCACATGCTGGGAACAAGCCTACACCTGGAGAGATAGATATGCCAAATCACTTGCCATGGATTTCTGTTGTGTTCCAGTGTTTATCTTACTGTACTCTTGGTATGTTGTGAACTGATTTTTAAAAATCATTAGGGCTGGGTATGATGGCTCACACCTGTAATCCCAACACTTTGGGAGGCTGAGGGAGGCAGATTGCTTGAGGTTAGGAGTTCGAGACCAGCCTGGCCAACACGGTGAAACTCCATCTTTACTAAAAAAAGAAAAATACAAAAATTAGCTGGTGTGATGGCACACACTTGCAATCCCAGCTACTGTGGAGGCTGAGGCATGAGAATTGCTTAAACTCTGTAGGCAGAGGTTGCATTGAGCTGAGATGGTGCCACCACACTCCAGCCTGGGCAACAGAGTAAGACTCTCAGTGAAAAAAAAAAAAAAAGAAAGAAAGAAAGGAAAATGGTTTCTTCTTTTCTTCTCAGAGTTTTAATAACTATGTACTTTTTTTCTTTTAATGTTCTGCCTCTTTTTTCTGTTTAATTCATTATTAGGAATTTATTTTAATGATAATACAAGATGATAAATTAAATTTTCTTAAGTAACAAGAAAATAATCCCAGAATACTCATGTAATGATTGGATTTTTTTCATGATTTGTTATGCCTCTTTTGCCATATATTAAATTGCTGTGTATTATAGTATTTCATTGTTTTATGTATATATCATATTTACCACTAGTATCACAAATTATTGTAGCTTTACAGTATATTCTGGTATCTGGTAGGGGTTTCTTTATCATCTCTTCCCCTAAATTTAGCATCTGTTCACATCTCCGTCATATTTTCAAAAGGTCCTGTTGTGGAAGTGTGATTAAAATTACAAGTCAACTGGGGGAGAATTTACATCTTTATAGTAAGGTAGCTGGTTGTGACTCTACAACTCAGATGTTCTTTTCACCAGTTATGCATGTGTTACTTAGATTATGTAGAGAACTAAAAGTTTGTCTTTTATTTCTTTAAAGGACTTTGGGTATCCTTGAAGCTATTGCCAGGTGACCTCAGACAGGTTCAGAAGAATTTTTCACATTTGGTTGATAGATCAACAGCAATCGCCCGGAAGATGGGCTTTCCTGAAATCATACTACCAGGTAAGCACTTTGCATGACTCACCTGTTTTGCTTCCTCCTGTACAGCCATTACTTCTTTTCTTTTCTGGAGCCTTGCTCTGTTGCCCAGGCTGGAGTGCAGTGGCATGCTCTCGGCTCACTGTAACCTCCAGCTCCTAGTTTCAGGCAGTTCTCTCTGCCTCAGCCTCCTGAGTAGCTGGGATTACAGGCACCCACCACTACACCTGGCTAATTTTTTTTGTATTTTTAGTAGAGACAGGAGTATTTTTACCATGTTGCCAGGCTGGTCTCAATCTCTTGACCTTGTGGTCCGCCTGCCTCGCCTCCCAAAGTGCTTGGATTTCAGGCGTGAACCACTACACCCAGCCTATAATGCTTTTAAGCATAACTCAGATTTTCTTACTCTCTCTTTTACACAGACTCTGAAATAGCACAGCCTGCTCTGTTCAGGAGACTAATTGGCCTCACTTGTGTGTCCCTTTTCTCGTTATGATGTTCCCAGCATGCGGGTGTCTTGCTCTCACCATTCTCTGAAGTTCCAAAAGCTCTCTGGCTCTCCCTTTATTGTCGTGATGAGAATGTCAGCTTTTTGCTGTTTCATCTTCTTTCTGGTGATCTGCATATGTGTGTGTTCTCTTGAATTCACTGACTTCACCCATTTAATTTTAATCTCCATACCAAGAAAAGAATAAATCTCTCAAGGAACTTTATACATATTGCCATAACCTAATTGCTATTAATAGGAATTCTAGAAAAACAACCATGCCGTGTTAGAAAAATTCTAGAAAACCAACTTATCTACTGCACAGAAATTTAGGTTATTTTAGGCCAGGCACGATGACTCATACCTGTAATTCCAGCTCTTTGGGAGGGCAAGGGAGGCATATCACTTGAGGTCAAGACTTCAAGACCATCCTGGCCAGCTTGGTGACCCTGTCTCTATTAAAAATACAAAAATTAGCTGGGTGTGGTGGCGGGCACCTGTAATCCCAGCTACTCAGGAGGCTGAGGCATGAGAACCGCTTGAACCCAGGAGGCAGAGGTTGCAGTGAGCTATGATTGCGCCACTGCACTCCAGCCTGGATGGCAGAGCAACACTGTCTCAAAAAAGAAAGAAAGAAAGAAAGAAAGAAATGAGGTTATTTTTAAGTAATACAAGATCTTGTTTTTCCTTTGAGAAATTAAGGGCACTGATAACTTGCAGCCACCCACATTGTTGCATGTAGTAGGTTTTAAATGAATATTTGCGGAATGAATGAGTAAAAAAGTTTTAAAATGGAGATTACTCTTTTTTCTTTTTCTTTTTTTTGAGACGGAATTTCGCTCTTGTTACCCAGGCTGGAGTGCAATGGCGCGATCTCGACTCACCACAACATCCGCCTCCCGGGTTCAGGCAATTCTCCTGCCTCAGCCTCCTGAGTAGCTGGGATTACAGGCACGCGCCACCATGCCCAGCTAATTTTTTGTATTTTTAGTAGAGACGGGGTTTCACCATGTTGACCAGGATGGTCTCAATCTCTTGACCTTGTGATCCACCCGCCTCGGCCTCTTGGGATTACAGGCTTGAGCCACCGCGCCTGGCCTCTTTTTTCTTTTTCTTATAGAAGAAGAAAGTTTTTTGCTCATTTTGACCATTACTTAGCTATTTCACCCTGATACGCAGTCATCAACATTCTGGGAAAATGTTTTATCTTCTTATTGTTAAGGGTGAAAAAAAACTTTTAGTAATATTCTCTACCTGAAGGTGGTTTCACTGCTACAAGACATGAATCTAAAAAAATTAAGTAGAGAAAGTTTATTCTTTGATCACGGTGACAACAGGGTTGGCTTCTCTTGAGGCCTTTAAGTAAGGTGAGTGTGCCTCTGAAATCTGGTTTCTAAAAGAATATTAAGGTTTTTTGTTTGTTTTGTTTTTAGTCAATAGGATTGGTTTATAGAAGGCCAAGGGCAAATTAGGTTTTAAAATTCATCTAGAATATGGCCAGGCAAGGTGGCATACATCTATAATCCCAGCACTTTGGGAGGCCGAGACAGGCGGATCGAGACAGGCGGATCGAGATGGCCAGCATAGTGAAACTTCGTGTCTTCTAAAATACAAAAACTAACTGGGTGTGGTGGGGTGCACCTGTAGTCCTAGGTACTTGGGAGGCTGAGGCAGGAGAATTGCTTGAACCCATTAGGCGGAGGTTACAGTGAGCCGAGATTGCACTGCTGCACTCCAGCCTGGCACCTGGAGACAGAGCGAGACTCTGTCTCAAAAAAAAATAAAGAACCCAGGTGTGGTGGCTCACGCCTGTAATCCCAGCACTTTGGGAGGTCAAGGTGGGTGGATCATGAGGTCAAGAGATCGAGACTATTCTGGTCAACATGGTGAAACCCCGTCTCTACTAAAAATACAAAAATTAGCTGGGCATGGTGGCGCATGCCTGTAGTCCCAGCTACTTGGGAGGCTGAGGCAGGAGAATTGCCTGAACCCAGGAGGTGGAGGTTGCAGTGAGCCGAGATCGTGCCATTGCACTCCAGCCTGGGTAACAAGAGCGCAACTCCGTCTCAAAAAAAAAAAAGAAAAGAAAAGAAAAGAAAAAATTAGCCAGATTTGATGGCAGGCACCTGTAATCCCAGCTATTTGGGAGGCTGAAGCAGGAGGATCACCTGAACCTAGGAGGCAGAGTTTGCAGTGAGCTTAGATTGTGCCACTGTACTCCAGCCTGGGCAACAAAGTAAGACTTGTCTCAAAAAAGAAAAAAAAAATTCATCTAGAACAATGGTTCCCAGTGCTAATCTTTGGATCAGCTAATCAGGATCTTCTTGAACATGCAGATTCCCAGATTTCTAGAGACCAATTCAGAGGTCCCAAGGTGATCTGGTGGTGAGTCAGGTCTGAGAAATTCGGGTCCAGGCCCAACTCCCTCGGCTCGGAACTCCTTCCTGTTGTCCCATCACCCTGGGACCTGGTTCCAGTTGCCTCCTAAACTCTTCCCTGTCCCCCTTTGCCCTCTAGCAAGGAGCTCCAGCTCCCTGTCCTCAGCATCACAGGAGTGATTCTGTCCCCTGTTCTCTGCTCTCACCTCTGCCGGGCCGCCTCCCGCCTCTCCAGAGTAGCTCTCGTGAGAGTCACCCATGATCATGGTATCACTATGTCTGATGGGCGTTTTCCAGCCTAGTGATCGGCTCTGACCTCTCAGCAGCATCTGACATTGTCAGAATATTTCCTTCCCTTCTCATTGGTGACCCCCTCACTTTCCTCTGTGTCTCCATTTCCCTTGGGGCCTCTGCAAGGACCCTTTAGCCACCTTCTCATATTCTGCTTGACCTCTAAATGTTGAAGTTCCTTGAATTTGGTCCTGAGACCCTGTGATAGTGTGCTTGGGCTGCCATAGCAAACACCACAAACCCGGGTGGTGTCAACAACGTTTATTTTCTCGCAAGAAAAGACAGGAGACTGGAAGTTCAAGATCAAGGTGACAGCAGAGTTGGCTTCTCCTGAGGCCTCTCTCCTTGGCTTGCAGATGGCCATCTTCTCCCTGTGTCTTCACTTGGTTGTCCCTCTGTGCATGTCTGTGTCTTAATCTCTTTGTATGATGACACTAGTCATATTGGATTAGGACCCACCTGTATGACCTCATTTTACCTTAATTCCTCTTTCAAAGGCTCTATCTCCAAATATGGTCATATTCTGCTTTACTAGGGGTTATGGCTTCAACATATGAATTTGGGGAGGCCACAGTTCAGCCCATAACAGCCCTCTTTCTTTCTCAGCTGTATTTTCTCCCTAGAGGTATCATCCACTCATTTGGCTTACATCTACCCATCACCTGCAAATCTGGAGCTTCAACACCAAGACCTCTTTATGAATTCTAGGGCCATATAGCCAGCTATTTCTTGCCTCAGGACTCCCCTCTCTTTTTTTTTTTGAGACAAGATATTGCTCTGTCACTTAGGCTGTAGTACAGTTGTATGATCATAGCTCACTGCAAGCCTCAGTCTCCTAGGTTCAAGCAGTCCTCCCACCTCAGCCTCCCAAGTAGCTGGGACTACAGGCATGAGTCACCACACCTGGCTAATTAAATGAATTAGTTTTGTAGAGACCAAGTTTCCTTATGTTGCCCAGGCTGATTTCAGGATTAAGCAATCCTCCTGCCTCTGCCTCCCAAAGATTACAGGCAATGAACCACAGCCCTTACTTGATTTAATTGGCTAATTCTTATTCAGCATCCCCATTTGGACCTCATAATTCTGTGCATCTAGGACTGAGGCACCTCTCTTGTGTTTTATCTAAGAGAACAGCACGTCCATTCATTTGTCCATCCATCCATCCACCCACCCACCCATCTACCTACCCATCCAGCTGTCTACCTATCTAACCTTTATTCATCCATTCATTCATTCATCCATCCATCCATCCGCCTACCCAACCCCTATCCACCCATCTATCCATCCACCTACCCAGCCTCTATCCATGTATCCATCCACCTACCCATCCACCTGTCCACCTATCTAAACTCTATCCATCCATTCATCTATCTGTCCATCCATCCATCCATCCATCCATCCATCCACTCATCCAATTACCCAACCCCTATCCACCCATCCACCCATCCACCCATCCATCCATCCATCCATCTATCTACACACCCATCCATCCCCCTTCCCATCCGTCCACCCACCCATCCATCCACTGCGCAAGCCAGAAAGTCACCCTTGATATCTCCCTTTCCTTTGCAACTCACATAAATTAGTGGATAAGACCTGTCAGCATTACTTTTGAAAGGACCCTCAAATCTATCCCCTTCTCTCCATCTGCATTGCTACTAGCCAATTTGGAGCTAGGATGGCCTCTTCCCTTGACAACTACCATAGCTTCCTACCTGATTTTCATGTTTCTACTCTTTCTTCGCTCATTTCCTCTTTTCCATATTGCATCCTGAATGTTCTATTGCGTAAGCACACTTGATCTTACCCCACTCCTTCCTCACTGAAAACATCTTACTGACTTTCGTTTATGCTTAGGGTATATATATAAATTCTTAATATCCCCATTGGCCTCAGTGGGAGCTGGTTTATTTCTGTCTCTCTAGCCTCATTTCACACCAGATGCCCCCTCACTGTGAGGATGTCAGTCAGGTTGTCTCCTACCTCTAGGCCTTTGCATAGGCTACTCTCCCGGACTCTGCTGCTAACAGCTGAAGGGAAAGATTCCCACACCGCGCAGATGAGGTCAGAACTTGGTGTTGTGCATTCACAGAGCCTGCCATGTGCCTCCATTGGTAATGGTGGGTTTACTCGTGCAGGTTGTTTGACTGGTGCTTCTCTCCGGCACTAGACTGTAATCTGAGTTGGGGCAAAGCTGGTGCATGGCTCACCATTGCCAACCAGACACCCAGCACATGCCTGCTGCAGAGTAGGAGTTCAAGCACTTTTTATAGTGAATATTACCTCCGTCATCTGATTGTACCATAATTTATTCAACTAATTCCCTGGGCTTGGAAATCAAGAATGTTTCCATGTTTCTGCTTTTATAAACACCACAATGAATATCCTTACAGATAAATTATTGCCTACATTTTTAATACTTTGAGACAAAAATTACCAGTGGAATTGCTGTATTAAGGCTTTTGACACATTTTCAACATCTCCGTCGACAAAGAGTGTGTCAAGTAATATTTTAAACTGTGCTGTGTGAATAAACCCCTTTTTCTTCATTCTCAGCAACTATAAGTGGAATCTTATTTTTTTCCAGTTGGGGAAATGATCAAAATGATCAGTGCTTTAAATATGCACTCCTGTTTTCTTATAATGTTAAAAGGTTTTGTTTTTAACATTGGGAGGCAGTTTAATACAGGGCAGGTGTTGGAGTCATTTTTTCAATACTTTTTTCATCTAGGAGTTTAATAAACTTTCCATTTATTCCAAGTTTCAGTTCTGTAGCTCAATAACATTTAATATTTTTATCCAATATATGAGCTATGCATTTATTAAATAATTTTTGTTTTTTTGGCTGGGTAACCAAAAAAAAAAAAAAAACACAAGCAGAAAGCAGACTTTCATTGATCAAAGCAAGTAAACCAATTTAAAGAAATATAACATACTCTAGGCCAGGCTTGGTGGCTCACACCTGTAATCCCAGCATTTTGGGAGGCTGAGGTGGACATATTGCTTGAGTCCAGGAGTTCGAGACTGGTCTGGGCAACATAGTTAGACTCCTTCTCTAAAAAAATTAGCCAGGCATAGTGGTGTGTGCCTGTAATCCCAGCTACTCAGGAGGCTGAGGTGAGAGGATCACTTGAACTCAAGAGGCCAAGGTTGCAGTGAGCAGAGATCATACCACTGTACTCCAGCCTGGGCAGCAGAACAAGATCATATGTCAAAAAAGAAAAGAAAAGAAAAGCATACTCTATAAGCTTTCAGAAAGAATATCTATCTCATCAGGTTGTTCCATAGATTAACAAGTTAATCGATAATTGATTACATTAATACATGTAAGATATTTTGACCAGTGCCTGACACAGCACATAATAAGCATTCAGTAGACAATAGCCTTCATTATTATCAGATGTTTTCAAAATATCACACTCTCCAAGGCACTATTGAAAAACCATCTACCAGGAGACTGAGGCAGGAGGCTTGCCTGAACCCAAGAGGCGGAGGTTGCAGTGAGCCGAGATTGCACCATTGCACTCCAGCCTGGGCAACAAGAGCGAAACTCCGTCTCAAAAAAAAAAAAAAAAAAGAAAAAGAAAAGAAAAACCATCTACCATATTGTTAGGTTACAACATCTACATATTGTAACCTAACAACATACAATATGTATTTATTATTAGACAGCAATTTTTAATAGAGAAAATTGCTACTGAAAAGTGTTACTTTTCTATAAAACTACAGTGCAAAGACATCTTGGTATGCGTGGAAAGGTAAAATGAGAGACGCCGAAGACGACCAATGCATGAAAGCCTTTTGTCCGACGAGTAGTTCATTATGAAACCAGACCACTTCATATTGTTTGTCTTATATGTCATACGACATACTGAAACTTAGAATGACTTCTCTCACCCGCACTCACAGCGTGCTTGTCATGTTACAGGAGATGTTCGGAATGACATTTATGTCACCCTGATCCATGGCGAGTTTGATAAAGGGAAGAAGAAAACGCCAAAGAATGTGGAGGTGACGATGTCTGTGCACGATGAGGAGGGCAGGCTCTTGGAGGTGCGTGGCATGGCCCAGAAATCCTGCTGCCCTCACGTCCATCTTTACAATCACGATTGGCTTTTGGTCTTATTTTTATTCTTTGCATCAGGATGGGTTTGTTTTTCCTAAGAAAAGAAATATAAAGCCTGTTAAATTTGTAATTAGCAATGAGCAGTTTCACTAATGAAACTATCTAGACTCTTATTTTTGTATTTCTCCTGTGCTAAGAAATAGTTCCAGCCACTAATGATTTTATGTGTAAGTTTCCAATGCAGAGGTTATTTATCGTTTTCAACTTACTTAGCCACTTTCAAGCTTGATCAGTTCCTCTAGGGCTTCAGCTAAGTGGCCTGGGTACTTGAATGGCATCACAAAGCACGTTTCCTTCCCTGAGTGAGCAGAACCAAAGGAGATATGCTCGTTAGAGACTGAAACCGGAAGAGCCCTTTGGTAGGCATTCGCTACCACTGCTCTTTAGTTTTAATGAGCAGGAAACTATAAGGAACTTTAAAAGGATGAGTTATTTTCTCTGAAAAACACAGAAGTTAGTGGCAGAGCTGGAAGAGTATCCAAATATCCTGAATTCCAGTCCAGAGTTCCTCCAGCTCTGGCAGATTTTCTTTTCTTTTTTTTCTCTTCTCTTCTTTTTCTTTTCTCGTCCTTTCCTTTCTCTTTCTTTTCCTTTCCTTTTCTTTTTCCTTCTCTTTTCTCTTACTTTTTTTTTTTTGAGACGGAGTTTTGTTCTTGTTACCCAGGCTGGAGTGCAGTGGCACAATCTCAGCTCACCGCAACCTCCGCCTCCTGAGTTCAGGCAGTTCTCCTGCCTCAGCCTCCCGAGTAGCTGGGATTACAGGCACTCGCCACCTGCCCAGCTAATTTTTGTATTTTTAGTAGAGATGGGGTTTCGCCATGTTGGTCAGGCTGGTCTTGAACTGCTGACCTCAGGGAATCTGCCTGCCTTGGCCTCCAAAGTGCTTGGATTGCAGCCATGAGCCACCACTCCCAGTCTCTTTTTTTTTTTTTTTTTTTAATTAAGAGAAGATATAAAGCAAGTATCTGCCAGATTTCTGCCCATATAAAGAAGAGTACTGATTCTGACGTCAAAGAGGATAGGCAGAAGGTGGTCACAGGAGGCTGCATGGCCTCTGCTGAACTCCAGCTCCTCTTGTATGAGCCATAGTTACCTGCTTTGGTAACCAAGGACCAAACTCTTGATCGATTTGACTCACTGAGTGTCCTGTTGCATAGTTGTTTGAGGCTACAGTGAAATACAATTTTATCACTTCCCATGGATGTTATAATCTAGTAGGGATGCAGACAGCCAGAAAATTTACTAAGTCAAGTTGTATTCTACATGAGAGGGATAAACTGAGTGCTGTGAGCCACTGTATGAGAATGTTTTATTTGTGCTGTTGATAAGAGTACATGAGCTCATTTCAAGTAGACACCTTCTCCTGGTTGGTCATTTTGTAGCTTTGCTAACTCGTTGGATAGTGCCCCACCAAGGCCTAGTTCTACTGAGCTAAGTGGTTCATGACCAAAACAAGATGCAGCCCTGAGTTTGAGTGAATATGCTGTTCCAGTGCCCCAAGTCCCTAAAACAGAAAGTAGACAGGAAAGATAAATGCTTTTCTGCAAATGGTGGCACGTCTGCATGTGTCACCTAATTTCTAGTCATTGTCATGTTCCCTGAGAGAGAAACGAGGAAAGAATCAGAGGACAATGCATGCCTGGGGAAGGAAGAGAAAATACAACTTATAGGAAAGAAGGATTTTCAGGTGCTGCTGGGTTCCTTAGCAGCTACCAGATTTATATTATAGACTCTTTTTTTTTTTTTTTTTGACACGGAGTTTCACTCTCGTTACCCAGGCCGGAGTGCAATGGTGCGATCTCGGCTCACCGCAACCTCTGCCTCCTGGGTTCAGGGAATTCTCCTGCCTCAGCCTCCTGAGTAGCTGGGATTACAGGCACGTGCCACCACGCCCAGCTAATTTTTTGTATTTTTAGTAGAGATGGGGTTTCACCACGTTGACCAGGATGGTCTCGATCTCTTGACCTCGTGATCCACCCGCCTCAGCCTCCCAAAGTGCTGGGATTACAGGCTATTATAGACTCTTGAATAAAGTGGTAGAAATTCGGTCTTCTCTATTCTTTTTTTTTTTTTTTTTTTTTTTTTTTGGAGACGGAGTCTCGCTCTGTCGCCCAGGCTGGAGTGCAGTGGCACGATCTTGGCTCACTGGTCACTGCAACCTTCACCTCCTGGGTTCCAGCAGTTCTCCTGCCTCAGCCTCCTGAGTAGCTGGGATTACAGGTGTGCACTACCACACCTGCTAATTGTGTGATTTTTTTTAGTAGAGGCAGGGTTTCACCGTGTTGGTCAGGCTGGTGTCAAACTCCTGAACTTGTGATCCACTTGCCTCAGCCTCCCAAAGTGCTCGGATTACAGATATGAGCCACCGCTCCCAGCCCAGTCTTCTCTATTCTTTATCCCCCAAATTTAATCAGCTGTTCAGTGCCAGTGTAGGGAATGTATGGACGTGTTAGGGGATAAGGGGCTTGTGTATGGTATATGGGATCCTCTTAGTTTTCTAAACAAAATTACTCCCTTCTAATTTTTGCTTTCTGTTTGAAGAAAGCAATTCACCCTGGTGCTGGATATGAAGGCATTTCAGAATACAAGTCCGTAGTCTATTACCAAGTCAAGCAGCCCTGTTGGTATGAGACTGTCAAGGTAAGAATGAGTCATTTGTAACCCCTATTATCCCTTAAACCTCAGTTAGATTCCTGTCTTCTGTTTACCCCCAAATTATTCCTACTTTATTTTGAAATTTTTAGATAAGTTGCCTATGGTGTACAGTAAGAAATAACTTGGTAATTATAATTCTGTATTAAGAGCATTTATTGTTAACAAACTCAGCATTCTTCAATAATGTTCTAATTCATGTATGAAAATTTGAAGAGCAAAGTTTGTGGTTGACGTGATAGATATGATAGACTGCCAAGATGGTGCAAAACCAAACGGAAATTTTCACACTGTGCAAACAGTTTCCTAACATTTTTTTTCTTCTTGGCCTCTCACCAAGTGTTCTGGGCCTCTTTTCAACTTCAATATGTGTATTACACATTCCAAAGTGCTTTTCAGATCAGTTATTCTCCTTTGAGCCCCACGGCAGCTCAGCACCTCGAACACGTAGGTCTTGTCATGGTGTCTTTCTGATTAGGTACTGAGATCCGAAGTTCAGTAACTTCCCAAGATCATAGAGCTAACTGATATCAGGGCCTGAACTAGAGCCCACTTCTAAATCCCAGGCTCCATCAGCAATTTCTGGTTGTTGAAGTCATATGAGTTCTTCATAGAAAATTTTTTAAAAATTGCGTTCATATATCTCAATTTAGAAGTAACCATTTTCAACAGTTTTATATAGTTCATATGTTTTGAATGATGCTGTTGATACAAATTTATATTGTGCTTTTTGAAACGACTTATCTCAAGGCATATAAATTCTTCAGATATGTATTTTTAGATACTTGCATGTTTCAGTATATAATCATGCCATAATTTAACTGCACACCACAAATCTCTGCTCGTTTCAGTGCCCTGAGGCTCTGTTTCTTCTCTCCCCTGTAGATATGTAAGCAACAGAAAGCTGCTTTATGGGCATTAATCATTACCTTTTCCTCCTCTATATAGAATAATTATGTCTTATAGATTTGATTATTACTATATTTATACACATCTTGCAGTCTGAAAGGTCTTCTATAGACCTCTGTGAAGTATTACTGTTTCACACTAATGAAAATGCTAGAAATTCATAGTATCTCCATGCTCAGAATCTGTGATAAGCAGCAAGATGATCAGAGATTCTTTTGATTTGAAAATAGCTTGGTCTTCTTTGAATCAAACCTCTATCAAGTCTCACTCTATAGTAATTTGTGCTGTGGAAAGTATAAAATTGAGCCTAATTCCATAAAATAAATCATGCCTGCAAAGTACCATGTATCTGTAAACTACCAATTTCTTACTGTGACACAGGTATCCATTGCTATAGAAGAGGTCACACGCTGTCATATAAGGTTTACTTTCCGACACAGGTCATCTCAGGAATGTAAGTATTAAGAGGTCTATTATATATTTCCACTTAAAAAAATTAGTTTTGCTTGACAGCCGTCTTGTGAATCTGGAGAACAAGGTATTTGGAAACTAGATACTTGGCAACTTTATTTCATAACTCACTGGTGCTAAGGAAGTCAGCATAATGGATTTTTCTGGGCTTGCAAGGTCTCTGTTATCACTCTATATTCGGACTTTCTTAAAATGTGTTTTGTGAACACTGATATTCTCAAAGACAACAGACCTCAATTTTTGGTACCAGGGACTGGTTTCGTGAAAAACAATTTTTCTAAGGACCAGGGGTGGGGATGGTTTCAGGATGACTCAAGCACATTACCTTTATTGTGTTCTTTATTATTACTACGTTGTAGTATGTAATGAAATAATTTGACAACTCTCCATACTGTAGAATCAGTGGGAGCCCTGAGCTTGTTTTCCTGCAACCAGACGGTCCCATCTGGGAGTAATGGGAGACAGTGACAGATCATCAGGTGTTAGATTTGCACAAGAAGTGTGTACCCTAGATCCTTTGCATGAGCAGGTCACAATGGGCACAATAGGATTCGGCTCCTGTGAAAATCTGATGCTGCTGCTGATTGGACAGGAGGCAGCGCTCAGGTGGTATTGTGAGCAGTGGGGAGCAGGGAGCAGCTGTAAACAGTTTTTTTTTTTTCTTTTTTTTTTTTTTTTTGAGACAGTCTGCCACCCAGGCTGGAGTACAGTGGCAGGATCTTGGCTCACTGCAACCTCTGCCTCCTGAGTTCAAGCAATTCTTCTTCCTCTGTCTCTCAAGTAGCTGGGACTACAGGCGCGCACCACCACACCCAGCTAAATTTGTGTTTTTTAGTAGAGGCAAGGGTTCACCATATTGGCAAGCCTGGTCTCGAAATCCTGACCTCATGATCTGCCCGCCTTGGCCTCCCAAAGTGCTGGGATTACAGGTTGGAGCCACCATGCCCGGCCATGAGCAGCTGTAAATACAGATGAAGTTTTGCTTGCTCTTCCACCACTTACCTCCTGCTGTGCAGCCCAGTTCCTAACAGGCTACAAACTGGTACGGGTTCGTGGCCTGGGGTTTGAGGTCCCCTGCTCCAAGATGCTACTAGATACTCTATAACAAAAACTATTTCACAATCAAATAGGTATAGGAGAGACTATATATACATTGTATCTCCCTCCTAGACATTCACAATGCATGTTGCCACATTGCAGCAGCAATAAAACTGTTTAGTCACTTGTCCTCCCAAATTTTCATTTTTCTCATGAAGAAACTCTTTTCACCAGGCATGGTGGCTCATGCCTGTAATCCCAGCACTTTGGTAGGCCAAGGCAGGCAGATCAAAAAGTCAGGAGATCAAGACTATCCTGGCTAACATGGTGAAACCCCATCTCTACTAAAAATACAAAAAAAAAAAAAAAATTAGCTAGGCATGGTAGCACGCACCTGTAGTCCTAGCTACTCAAGAGGCTGAGGCAGGAGAATCGCTTGAACCCAGGGGGAGGTTGCAGTGAGCCAAGATCGTGCCATTGCACTCCAGCCTGGGTGACAGAGCAAGATTCTGTCTCAAAAAACAAAACAAAAACAAAAAAACAATTTCAAATTTTAGGTCACAGTTCTTGAAATGGCTCCACTAAAGTGTGAGCAGAGAAGAAAATTGATTGTTTTCAGATTGATCACAAAATTTCTAGAAGCATCTTATTCTCATTTAGTGCTGCATAAAAATGTAACCCCTCCTTCCAAAAATGCATGTGTTGAACACCATGTACACAACAGGCTGCAGGTGAGGCCCTGGTATATGAGAGGCAGCTGGACACTGCCATGCAGACTCTCTGTGGTCTGGTTAGGAAGATGAATGAAAAAGTGAGTATGTACAGAATAGTGTGATATGTAGATTACAGGGGCAAAGACTTGTAATGGATGCGTAGTGCAGCTTTTACCTAGTCTGGGGGATTTAGGTGTATGACTTCCTGCATCTTAGCTGAGACATGAAGGTGGGTAGAAATTAGCCCAGTGAAGGGTGATTGGGGGAAATGTGTTTGGAAAACCTAAATGAGCTCAGAATGGCTAAAGCAGACCAGTGGAGCAATAATACTATCAGGTCGAATCATTTGAAATTGCCATTTTTTTTAGGTCTAAGTGGCCAAATCTCAGCCATTTCATATGGTTCTGCATAATACAGAACTAACAATTATTAAGGTCTTAGTTTGCATGAGATATTCTCTGAAGCTATGTTTGCACATGGTCTGTTTAGGATGCACAATAACATAATAAGGATAATAATATAATATATATAATTATTAAAATATTATATATATAATATATAATTTATATATAATATTTATATATATAATTTATATATATAATATTTATATATATAATTTATATATATAAATGCATAATTTAGGATGCACATAACAAAATAATTTATCTACATTTATACACAAAGAAACTAAGGCACAGAGAGATTAGGTACTTGCCTGTGGTCACAAGGTTAGCATATCAGCAAGCTGCTTTGGCACCCAGGCAATGTGATTCTAGCTAGGCTGGAGCCAGGCCATGAAGGCTGAACATGCTTTTCAGCCTTGTTAAGGAGGTGCAGTTCAAGGGTGGTTTCTGGTTTTGAGGTTTTGGGAGGGGTTGGTGTGTGTTCGTAACAGCTTTACTCATAATACTCCAACACTAGCATAGCCTCAATCCCCATCAATAGGAGAACGGATAAACACATTGAGGTATAATCATACAATGCCTGACTACTCCACCAGTGTGGGGACCCAAGAGTCACAGCAGACCACAGAACCGTGCCTGTGATAAGAACAGGTCACAGGTTGCCCCAGTCAGAGCCATCGAGGCAGGGGACCTCGTGAGTTCAGAAACTGGCCCTGAAGACCAAGAGAGGGTACTGCCTCCTCATTAAGCCACACCCTCTTCCCAGCTGCTACAGGGCATACAGATCTTCTTTCTGGCACTGGAACTGATATTCTGGGGAGGAAGGGGGAAGAAACCTTGGGCAGCACCATAAACCCTAGTGTATAATAAGTATCTTGCAGAGTCTGGGCAGGCATGATGGCTCATGCCTGTAATCTCAGCACTTTTAGGAGGCCAAGGTGGGTAGATCACAAGGTCAGAGTTTGAAACTAGCCTGGCCAACATGGTGAAACCCTGTCTCTCCTAAAAATACAAGCCTGGCATGGTAGCAGGGCACCTGTAATCCCAGCTACTCAGGAGGTTGAGGCAGAATTGCTTGAACCCAGGAGGCAGAGGTTGACCACGCCATTGCACTCCAGCCTGGGTGACAGAGAAAGACTGCATCTCAAGAAAAAAAAAAAATATATATATATATTATATATATTATATAATATATATAATAAATATTGCAGAGTCTGTTTTCGAGCAACAGAAATTGAGACCTTCCATTCAAGATTTTGAAGCAGGGTGGTTGACATGAATGGATTGGACTTTGGAAACCTCATTCCAGCATAGAGAATGCATTGGCTGGGAGAGCCCTGGAGACAGAGAGATGCATTGCAAAGGTTCTGAGGAAATAAAGAGAAGAGTTGAAGGTGGCCTGGACTCAGGAAGGGACAGCAAGATGGAGAAAGAAGAGACAGGCTCCAGAGCTATTTAGGACATGGAGGTGACATGGGGTGGAGCTTGTGTCAACACCCATGTTTCTGATTTGTCTGACTGGGCAGACACTAGTCTCATTTCTTAGGGAACATAGGAACAGGAGCGCATACTTGGGGGTGCCAGGCAGTTTCAGTGACACATGGTATATGGCTTATTGCAACCTGCTGAATTGTGCTTATTAGAATATGGTTGAATATCACAACCCTGAGCAAAATGTGGAATCAGCTGTCATAGCCACCGCCTCCTGGTGTCTTTCTGCACTGCCCAGACATGTCTTTCTGTGTTTTCAGCCAGAGATAAATCGGAACGAGCATTTGGGGTGGCCTTCGTGAAGCTGATGAACCCGGATGGCACCACTCTTCAGGATGGGAGGCACGATCTGGTGGTTTATAAGGTGGTGCTAACAGAAAATGACTGAGAAAAATATTTACTCCCTTTCAAATGGGCGTTTAAGGCTCCTTTTACATTTATTTACACAAACATCAGAAACCTTTCTAGAGCTACACGTACTTACCCATTAAAGTCTAGAAACCCAAAGGGCTCTGGGACCTCCAGCTGCGTGGTTTCCCATCTCCTTTCTGAAGAGAGTGAGTTGCATTATTACTAAGTCTTTTTTTCTTTCTTTTTTTTTTTTTTTTGAGACAGAGCCTCACTTTGTCACCCAGGCTGGATTGCAATGGCATAATCTTGGCTCACTGCAACCTCCACCTCCCAGGTTCAAGCGATTCTCCTTCCTAAACCTCCAGTAGCTGGGATTACAGGCCTGTGCCATCACACCTGGCCAATTTTTGTATTTTTAGTAAAGATGGGATTTCATCATGTTGGTCAGGCTGGTCTTGAACTCCTGACCTCATGATCTGCCCTTCTCAGCCTCCCAAAGTGCTGGGATTATAGGTGTGAGCCATCGTCTCCGGCCGCATTATTACTGGGTCTTCTGAGGAGGCTCTCACCCTCTCCTGTGAATGGTGTTCCCTAGCAGTGAACAGTAAGGGGCCGGCCTCTCACGATGTGCTCTCTTCATCATCCTGCCCGGCATGTGGACAGGGGCACTGTTGGGCTTCAGTAACAGTGGATGTGGTTTTCCTATCACCGTGAGCCATCCATGTACCGTCTCTCTGCTCTGGGGGTCTTGTTTCCTTCCCTCAGACTTTGTCTTTGCTGTCTTCCAGTTGGTGCTGAGCTCCCACTTCTACTGAGATTTTAGAGTATGAAGTAGTTGTTGGAAGATCTCATTTATCCAACAGTGTCTGGGGTTTTCCCCACAGTTAGCTGCTCTTTTGAGATGCATCTACCTAATGAATATTTTTCTTAACATCTTAGTTTATGAATTATTTTGGAAGGGATGGCAAGCTATTTCTTTTTCCGTCAACCCAGGCAAGTGTAATTGTCCCCATTTAGTGATTGAATAAAATAAAATTTAACCTTATTCTGTAATATATTTATTTACTCTAGCAGAGACTATCATATTCTGGTTTCTGATTTACAGTTTACTCTGTTTCCATTCAATCATGAAATTATTTCTGGGCTCAATGTCAGTAGAAAGATAGGTATCTCAGAGTTGGAAGGGATCTTCAGGATAACTTGATAAAGCCACGCTTCTCATGCTGGAAATGCATGATACAGTTGTTTTTATTTGCATATAAGAGATGTTGGCCATCCTTTGGTGTTCCTAACATGCTTCCTTTTTAGGGTGACAACAAGAAAATGGAAGATGCTAAATTCTACCTGACCCTGCCTGGGACCAAGATGGAGATGGAAGAAAAAGAGCTTCAAGCATCCAAAAACCTGGTTACCTTTACACCAAGCAAGGATAGCACTAAAGACAGCTTTCAGATAGCCACCCTCATCTGCTCCACAAAGCTCACCCAGAACGGTAGGAGTGGTGAATAGGTTGACACAAATGAGCTTCCTGCTGAGCCTTCCTGGGCTCCTTGGTTAGACTCACAGGGCTGGACCATATAGGGATGGGTCTTATTAGGTAGGATGTTGGCCAACTGGATTCTGTGCTCTGCTTTTCAGGTGATGTTCTGGGTAGTACTGATCACATTGCACAGCTTCTTCTGAAGTTTCACTGTCCGATTTAAAGCAGGATGAAAAATATCTTAAGCTGGGTACGGCGTGGCTCACACCTGTAATCTTAGCACTTTAGGAGGCTGAGGTGGGCAGATTGCCTGAGCTCAGGAGTTTGAGACCAGCCTGGGCAAAGTGGTGAAACCCCATCTCTACTAAAATACAAAAAAGTAGCTGGGCGTGGTAGCATGTGCTTGCACTTCCAGCTACTCAGAAAGCTGAAGGAGGAGAACTGCTTGAACCTGGGAGGTGGAGGTTGCAGTGAGCCAGGATCTCGCCACTGCACTCCAGCCTGGGGGACAGAACAAGACTCCATCTCAGGAAAAAAAAGAAAAGAGGAAAGGGAAGGGGAAGGGGAAAGGAAGGAAAAGAAGAAAGGAAAAGAGAAAGGAAGAAAAGAAAAAAAAAACAGTATATGATAAAACCTATAAATGTATTCATTAACAGCACCTGTAAAATTCAAAAGCCACATTCCCTGATAGTGCATTCTGTATAGTATGTGGAGAAAGAGATGGTGGTAATAAGGGGAGGAGCCTGGCAAAGAAATATGATCAGCCTCCTGTCCAAACAGGTATGGTAGGGCTTCCTGTTTGAGTTCTGTCTTTCCTTCGATTATTCTCCTCTTCCCAGTTTTTTTCCAGGCAGTCAGAGATTTCCCATAAATTCAGCTGAATAGTTCAAAGAGGGCTTCATTTGGTTTTTCCTTCAAACCTCTGATACCAGTTTTAACCTCTCTCATGTAGGTTATGGCATTTGATAGCCAATATCAACTTCTTACTTGTTTAGCTTCTGTCATGTGTATGGAGTCCTAGTGAGTGTAGTAAACCAAAAATGTGCTACCCAGCAGACTTGTCCCAGAAATTCTGTCTCCCATATGCTGTGTAGAGACTGGTGCCTTTGGCCTAAGAGACAATTTGAGTGAGGAACAGGCAAGAACTCTCCTGTAAGGAGGGCAAAGACAGACAAAATAGGGTAGTTATAGGACAAACCAAGAGATCAGGTCCTGGTTGATCTTTAGAAGGGCTCGGTGTTAGGTTTGTTTTGACAAATCATGGTTGACGAGCAAATAAGGATTGCATTTCAGCTTGGACAAGCGGCCAGACTCAATAGAGTGAAGGTTAGGATAAATCCGTATGTGTAAGCAAAAGCAGGTTCACTAAAAATTAAGCCAGAAAACATAGAAGACATGACAAACCATCAGTAACTTATCCTTTATTATGGAAAAAGTGAATATATTAACAATAAATTCCTGGTAGGTTAATGGGTACAATATTTGTGGAAGATAATGTAGAAGGCATAGAAATGATTTTAAATGTCTTCAGACCCATTCAGCCTGTGATTTGACTCCTAGAAGTTGAACTTAAGTAAACAATGAGAGATGTACACAAAGACTGATATACAACGGTATTGTTTCCCCATTATTTATAACAGGGAAATTCTGGAAACAACCCTAATGTCTGACAGTTGGGGTCAGTTTAACTACATTTTTAAATATAATTAAGTGACAAAATAGATGCAGCTGCTAAATATTGTATTTCAAAACATAGTGAAGGATATGGGGAACAGTTTAACACTATATACAGGATGATTCCAGTTTTATTTAAGTATATGTAAGCAATCTGGAACCAGATTATCTGGCTTCAGATCCCAGCTCTGCCACTTCCTAGCTGTTTCATCTTGGGCAAGTGATTTGATATCTCTGTGCATTGGTTTCCTTGTCTTTAAAATGGGAGCAATAATAGTATATATTTCAGAGAATGCAGTAAATTAAGTAAAAACAAAATAACATTCAGTCTGTATAGGAACACTATAGAATTTTAGCTATCACTATCATCACCATCATTATTTGTGCACAGAGAAAGACAAATAGGACTACAAAAGTTTGCTAATTGTTGTTTTTTTGATTATTTTTGGTGTTTTTCAAATTTTTAACTATGAAATGTCAAAATGTTATTTTTAAAAGTTGAGTATGGTAGTATACTATATAAAGCATTAATGTTCTTTTAAAACTGTGAAGGGATATTTGAGAAGGATAACACTTACTGAACATCTAGTAGATTATCTTTTCTGGACTGGAGATCAAAGAAGAATAAAGAAAACAAAAATAAAAGTTTGTGGAATTAACTAGTAATGAAAAGCAAAAGGAATTTCTGTTAGAGATAACCATATCGTTACATTGTTATCTCCATGTTGAAAGTTTAGGGTTTCCTAACAAGTTGCAGTTTTCAGTGTAGCCCCTTCATTTGCTGATATATGTACTTCATCCCAGCTCTTGAATGTTCTTTACTAGCCTGTACTGCCCTGATACAGTAACCCCCAGACACATGGAGCTTGTAAAATTTAAATTAATTAAAATTGAAGAGTGGGGAGATTGGGGAGAAGTTGGACAAAGGGTACCAAAGTTCAATTAGACAAGAGAGATAAGTTTGAGAAATCTAGTATCTATTTTTGTGGCTATAGTTAATAATATAATGTATACTTGAAAATTGCTGAGAGAGTAGATTTTAAGTGTTCTCACCACCAAAAAATAAGATAATGTGTATGTTAATTACCCTGGTTTAGCCTTCCACAATGTGTGTGTATATGTGTGTGTGTGTGAGTGTGTGTATTAAAACGTCATGTGGTACATTTTATATATACAATTTTTATTAGTTAATTAAGTTTTATTAATAAAAATAGGAATTAGTCCACTAGTTGCCCTGGTCACATTTTAAGTACTCTGGTCTCCTGCAGCTGGTGACTTTTGTGTTGGGTAGACAGATGCACATTTCCATCATCGCAGAATGTTCCTTTGGTTAACACTGTGTGCTTTACTTTGTCATCCTTATTCCTGATGTTTCGATTAAAAAAAAAAATTCATCTTAACACACATTTAAGAAGTCAGAAGTCATACCTACTTGCAAAGAAATCTTAAAAAGGCAAGTGTCATCTAAATCAGAGAGGAGTGACCTGCCATCCAAATGGACCGAGAGTAAGTAGAGGGAACGGGACAGAGAGGGAAAGGCGGAGACTTGGCAAGACGTCTCAAGCATCAGGGAGAACTGGGTATTCCAGGGACAGATGACTGTAGATGATTCATGCATTTGCTTTCTTCTGACTTGATGGAAATTATAAAGAATGAATTCGATTTAATAAAAAGTTGAAGAACATTAATAAGCCACCAGCTAACTGTATGAGGGCATTTACTGAGTAGAGAGCGTAGCTGTGTTCTCACTTGAGAGGGTGACCAAAGGCATTCCTCCTTCGCCTGAGGAGGGCTATTCAGACTCAAAAGGTTAAAAGCCACTGGACTTTCAACATCTTGGAGACTCTCTTTTTGTTTACTTGAATTATTTTTTAAAAACTAGAACAGACCGATTTGTGTGGGATCATTGGTTGCTGGGCCCAATGGAAGGGAATAGATTTGTTTTTCTAGGGAAAAGAGAGGGATGTGCAGGTCCCCAGAGATGCATGCCTTTGTGCCAGGAGGTTCATACTCATCAGTCATTTTACCCTCCAGCAGCAACTTCGCCATGATCATCTCCAGTTTACTGATTAAAAAGGTGAGTTTTAAAGTGGTAAAAAGCCTTTCTTAAGCTTCTAAGTGGTGGACTTGGGTTTTTAAAACAGCTCTTTGTAGCTCCGAACAGTTTATAGTTTATTGTTTTGCAGTTACAGAGTCTCCAAGATCTGTTTATTATGAACTCCAGTGGCTTTTAACCTTTTGAGTCTGAATACCTTTGTCATTCTTTTCTTTTTTAAAGTATGTGTTCTGGCCAGGCGCGGTAATCCCAGCACTTTGGGAGGCCGAGGCGAGTGGATCATGAGGTCAGGATATTGAGATCATCCTGGCCGTGGTGAAACCCCATCTCTACCAAAATTAAAAAAAAATGGCCAGGCGTGGTGGCACACAACTGTAGTCCCAGCTACTCAGGAGGCTGAGGCAGGGGAATCACTTGAATCCGGGAGACAAAGGTTGCAGTGAGCCAAGATTGTGCCACTGCACTCCAGCCTGGCAGTAGAGCAAGATTCCATCTCAAAAAAAAAAAAAAAAAAAAAAAAAAAGTATGTGTTCTTAAATTCTTTCCCTTATGGTAGAAGGCAATTACTACCCTGAATTTGGGGATTGTCATGCCTTGCTTCTCTTTATAGTTTTGCCACTTTTGTAGCCTTTAAAGTATATTGTTTTATTTTGCATTGTTTGTATTTTATGTAAATAAATTATGAGTCAGTCCCTTAGTTGCCCTAGCCACATTGCAGGTGCCCAGTAATCTCCTGCAGCCAGTGACTTTTGCATCCCAACTCCCTTATTTTTTGGTGGTAAGAACACTTAAAATCTATTCTCCTGGTTGGGCGCAGTGGCTCACGCCTGTAATCCCAGCACTTTGGGAGGCTGAGGTGGGCGGATCACCTGAGGTCAGGAGTTCAAGACCAGCCTGACCAACATGGAGAGATAAGAGAGATAAGTTTAACCCTGTCTCTACTAAAAATACAAAATTAGCCATGGTGACACATGCCTATAATCCCAGCTACTTGGGAGGCTGAGGCAGGAGAATCACTTGAACCCAGGAGGCAGAGGTTGTGGTGGGCTGAGATCACTCCACTGTACTCCAGCCCGGGCAATAAGAGCGAAACTCCATCTCAAAAAAAAAAAAAAAAAAAAAAAAATCTGTTCTTTTAGCAATTTCCAAGTATACAATATACAGTATTAGGTAGTCTACAGTATTAATGTAGTTAATAATTGAACTGTCTGGTTGAAATCTTGTGTCCTATGTGAATTCTTTTGTAACTTGCTCTTTTATTCAGCATTACTGAATATTTGAAGTATCCTGAATTCTTACGCATTTGTGACAAGAATGTAAAATGGGGACAGTGACTTTGGATAATATGGTTGAAGATATTCTTCCTGATGCCCGAGAAATCCCACCTTAGTTTTCTGCCTCAGAGAAGCTGTTTTACCTGTATACCAAAAGATATATGAGAATGTTTATAGGAGAATTGCTTATGATCATACAAAACCTAGAAACAACCCAAGTTTTACCAGCAGCAGAGTGGGTAAACAAATTGTGTACACTCGTACAGTTGAAAAGACACTGCACAGCAAGAAAAAAAATTAACTAGAGCTACACAGATAAGCCTGCATAAATCTTAGAAACACAGCAAGCCTGGGGCTCTTTATGTAACCCTGTGTCACTCCTCTCCTGGCCCTAAGACCTTACAGTTCACCAGATGCCAAAATATATTCCTATGTGAGCAGTGGTCTGGCATGCAGGTATCACTGGGAAATAGACTTCTGGGCTGATAGATGAGGGCTTTGCTGGGGCTGAAGCTGCTGGATGAATATTCACCCCGAGGAAGGGACTAAATCATTTTCATCTAGCAACTATGAGTCAAGTGATGGAATGAGTAATACCTTCGACTAGCCTGTGGCAGACGTAAGAGCTGGAGAATATGGAAGTGGATGGTGCCTAGTGGAAGGCCTAGCATTGTACCTATTAATTACTTGCTGAATGAATGAATGCATTAATGATTGGACTGAGTATATTACAAGCTTCCTAAGGGCTACTGGTTCCCTTTCCATTCATTCATTCATTCCTTCATCAAACATGTATTGAACACCTAATAGATGCCTACTACTATGGCAACATAAAAGAATGAACACTGTATGGTTCCTGCCTTCAGATGGCTCAAAACGATGGGAAGAGTCAAGGAGACACCAAGTACATCTTACCAAATATATAGTATTTCTGGGTATCTCAAGCAAAGGGAAGAATAGACAGGCAAATCAGGTGGCTATTTTAAGGAAAAGGTGGAACAGATTCATAGCCCTTAGTGTAAGTCTGACATAAAAATTTTAAGGTGTCTTTTGATTTACAACACAGAATTGTGAAACTTTAAGCCACTTACAGCTTTAAGAATTGTTGAGCTATTAAAAATGTCAAAGGGGCTGGGCGTAGCGGATCACACCTGTCATCCCAGCACTTTAGGAGGCCAAGATGGGAGGGTCACTTGAGCTCAGGAGTTCAACACCAGTCTGGGTGACATGGAGAGACCCTGTGTTTATTAAGAAATAAACGTGTGTGTGTGTGTGTGTGTGTGTGTGTGTGTGTGTGTCAGAGAATCCGCAGTTATCTGAACTGTTAATGTATTATTACCTCATCTAAAAGATGGAAAAAATAAAATCTGTGTGGTCATGATGTTGAAATAAATTAATGCATACATACACACGCACACACACACACACACACACAGAGAGAGAGAGAGAGAGAGAGAGAGAGAGAAGGGGAGAGGGAGGGAAAGAGGTATACATACCTATGTTCCTCTTTCCCTCTGAATCTGCCCAGACATAGATAGTGATAAGGGACATGTTAAGTAAGGCAGCAAATTAAAAGTAGGAAGGTTACATAAGCATGCTTCTTTACCTCTTATGACCATGATGTCATTATTTGAGAAATGTTAGTTTCAGTCAAACATTCTTTTAAGTTCTTACTCATTAATCATTAATTTTTTTCTCTTTGAAGAATGGAAGAGGACCACAAGGTTTTCTCTCAGATAGGAGATAGTAACTTAAAAGAATCTGTAAAGCATCTTAAATTAGCCACTATTAAGAGCAATTATCTGTTCCAGAGAAATCTTTAGCTGTGTCCTGAAATGGTCTGGATTGTTCTGTCTCATTTGTGTTTTTTGGTCATTCTTCCTAGTTGACCTGTTAGGCTTGTTAAATTGGCGTTCCAACTCCCAGAACATCAAACACAATCTAAAGAAGTTGATGGAGGTGGATGGAGGAGAGATTGTTAAGGTATGTTTGTATATTCATAGTTAGAAATATACATATATATGCCTGTTTTACCAATTATACCTAATTGCATCAACATTTAAAACTAAACCATTCATTGTAAACATAAAACTTACCTACATTGCTAAACAAGTGTGCCTGTTTTTTAAAAAATGCTATTTTTAAACAACTTCGATTTAAACCTAGTTGTCCCCAGATTTCTATGGTATGGAGCTGAATGAAAGCATCCGAATAAACTGTCTGTTTTTCTTATCTTCAGTTTTTGCAGGATACACTAGATGCACTTTTTAACATAATGATGGAAATGTCAGATAATGAAACCTATGACTTCCTTGTGTTTGATGCACTGGTAAGTGGTTAAACATACTCGCTAGTGTTTATTGTTGCAACTGTGTAGTTTTCAGTATTTCACTATTATAAGTAATTGCGTGAATATCTTCTCACATAAATATTTGTTTACATCTCTCTGGTTACTGTTTTAGGCTGATCCTAGAAGTACAATTAGAAAAAAATGACTGATGTTTCAGGCCTTTATCTGTTTGTTTCCTGTTAGATCTCATTTTTTGATCTACTCTCTCTTTCTCATTAGAGAAAATGAGATGTTTTATCTTTGTTACCAATCAGGAATCATTTTAACTCACATTATCATTCTCTGGTTGTAAACCAGGTGATACCATCAACAAAGAAAATTGTTATGTGTTGTGTGTATGTGTGCACTGGTGTATTTATTGTGCAAGGGAGACTCAATTCACAAGTCAGAGGTTAATAATCGTAGCCTCATTAGGCTGTAAACAGAATAGTTAACCCAGCAGACAATTGAATATGTCACACAAATCACTTAGACCTACAACGCATTCCAAGAACTGAAATCAGAACAGAGAGAAGTAGTATCAGAATCTGGAAAGGCCAGAGATAAAGGTGGAGGGGAAGAAGCTGAAAGGCCCAAAGCAAGCATCATTTTCACCTGGGTGGGGTGAAAGTTCAGGGAAGGATTTTACCTGAATGCCACAGTTGAGGAGGAAGGTCAATTGCAGTTTTAGGTGATTCAACAGCTTGGAGAGACTAGTCAGTTTAAGAAATGATCAGGCCTTAAAGCTAAGGTTTAAGATAAAGAAAATGCCGCCTGGTTGAGATCCAACTGGTTGGACTCAGGTTTATGGGAAAGAGAGACAGTGGTTATGGATGCTGCAGGACAAGGTCTGGAAACAGATTCCTTGGAGCAGGGCAGCTGGCAGTGGGCACTGATTGCTTTTGATCTCTCTGTCTTAAGCAGAGCAGTGTGGCTAATTTTAGGTCATGTGCCTGATGGCAGTGCAAGGGAGCATACAAGGGGTAATTGGCAGATGAAACTCTAGTGAAGTTGTTATTAGGGGCACTCACAGTGTATTCAGGAGAAAAATATGGAATGTTTCATTAGCTGCATCCTTAGATTAGAGAAAACCCATTTCCAGAGCCTCGTTCCTGCTGTTCCTTAGGTTACCTGGGTACCAATTCCCCTGTCTTAGAGATAGTCAGCTTTCTGAGGCCAAGGATGCTGGCTTGAATTGGTTTCTTCCCAGCATTTAGCACAGCGCCTGACACGTAATAGTCTCTCTCTTTATGTTAAATAAATACAATTCTCAAGACTTGACATCAGCTCTGGAATAGTGGAGTGGGTATGCTGCAGAAATGATCTTGAGAAAAAAGGAGGCACCGAGATGTTAAAATCCAGCTTGTTAACAGGGTGCTTGGGATTGTGCAGTGCTGCTATTTCTGTTTTTCACTTTTGGCAGGTATTCATTATTTCACTGATAGGAGACATCAAGTTCCAGCATTTCAATCCTGTACTGGAAACCTATATTTATAAGCACTTCAGTGCCACTTTGGCATACGTGTAAGTATGATCTGAGGGAACTGCGTGTTGCTGGATCTTTGGATTTATACTCTTAGGGCTGGATTGCTGAGAAACAAGAGGGACCTATGTTCAGTGCATGTGTCTGTTAAGGCAGAACTCCATTCTAAGCTTCCTCATGGTAAAAGGGAACCATGTAAGTATTCTAACTCTGGAAAGGAGGTCAAGATCAGAGCCTTCCTTCTGGATTAGGTGAAATCTCCTTAAGAATCCAGAATATGTCAGGCATGATTGTTCATGCCTGCAATCCCAGCACTTGGTAGGGCTAAGGTGGGAGGATTGCTTGAGGCCAAAAATTCAAGACCAGCCTAGGCAGCATAATGAGAACCTGTCTTTACAAAAAATTAAAAAGTTAGCCAGGTGTCTTGGTGCACACCTGTAGTCCTAGCTACTCCAGAGGCTTAGGTGAGGGGATTGCTTCAGCCCAGAGAGGTCAAGGCTACAGTGAACTATGATCATGCCATTGCACTCCAGCCTGAGCAACAGAGCAAGACCCTGTATCTAAAAAAAAAAAAAACAAGAAGCAAAATCAATGACAAATGACCCAACTCAGGATCTTAGAGGTTAGATGTCAGTGGGATCAGCGTGGAGGCATCAAAGAGATCAAACCACTAATTAAACAAGACAAAGTTTGATAGAAGAAAAGATCATGTCCTCAACCTGTGCCACAAATGCTTTATAAAATGTATTACTTCCAAGACACAAGAAGATTTCACTTTCCCATCTTTTGCATAAGAGGCAGTGGTCTCTACGTTTTCCATAGTGCAGCCTTCCTCTGTCATTGATTAATGGGTCCCTGATAAAGGAAAGCAACTAACTTCTAGTCTGCGTTCCTCTCCAGAGCACTCAGCTTACCGTGGCATTGTATCTTCCTGCCACACTAACCCCATTGCCTTCCAGTTATTGTGCAGAATGTGATTAACCGTGAAAGGAATGTAGCTGGATTGGTAAATGATGTTAGGTTTTGGCTTAGGCCAGATCCTGTAGATTGCTGCCCACTGACCTGTCAGTGAGCGCACCAGTGACAGTGCCCTTTCCACCCGCAAGACTCACATCCAAGTGGGCAGTAGCTACAAATGAGGAAATCCTCACTGAGCCAAATGCAGCAATCCGGTGGTTGTAATCTGGACTCACTTTCCAAGTCTTGATCAATTCTGTATGTTTCCTTCTTTAAAAATAGTGATTCTGGAAAAGCTCAAAGATTCCCAGAAGGAAAGTTTAAGACTAAAATATCAGTACCCTCCAAGGTCTAAGGCAGGCGTCCCCAAACTTTTTACACAGGGGGCCAGTTCACTGTCCCTCAGACCGTTGGAGGGCCGCCACATACTGTGCTCCTCTCACTGACCACCAGTGAAAGAGGTGCCCCTTCCTGAAGTGCGGCTGGGGGCCGGATAAGTGGCCTCAGGGGGCCGCATGCGGCCCGCGGGCCGCAGTTTGGGGACGCCTGGTCTAAGGTATAGCACAAAATGAAGACCATTCCTAGCCCCAAAACTCTAGAAAGTCATAAAGAGCAACCTAAAACCAAAGGACAGTTTTATCTGTTGAATGCTTAGAACCATGAATGTTGTGGAGAGTTTGATTGAGTTCCTCTTCCTTCACTCCATGAAATTTCCATCTGACTCCATATTGATGGATCTCAAAGGGTTTGGGCAGAATAAAAGGAATCTGACATATTTTAAGTCAACGACTTTAGACAGACATAATCACTCCCTTAAGGGAGCATCTGAAGATGTCAGGATTGCATACAAGAGATTACAATCTCCTAGTGATTTGGGTCACTTAAACCATTTCATTTCATAACCTTCCCGTTTAATTCTGCAAAGGGAAAGGAACCTTCTAGTATTTCTCAACAGAAGAGTAGTTCCAAATGTAGATGGCAGATAAGGAAACTTAATTGGAAAAGTGTCAGTTTTCCTCTTCAGGTCATATTCTAATTCTAGAAGAAATAGTTATGACTTCTCCTTCCAGTATGCCAAGTTCCCCTCTTAGATAGCTTACCCAAGCCTCAGAGTACCCTGTTGCTCATTGGATTGATTTTTCTTTCTCATCCTTCTAAGGAAACTCTCCAAGGTACTGAATTTCTATGTGGCTAATGCAGATGACTCCAGCAAGACAGAAATGCTTTTTGCTGCGTTGAAAGCCTTGAAGTACTTGTTTAGATTCATCATCCAGTCTCGAGTGCTCTACTTGAGGTAATGTTAACTGCAGTTAAGATGTTTAGGTTATCAGCTCTCACTCTGTGTAGTTTTTCCCTCACTCCCCACGCTGGTGTTCAGCTCTGTGAGCAGTTAGTTCTTAGAATTGCCTTATTTCAGAACTACAGGGCTGAAGATGGAGGTGGACTATGTTTCTGTTGGAGAAGATTCATTAGAAGTTTATGTAGATCAGCAAAATTCTGGGGCAGTAATAACCTCAGGACTTGGGGAAGCAGGTTCCTATGGCAAGATTGTACCTAATACAGCAGATGACTTCATGAATGTTTTTTGTGTAAATCTGGGATCATGATCTACTGTCACTAGCAGAAGAAGCATTCATCTCAGGGGAGGTATTTGCTGAGATCAGTGTTTCCTTGTTGACAATGTGCTTAGCTACGTGGGCAACTAAACACTAGAAATAGGATCATTCCCTGTTTGGATTTCTAGCATAACATTTCCATCCAAAATAGAAGAAACCATGGAAGAGCAAATAGCTTTGCAGGGAACACCCATGACCCCAGTGACTTTCCTGCCCATCAGAAATAGCTGTATTTCCAAACTGTTAAAATTTGTTTCTAAGGCAGTAAGAAATTTGTAGATTTGAGTATATGTATGTTGAAAAGAAACTTTGTTTATAAGTGAGTGTTGAACAATGAGAACACATGGACACAGGAAGGGGACCATCACACACTGGGGTCTGTCGGGGGGTGGGGGCTAGAGGAGGGATAGCAGGGTTGGGGAGATAGGGGAGGGATAACATTTAGGAGAAATCCCTAATGTAGATGACGGGGGATGGATGCAGCAAATCACCATGGCACGTGTATACCTGTGTCACAAACCTGCATGTTCTGCACATGTACCCCAGAACTTAAAATATAATTTTAAAAAGGTTTGTAGATTTTAGCATTGTGTATGTTTAAAAGAAACTTTGTTTATTGAAAAAATAGAATTACAGACAAAAACCTAGGAAAAAGTTTACATATAGTACAGATGAAAGGTTGATAGCTTTTCTCAGTTAAAGCCTTTGTAAGTCAATAAAAGAGTGATACACAGCCATAATAGAAAACAAAAACAGGTAATTTACAAAAGAAAAATTTAAATGGTTAATAAATTTAAAAATTTTTTCATTCTCACTATCAAAAGAATTTTGATACACATGCACACACGCAGCATCTTTTACCTATACATTTGAAAAAGATTAAAAATCTTTGTCCTTTGATGAGATTAGGCAAAAATTGTCCCTGTATTTGAATTCTGATTCTAATGGAGATATAAATTCTTTACAGTAGAAATGGACAGTAAGAATAAAAAGCAAGCAAGAAATCTTTTTCATCTTTGATATTGTCCTGCCAAATACCTTTTTTTTTTTAAAAGAAAATTGCTTTTTTTTAATTGTACTTTAGGTTCTGGGGTACATGTGCAGATCATACAGGGTTGTTGCATAGGTACATACATGGCAAGGTGGTTTGCTGCCTCCTTCCCCCCATCATCGATATCTGGCATTTCTCTCACATTGTCCCTCCCCACCCCCACTGTTCCTCCTGCAGCCCCCTCCCCAACTGACTCCATTGTGTGATGCTCCCCTCCCTGTGTCCATGTGTTCTCATTGTTCAACACCCACCTTTGAGTGAGAACATGTGGTGTTTGATTTTCTGTTCTTGTGTCAGTTTGCTGAGAATGATGATTTCCAGATTCATCCATGTTCCCACAAAGGACACAAACTCACCTTTTTTTATGGCTGCATAGTATTCCATGGTGGATATGTGCCACATTTTCTTTGCCCAGTCTATCATTGATGGGCATTTGGGTTGGTTCCAGGTCTTTGCTATTGTAAACAGTGCTGCAGTGAACGTACGTGTGCATGTGTCTTTATAACAGAATTATTTATAATCCTTTGGGTATATACCCAGTAATGGGATTGCTGGGTCAAATGGAATTTCTATTTCGAGGTCCTTGAGACATCGCCACACTGTCTTCCACGATGGTTGAACTAATTTACACTCCCACCAACTGTGTAAGAGTGTTCGTATTTCTCCACATCCTCTCCAACATTTGTCGTCTCCAAATTTTTTGATGATCACCATTCTAACTGGCGTGAGATGGTATCTCATTGTGGTTTTGATTTGCATTTCTCTAATGACCAGTGATGATGAGCATTTTTTCGTATGGTTGCTGGCCTCATATATGTCTTCCTTTGAGAGTGTCTATTCATATCCTTCATCCACTTTTGAATGGGTTTGTTTGTTTTTTTTCTTCTTGTAAATCTGTTTTAGTTCTTTGTAGATTCTTGATATTAGCCCTATGTCAGATGGGTAGATGGCAGAAATTTTTTCCCATTCTGTTGGTTGCTGGTTCACTCTAATGATTGTTTCTTTTGCTGTGCAGAAGTTGTTAATTAGATCCCATTTGTTGCCATTTATTTTGGTGTTTTAGTTATGAAGTCCTTGCGTATGCCTATGTCCTGAATGCTTTTGCCTAAATTTTCTTTTAGAGTTTTTATGGTGTTAAATCTTACGTTTGAATCTTTAGTCCGTCTTGAACTAATTTTAGTGTAAGTTGTTGGGAAGGGGTCCAGTTTCTACTTTCTGCACATTGCTAGCCAGTTTTCCCAATACCATTTATTAAACAGGGAATCATTTCACCATTGCTTGTTTTTGTCAGGTTTGTCAAAGATCAGGTGGTTGTAGACGGAAAATTTTTAAGGAAAAGGAAAACATGTCACATTTGTCTAATAATACCCCATCTACAAATTTATCTAATGGAAAAACATCTATCAGGTATGACAAAAATGAACATGAAAGTATGTACAGTCATTTCAAATCTATAGCATATTAATGAGGAAAGATCACCATGATAGATTCTTTTTTTTTTTTTCTTTTTTTGAGATGAAGTCTCGCTCTGTCGCCCAGGTTGGAGTCCAGTTGCATGATCTTGGTTAGCTGCAACCTCCACCTCCCAGATTCAAGCGATTCTCCTGCCTCAGCCTCCCAAGTAGCTAGTACACAGGCACGCATCACCATACCTAGCTAATTTTTTGTACTTTTAGTAGAAACAGGGTTTCACCGTGTTAGCCCAGAATGGTCTTGATCTCCTGACCTCGTAATCCGCCTCCCTCAGCCTCCCAAAGTGTTGGGATTACAGGTGTGGGCCACCGAGCCTGGCCCAATAGATTCTTAAATGATAAAGGTATTAAGCATGAGTACAATGTGATCTTCCTTTTAAAATCATACAGATTTGAAATATTTATAGTAAAGAAGATTGGGTAGATCACATGCTAAAGTGTTGTTGTTGTTGTTGTTGTTGTTGTTGTTGTTGTTTCTTTAGAGTTTTTTAGGGTTTTTTGTTTTTGTTTTTGAGACAGGGTCTGGCTTGTTGCCCAGGCGAGAGTGCAGTGACACAATCTCAGCTTGCCTCACTCTGCTTTCCAGGCTCAAGCAAGCCTCCCATCTCAGACCCCCAAGTAGCTGGGACCACAAGGGCATGCCACTATGCCCAGCTAATTTGTATATTTTTTGTAGAGACAGGGTCTCACTATGTTACCCAGTCTGGTCTCAAACTCCTGGGCTCAAGGGATCTGGCCACCTCAGCCTCCCAAAGTGCTGGAATTACAGGTGTGAGCCACCATGCTTGGTCTGAAATATCAATAATACTGAAACTTCAGGTGACAGAGTTGTAATTTATTTTTTCATTCTTTATGTTTGTATTTTTTAACCATTTTAATTATATTTATTATTATATTTTTATTTGCTATTTTTTTCTATCCTTTTTGAATTTTTAAGTGAATATTTACCTTTCTAATTGTTTTTTAAAAATGTTTAATGACTTAAAAACCCAGCTGGCTGAATGACTGTTCCTCTTTCCCAGGTGGAAGCCAGCGGTGTTTTCCCCACATATAATTTATGCAAAGTCTCTGTATTTGCTTTCTTTTCAGAAGATCTTCTTTTAAAGTTTGTTCATTATATTTTCTAGTTATAGTACATTTCCATATATTCAGAAATGGCTGGGGCATGGAGTGTTCTACCAAAGGAACATTCTCTTATGCAAAACTTTGTTTGTAGAGTAAACCCTGATGTCCAAAAATCAGCATCACCTTTAAACCACAGAAAGAAAACCTGAGTGTGAAATTAAAGTGTATTTGCTTAGGGTTGGTCCACTAGTTCCTTTCCTCTTTATTTGCCAAAGCACATCAGGGTCCTCTTTCTAGACACCAGATAGGACAGTAAAGGATGGTAAGTGTGGAAAATGAAAGCTTTGGTCAACACAGGACCCATGAAATTGTCTAGGATAAAGTTGCCTTATTGCGCCTTGTCCGGGACAGGTTACGTGTGGTTACTTTCTCCTTATGTGTGATTAAAGAAGAACCTGAGCTGGGGAAGAGACTGGCAATGTGAGTCCTCCGGTTGCTTAGACTGAATGGTCTCTTCAGTGCACTTGTCCTGTCCAGAGGCTGCAGTGGAATGTCACCTGGTCCCTAGTACCCCTGTTACCTTCATCAGAGCTTAAATCTCTCTTATGAACCCATGACCTGGCTGGAGTTCACCTCAATCAGCAAAACACCAAGAGGAAATTGTAAAGTGCCTGTAACAGGATATTGAGAAGCTTGATCTTAATTCCTCTGTTCCCTCTCATTAGTACTTAAAAAAAAAAATTAAGTCACATACACAGAGTGCCAAGTATTCTGCATTGGTGCAGGGCCCTTGCAGCAGATGTGACCAGGCTCCCACTGTGATGATGTGTGTGGGTCCCATGGGGTTCAGGGAGACATGGAGTAAAGAGATCGCCCCCTAAATGAGGGTAGTGTTAGGGTGATAGAGCCAACAGGGAAGGCTGCCCGAGCTGAGCTGGGTGGAGAAGGAGGTGGTGTCATGTCAGCTGAGACTGAAAGATGAAGAAGCGGCCTCCAGGGATGTCAGGTAAGGGTTAGTGAGAACAGGACCTGCCCCAGGCTGGGACCTATGGGACACCAAGTGTGCATGCATGAGGACTAATGAGAATCCAGTGTCAGGAGAGAGGGCGGGAGTGGCCAGCAAATAATAAATGATGTGGGGCCTTGTAGGCCACAGTGAGGAGTTTGGATTTTATTCCAAGTGCACTGGGAAGCCATTGGGAGACAACTAGAGAAGTAATAAAATCTGGCTTATATTTTAAATGATCATCTCCTCTCCCAAATGGAAAATGGATTATCAAAGTCTAAAAGTAGAAGCCAGTGATCACTTTAAGAGGCCACCGTGGTTCAAGTGTGAGATACTGCAGCTCCCTCTCAGAGGCAGATGGAGAGAATGGACTGACTCGAGCTCATAGGATTTGCTGTTGGATTTGATGGGGCAATGAAAGAAATGGAAGAAGCATAGATAGCATCTAGGTTTGGGGTGGATGGTAATGCTGTTTGCTGACACTTGGAAAACTATGCTGAGCTGGAAAATCAAGTGAGTTCTGTTGTAGGTGTGTTAGTTTTGAGATACTTTGGGGACTAAATTGCAAATAAAGTTCTTTTCTAGTTCTGCAACATGGATGAATTGAGAATTACCAGTAACCCTCTGACTAATTAACTACCTCAGTGAGGTACATAGTCTTTGGGTACCATATAAGGTATAGGTGAATGGAGGAAACTAATTTAATATCCTTGAGTGTGTTTGAGTATGTGAAGTTCTGAATTCAAGCCATCCTATTCTTGAGCAGTTGGTGGTGAAATTGCCACCCATTATCTGTGTATATGCACTATCATGTGGGACTAGTGTATTTTTTGGAAAGTGCCCAAATATCTCTTGATTCCTATTTATGAGGAAGAACCCACTTTTGAGTTGAGGGACAGATCTTTTGAAGACAAGTAGAATACTTTAATTAAGGCAAGCATGTATCAGTGAAGACTAAGGGGTCTTATGTCCTGGAAGGCCCTTGTGGTAGAGCAGGCCAGCATCAGCATGGGCAGTTCGGTGGCCAGAATGGAACAAATGGTTTTGCAGGCTGGGTTGAGATCAGAACCTTCCTGGGTTGAGCAGCTTCTCTAATCCATTCCTCGAAACTTCAGACGCCTGGGGCTTGATTAGGTGAGTCAAAATTATGAGGGTGAGACAAGGAAGGAGAAGCGAAGGAGGCAACAAACCTATTTTAAAATTTATTTTAACAATGGAAAGTCCAACTGCTCTTCTCTTTTTTCCTGCTAAGATTTTATGGCCAGAGTGAAGATGGAGATGAGTTTAACGATTCAATTCGCCATTTATTTCTTTCTTTCAATACGCTGATGGACAGGCCTCTGGAGGAAGCCGTCAAGATCAAGGTCAGCCTGGTGTCATTATGGGTAACTCTTCTTAGGCTGTGATGAAGATGTTTTGAGACCACTTAGAATCGGCCATCATACAGGAGAAACAAAATGAATCATGGTTCATGGATAGCTTATGGATTTTAGTAGGATTTACAGAAAGTAAAGGGGGAAAAAACCCATTTTAACTTCTTTAGACCCTTGTATTTTCAAATATCAGTTTTCCAAAGACAGGCTACCCAGTTAGACATGCCTTGAAAGACCATTGTGAACCCTGCTTGACCCTGTGATTTCAGCAAACTGATCCCGGTGCTACTACTGGTGACAGTCTTTTATTTTTTGTCCCTCATTTTACCAAGAAGTGCAAAGTCACCATCTTAATTATCGTAAATATGAAATATATAATCCCTCAAGACTCAAATATGGACTTCACTATTAATATTTATTTTTTACTCTTTATGGCCACGTTGTAAGAGATACTTCAAGAATTTAATGACCTCCTTAGAGAAATGAACTCCAAGTGGACAGAGCCTGCTCGCAGTAGGAACCAGAAAGCTGTACCCCCTTGCATCTTTAGGAAAAGCATTTTAGGAGATCTTGTAGAACAATGCCAGCTTTCCTTTTTGTTGCAAGGGTATCTGTGTCCAGTTCCCTGTTTAAGTTCCAAGCACAGCCTTTTCCTCCTGGGATCAAGCAGTAAATGCTGTTTTTGTCTTGCCTGGCAACTGAATTGCCTTTGGTGTTTGTCTTACAGGGGGCAGCTTTGAAGTACCTTCCTAGCATAATTAATGACGTCAAACTTGTATTTGATCCTGTTGAACTCAGGTAAATAGCAAAACAAAATTTTGTTCCCCAACTCTAACCGAGAAACAGCTCCCCTGCTTGGCTGGAGCCGGGCTGCTACACGTGGCTTTTATTTTTCTAAGAAGTATTAACTGAATACCTTTTATGCTCAGTTCTATGGAAGATACAAAAGAACATATAAAACCTGCTCGGAGAGAGGTTTGCACTTTCTCTGGGAAAACAAGACATGCAGACATAAAATTAACTACAAAAGATAGTGCATAATGACATGCTTCCAGCCCTGTCCCTAAGGATCCCAGCAGTGCAAACTCAGACTTCAATTGACATGAGAGTGGAGTTAGCCGAGAAAGCCATTTTCACAAAGGCAGGTCTGGAATGCAATGATGGACATGGTGTTCTTTGGCAGTTTAAATACTCAGTTCTAAGGCAGAGCCCTCCAGTAAGTGAGGATAAAGTCTCCCTTGCTGCCATGTCATAAACTCTCAGGTCATTTGTAGTTTACCAGGTAAATCTCTCCATGCTCAAATCTCAGAGTGGAGGAGAAAAATGTGTAATGATGCCTTCAACTAATGAAGACATGATTAACCCGGAGGTTTCTCTTCCAGCGTGCTCTTCTGCAAATTCATCCAAAGCATTCCTGACAACCAGCTGGTTCGGCAGAAACTGAACTGCATGACCAAGATAGTAGAGAGCACTCTTTTTCGACAGTCAGGTAAGTCTCCTTCAAAAATTGCTCTATGAGGTTGCAGTGAGCCAGGATCGCACCACTGCACTCCAGCCTGGGTGACAGAGCAAGATTCCATCTCAAAAAAACAAAAACAAACTGCTGTGTGCTGAGCTGCCAGCCCCAATTTCTGCAGCTAACACCTGATTTTTTTTTTTGATACGGAGTCTCACTCTGTCTCTGAGGCTGGAGTGCAGTGGTGCCATGTTGGCTTACGGTAATTTCTACCTTCCAGGTATAAGTGATTCTCTGCCTCAGCATCCTCAGTAGCTGGCATTACAGGCATGCAGCACCACACCCAGCTAATACATGTATATATTTTTTGTAATTTTAGTAGAGATGACGTTTCATCATGTTGGCCAGGCTGGCCTCAAACTCTCAACCTCAAAAGATGTGCCTGACTCGGCCTCCCAAAGTACTGAGATTACAGGCGTGAGCCAGTGTGTCCAGTCAGCACTTGGCTTTTCTTTTTTTAAAATGTTATTAATATTTTGCCAGTTGTTCGTTGGTATGGAAGGACCTCCAAGGAGAGTGGTTTTAAGGAGAAACTGAAGCCAGCTCAGTGTTTCCAACAGTTCCTAAAAGAGCAAACTCATGTGTTCTTTAATCTTTAATTAGAACAATCTGCAAATGGTTCATTAATTAGAGAGTTTTGTCTTTAAAACAGGAACATCAGGAAGCAACAAGGAAGTACGAAAAAGATGATTCTTTTTAAAGAATTTCCTCCTCTTTAACCTATGCTTATTGCATGACCTTAAAACCCAGGCACAGGGAAGCAGCAATGTGCTGGATCCCACAGGAAAGCTGGTTACGTGCATGCTTTCTCACCTCCTCATTCAGTGATTCCACTTTAGTAACGGGAAATTGACCAAGGTGGAAGTATTTACACCAGGGAAATTGACAAACATATAAAGCAAGCCTTTCCTTTTCTTTTTCTGACATGGAGTCTCGCTCGGTCACCCAGGCTGAAGTGGAGTGGTGCAATCTTGGCTCACTGCAGCCTCTGCCTCCTAGGTTCAAGCTATTCTCCTATCTAAGCCTCCCAAGTAGCTGGGACTACAGGCATGTGCCGCCATGCCTGGCTAATTTTCTTTTTGTAATTTTGATAGAGACAGGATTTCACCATGTTGGCCAACTAGTTTCAAACTCCTGACCTCAGGGGAATCACCTGCCTTGGCCCCCTCAAGGTGCTGGCATTATAGGCATGAGCCACTATGCCTGTTCAAGCCTTTTCTTTGTGGTGGGGATAGGCTGGCAGAAGCCAGATTACTAGTATATTACTGGGAAAGGAGTGGGGCATGGAGGAAAAACCTTTACACTGGTAAAATACTTTTCATTTTGTCAGTAGAGTCTAGCAAATAGCCACCAACTGTTTCTGCCCCAAAGCTATATAAGGAGGTCCAGCAGCTGGGCCTTCCCCATAAATTCAAGGCATGTTAGAGTGGGGCAGCTGTAGAGGCTTCTTTTGGGGCTTACCTGGTCAGGGGCTCCCAGAGGGTGACCTCATGTTATGTGTGTATATTTCCTGGGGATTTAAAGACCAGCAGGACTCCTCAACATCGAACAAGTTGAGTGGATCATTGGTCGGAGAGCCTTCCTGGCCTTGTCCCTGGCTAGTTATATAACTGGACAAATAAGTGACCTTCTGTAAGTCTCAACTTCCAGCTCTGTGGAAGGAAGAACTTGAACTAGATCATATCAGTAGCCTCTTTGGGTTCTGATATTTTCTGACTCTATAAATTTGTGCTTAGAAATTGCAGATGTTTCTGAGACACAATTGGAGGTAGAGGTCATGACTGCAAAAAGCTAGTGAATGCCCTTTGCTTTTCGGGTTTTTTGTTTTCTTTTTTTGAGGTGGAGTTTCGCTCTGTCGTCCAGGCTAGAGTGCAGTGCAGTGGCCTGATCTCAGCTCACTGCAAGCTCCGCCTCCTGGTTTCAAGCGATTCTCCGGCCTCAGCCTCCTGAGTAGCTGGCATTACAGGCCCATGCCACCATGCCCAGCTAATTTTTGTATTTTTGGTAGAGACAGGGTTTCCCCATGTTGATCAGGCTGGTGTCAAACCCCTGACCTTGTGATCCACCCGCCTTGGGCTCCCAAAGTGCTGGGATTACAGGTGTGAGCCAGCATATCCGGCCTGTGAATGTTCTTAAGTAGAAAACAGATATTTCTAAAGTAAGTTATTACTAAACATTTTAATGTGCTTTGATAACTTTTGCTTCTAAGGATACAGAAAAGGTAATTGAGATAGTAGGTAAGATGTTTGAGCTGAAGAGCAAGCACGCACTAAATAGTCTGATTAGAATGCGATGACTTTAACAGTCACTTCTGTAGCATTCAGAGTACCTGAACTCATTATAAGATGTGTTAAAATAGCAAAGCTCTCAGAAGACATAATAGATCATACCTTACTTTCTGAAATCTGCAGGCCTGCACAGACATGAGCAGAATCCCTTTGAAATGTACTAGGGAAGCTCAGTATTTGTAGGAACTTCTTTTAGTAAATTTTCTCCATTAGATGAAAAAAATTTTTGAAAAAAAAATCTGTGGCTTGCTTGGTTTTATTTGTTTCAGAAGGCCTTACTGTCACGTATTAGGTTGGCATTTTTAAAAGCTAGAGAAATTGTTAAATAATTTACACATTTTGCTAAGTTCGCACCTTTACCTGGGGAAGAGGTCATTTTCTTAGTTTGTATAATCCAGTTGCAAAGATGAAGTTCTTTAAAAAAAAAAAAAAAAATCACTCATCTACACACTGAACAAGGGTAAAGTTCCACATGCCACCACGCCTGGCTAATTTATTTTATAATTTTAGTAGAGACAAGGTTTCTGGTGTTTGTGGGTGGCCTGGAGGGGCTGCATCGCTGCAGGGCTGATTGCAGAGCTTGGAGCCACTGGAACAGGTCAAGAGAGAGTTGCAGGAAGGGGAGGCGGTGCACGCGGTGGCACTGCAGTGTGTAAGCTGTCTGTGTTTTCCTTCTCAGAGTGCAGAGAAGTGCTCCTGCCGCTGCTGACAGACCAGCTCAGCGGCCAGTTAGATGACAACTCCAGCAAGCCTGACCTTGAGGCAAGCTCGCAGCTTCTGAGCAACATCCTGGAAGTGCTGGACAGGAAGGATGTGGTGAGTTGACTCATCTCTGATGCTGCACAGAGCTCACACTGGCCCCTTTGCACCCAGACAGGAGTGACTCCATGGCCTTTCTCTTTTCCGGTAGTTTCCAACTCAGGTATTAAGGCAGATTTTGTGCCCATTTTAGAGATAATTAAGGAGGTGAGAGCCTCCAGTGCAAATCTAGGTCCAGGCGAAGTCAGATTACTTCTCATGCCTTCCACGGGCTGATTTTCCTGGCTTGCCCAGTGTGCGCACCATTGAGATTCCTGTGACTATTCTTAAGAATCAAAGACCTGGCTGGGCATGGTGCTCCAGGTCTATAATCCCAGCAATTTGGGAGGCCAAGGCAGGAGGGTCAGTTGAGCCTAGGAGTTCAAGACTGACCAGCACTTTGGGAGGCCAAGGCAGGTGGATCACGAGGTCAAGAGATTGACACCATCCTGGCCAACATGGTGAAACCCTGTCTCTAGTAAAAATAAAAAATTAGCCAGGTGTGGTGGCGCATACCTGTAGTCCCAGCTGCTCAGTAGGCTGAGGCAAGAGAATCACTTGAACCTGAGAAGTGGAGGTTGCAGGGGTGAGCTGAGATCGCACCACTGCACTCCAACCTGGTGACAGAGCAAGAATCGATCTCAAAAAAACAAAAAACAAAAAAAAAGACCCATGACCAGCCTGGGCAACTTAATAAGACTCTGTCTCTACTTAAAAAAAAAAAAAAAGTATCAAAGGTCATTCTGTTTTTATGAAGAAACCAGAAACCTCTTCCTTCTTATCCTCTGATGTCTGACCACCTGCTATTTCTGAGCCACTAAGAAGTTCTCATTTCCATATCCTATTGGACACTGATGCTTTCTATGGAAGCCTTGTGGAAATTATGTTTTCTTATCTGGCGTGACCTGGCCCCTATCCCTCTTGAAAACCTGGGGCTGAACTTGCCTGTATTCATCGTGTCCTAGATGTGCCTAACTAGATGTGCAAGTCACATGCTGTGCCTGTGGGCACATGTCCTAGAAATAGTGCAGCCCACAGGCCTCGCGGAGCCCCCACACAGGAAGCTGGAGAACTTTGCAGAATGCGTTCACTTGAACAGTTAGGGCTGAAAAAGAAAAGGTATCTTGCCGCAAATCATAGTCACCACGTCTATGGTGGTTGCATGCCACAGCGCAGGGAAACTCCTTTGTCTTTGCCTAAACTCTTTATCTCTACAGTATCTTTGAGTTCTGTTCTACCAAAGGATATGCATACTTCACCTTTTCCCATAGGGGAACCTTAGTTCACCTGTCAGAGTCCACCACCAGTTGACCATGGCCTACCTTTTCTCTCTACCTTTTCTCCTGCTCATGATTTGCACAGACACACATTTCTGTGAACCCACACTGCAGCCTCAGAAGTGTGTGAGAGTACCATTGCTGTTTCTTGCCACTGCCCCAGTCTCTGTGCCTCCATTTCCCTAAGCCCCTGTATCCCACTTACCCTGTGCACTGTTTATTTGATGTTTATTCAGTATAGGTCATTCCCCCTTTTTTTATTAAGTATGTTTATAGAAAGCACATTATAAAATGAAATAAATGTTCCCAAAGCATGTTGTGAGTGGTGATTTGGTTCCTAACCAAGGACTTTGCAGCAAATACATAAATGTGACCAATCATGTCATAAACACAATACTTTTGTTTTTAAGTAACTGTTATAACTCAGTAATTATTTAAAATGATAAAGTAAAGCTCCAAGCCCCATAAATTTGGCAGCAATGTACCTAGCATGTTGGTTTAGGCAGGAATCCATTGTTCTAGAAATCATGTGTTTGTGATCCAAAGTTAATGTGAAGCACAAGAATTGAGGCTTTGGAATCTAGTCCCATTATTACTCCTCTGTAGCTATTTGTCTTTAGGCAGATATCTCAGTGCCTCAGTTTTCTATCCAGTTCCTTGTATATAGGAGTTGTTCTAGATGACTTCTTAGGTCTCTTCCACTTCTGACCCTATTTTTTAATATGTAGCATCTCTACCAACCTCACCACACAGAAAAACTCTTTAAAAAGACTCTTGAGTGTATTTAAATCCTGTGCAAGGAGACTTAAATTAGCTTTTTGTTTCAGTCTTCCCAATATTACGTTCCCTGTAAGGAGAAGAGACATGCAAAATTATTGATCTTGGAGCTCTGGTAAAGTAGTAAGTCCAATAATTTTTTGTCAGTCATGGTGGTATTTTTTTCCCTCCATAAACATTTTGAAATGTTTGCATTGGCTCAATATCTCTTCCCTTGTCCTCTCATCTCCTAGGCTAATTCAAGGCTCTAATTACTGACATTTGTTCTTCCCGCCTTATTGCAGGATTCCCTCCTCTCCCAACAGCTCTGTTTTGGAATTGGACTCATTCTTTCAATTCCAGCTGCAGTAGGTGCCTCTGTGAAGTTGTCCCTGGTGTGATCCTGCCAAATTCTACCGATTAGGGAATCAGTGCTCCTCATGCTCCCCTCGAGTTTCTTTTGAGGATTTTATCACTTTGTACATTGAGTTATGAATGCAGCTCACAGTAGTCGGGCACAGTGGCTCGCACCTGTAATCCCAGCATTCTGGGAGGCTGAGGCGAATGGATCACCTGAGGTCAGAAGTTCAAGACCAGCTTGATCAACATGGAGAAACCCCGTCTCTACTAAAAATACAAAATTAGTCAAATATGGTGATGCATGCCTGTAATCTCAGCTGCTTGGGAGTCTGAAGCAAGAGAATCACTTGAACTCGGGAGGCGGAGGTTGCCGTGAGCCAAGATCGTGCCATGCACTCCAGCCAGGGCAACAAGAGTGAAACTCTGTATTAAAAAAAAAAGAATGCAGCTCACAAATTTTTGGGAAACTGATGGCATGCTCCAGGCACTGGGATAGGCTAGGATTATAGCAGTGAACTAGAGAAGCAAGCACCCTGTCCCCAGGAGCCCACCTTCTAGGGGATCCTTGTGTTATGCTTATTTAAATTTATGTCTCACTCACCGCCCTCCCCTCCCCCCCACAATATCTCTTAAGGCTCAAAGGAACCTTGTTCATTTCATACCTCCCCACAGGGCACAGCATGTGACTTGCACATCTAATTAGTTATGTAATGGAAGTGAAAGCTGCATGTCCTAGAGAGGCTGATTTTATGAATCACTTTCATTCAGGGAAATGGGAAACAAGTAAATGACTAATAAAAAGCAAAGGAAGGAGGGAGAGAAGAAGGAAGGGACAGAGGGAAGCAGAGAGGGAGGGTGGACCCAAAATACTTAGTACTGTAACTGAAATACATATAGCCATACTATGATTAAGAAGTCAAAAAGCGGCCAGGCACGGTGGCTCACGCCTGTAATCCCAGCACTCTGGCAGGCTGAGGTGGGTGGATCACCTGAGGTCAGGAGTTTGAGGCCAGCCTGGCCAACATGGTAAAACCCCATCTCTACTAAAAATACAAAAAATTAGCCAGGTGTGGTAGTGGGCACCTGTAATTCCAGCTACTCAGGAGGCTAAGGCAGAATAATTGCTTGAGCTCAGGAGGTGGTAGTTGCAGTTGCCCAAGATTGCGCCACTGCGCTCTAGCCTGGGTGTAACAGAGCAAGACTCTGTATTAAAAAAAAATAATAAGTCAAAAAAAAAAAAATAGATGTTGGCATGGATGTGGTGAAAGGGAACACTGCTCCACTGCTGGGGGGGAATGTCAATTAGTACAACAACTATGAAAAGCAGTGTTGAGATTCCTTAAAGAATTAAGTAGAACTACCATTCAATCCAGCAAACCCACTCCTGGGCATCTACCCAAAGGAAAATAAGTCATTATATGAAAAAGACACATGTACCTACATGTTTATAGCTTGGCAATTTGCAATAGCAACAATATGAAACCCACCTAAGTGCCCACTGGCCAGTGAGTGGCTAAAGTGTGGTATATATGCATCATGGAGTACTACTCACCCTTAAAAAGGAACAAAATTATGTCTTTTGCAGTAACTTAAATGGAGATGGAGGCCATTATTCTACATGAAGTAATTCAAGAATGGAAAACCAGATATTTTATGTTCTCACTTATAAGTGGGAGCCAAGCTATGAGAATGCAAAGGCGTCAGATTAATATAATGGACTTTGTGGGGGAAGGGAAGGAGGTAGGTGACGGATAAAGGACAGCACATTGGGTGCAGTTTACACTGCTTGGGTGATGGGTACATGAAAATCCCAGAATCATCAATACCATGTAACCAGAAACCACTTGTACCCCAGAAAATATTGAAATAAGAAAAAAAAAAACATATAGCCATAGACACATCCTACCTGATCTCACTTCTCTAAGAATCTGAGGAAGTTAGACTCCTAGAGGCAGAGAGTAGAACAGTCTTTACCAGGGGCTGCAGAGCGTTAGGGAGCAGGATGGGGAGATGTTGGCCAAAGGGTGGAAAGTGTCAGTTATAGGATCAGCAAGTTCTGGGAATCTAATGTACAGCATGGGTGGCAATGAATGTGTTAATTTGACCATGGAGGTCATTACACAATTATGTATATCAAGTCATCATGTTGTACATGCTTCATAAATACAGTCTTTGCCAGTTAAATTTGTAAAAAATAATAAAACTGTTAAGCAAAAAAAAAAAAAACCCATACATATAGCAATGATTTAGTTATTTGAAGTATTAAGCAGGAGTTTCAAAATACCGTTCATAAAGCAGGGACGGATAGAGGTTATGAAAAGTCAAGTTGCATATGGGTACATTGGAGCCAAATGAGTGTAATATCTAGCTACAAAAAAGGAAAGAAGGTGAAAGGAAGAATATGCACTTAGCACACTCATGGACGTCAGCCCTACTAAGTCCTGTAAGAAAACTGTTACTGTCCCCCCTTTGCAGCTACGAAAACTGCAAGCTCAGCGAAGTTGGATAATTGCTCAAAGTCACACATGACAGAGTCAGAATACAAAATCCTTGCATTAGTCTGCTCAGTCTTCATGACAAAATAACACAGACTGTGTGGCTTAAACTACAGATATTTATTTTCTCACAGTTCTGGTGACTGAGCATCTGAGATCAGGGTGCCACGATGGTTAAGTTTTGGTAAGGGCTCTCTTCCCTGCCTGCAGACAGTTGCCATATTGCTGTGTGCTCACGTGGTGAAGAGAGAGATCAAGCTCTGTGATATCTCATTTACTAAAGGCATTCATCCCATCAGTCCAGGGCCCCACCCTCATGAATTCAGCTAACCTTCATTACCTCCCAAGATCCCCATCTGCTAATACCATCACACTGGGGGTTAGGGCTTCACATATGAATTTGGAGGAGACACGAGCATTTACTCCATAGCAATCCTCTTGACTTGAATTTCTTGTGTGTGTGTTTTTTTTTTTTCCTCCAACACAGAAGGTGGCAAGAACTTTGTATTTTGGGCTTTCATTTCCCACACTTGTGCCTTATTGACCTGGGCAGTTCTAATCTGTTCATCCTCAGAGCAGAATAGGTCATGCTAATGAGGGTCCCCCAAAACTATTTGTTGAGTCAGTGGCCACAGTAGGCTCTCAGTGAACATGAGCAGTCTGAATTACTCAGAAGGCACTCATCCCTGCATACCACCTTCATCTTTTAAATGTTATAACTGATCATTTTCAGTTGATTTTCTTTATAAAGCTATTATTCTGTGAGACCATTTTTCCCTTTTGGACAAGAGATTGCTTTGTAGGGAAGAGCCAGAAAGAGATCTAAAGACAAAACCCATCTATCTGAGGTTCCCTAAAGAAAAGTAAAACTGAGTCAGAAGAAATGGAGTCAAATCCTGTGTTCCCCCCCAGGGCGCCACTGCGACACACATCCAGCTTATAATGGAACGGCTGCTGAGAAGGGTCAACCGGACAGTGATTGGGATGAGCCGGCAGTCTCCCCACATCGTGAGTATCTCTTTGGTGGATCCCCGGCTGCTCCTGCTTCTCTGTGCCCCCTGCCTATCAGGAGGCTTTTGGGGCCAGTGGCTTTAGGCTGTTTTTCACATGGACCTCTCACATCGTGGGCTATTGGTTATAATCTTGAGCAGATCTTGGTTCTGATGTGGATTTTCCATTAAGAGAAAATGATTTAGCCTAGGCAATATAGTCAGATCCCATCCCTACAAAAAATTAAAAATTAGCTGGGCATAGTGATGGTGCGTGCCTGTGATTCCAGCTACTCAGCAGGCTAAGGTGGAAGAATGTGAGAAAGATAAATAGCCAAAAAGTTCATGGACAGACTGTTTAATTCAAAGAAAAGGAAATGAAAATGCAAAGTGAGATTAAATAAGCCTCTAATACCCAGATTAGGCAAGGTCCTGGAGAAACAAATCGTGTTAGACACTGGTGGGAACATAAGCTAGCTGATAATTTGGCAATATATATATCAAAGGCGTTAGTGCAATAAATTTACACTGCTTTGTAATTGAAAAAATAATTTTTTTTTAATACAGGCTGTGGCACTGTCACCCAATTTAGAGTGCAGTGGCGTGACCTTGGCTCACTGCATCTCTTACTCCTGGGTTCACACAGTTCTGTCTCACCCTTCCAAGTAGTTTGGATCACAGATGCCCACCCCCATGCTCAGCTAATTTTTGTATTTTTAGGAGACACGAGATTTCACCATGTAGGCCAGCTGGTTTTGAACTTCTGACCTCAAGTGATCAGCCCGCCTTGGCCTCCCAAAGTGCTGGGATTACAGGTGTGAACCACCATGCCTGGCCTAAAAAATAAACTTTTTAAAACAAAAGAGACAGTCTAAGGCATATGTTCAGAAAGAGATGGACATAGACAGTCTTTCATTGTTCTGCTTGGGGGATCTTTCCAGAGGGAAAGATTATTGTGCTAAATTCCTTTGTTCATTGAATTCTTGTTGATCTCTGTTGTGCTAACTTCCTTTGTGTTATTTTCATAACTAGATGAATATAGGAGGTTAGTACCCCTGGATCTTTATCCCCTGCCTAAAAAAACAAGTCTATAATTCAAATATTTTTGGACTAGGGGAGAGAACCTTGAATATGTAATTCCTGAACTCACAAATGGAAGCAATGTTAATTAATCATCTAGTTATTAATTTTGTCTCTTCAAGTCAGGCTCACAGTTCATGTGGGTAATATGTGAGAACAACTGGCTAAAGGGCTCTGGAGTTGGAGAAGTGGTATCAGGTTGTATTAGTCTGTTCTCATGCTGTTGATAAAGACATACCCGAGACTGGGTAATTTTATAAAGGAAAGAGGTTTAATTAACTCACAGTTCAGCATGGCTGGGGAGGCCTCAGGAAACTTACAATCATGGTGGAAGGGGAAGAAAACACATCCTTCTTCACATGGGAGCAGCAAGAAGTGCCAAGCAAAAGGGGGAAAACCCCTTTGTGAACCCATCAGATTTCGTGAGAACTCACTCACTATCATGAGAATAACAGAGGGTAACTGTTCCCACGATTAAATTACCTCCCACCAGGCCCCTCCCACAACACATGGGGATAATAGGAAGTACAATTCAAGATGAGATTTGGGTAGGGACACAGGCAAACCATATAGCAAGGAGATATCATCATCATTGCTTGCCCTCCTCTCCACCATGATCAGTGTTGCCACCTCTTTTCCTGCTAGCCTTCCTCCCGACTCAGATTTGTTTAACTAATATAAGTATTTCAGACATTTCTCCATGGAATTCTATACTACAGCTCTGTCTCAACAAGAGACCAAAAGCCCCACAAGTTGTTACATCTTCACTGGTAATCTCAGTGAGGTGTCCTGTCTGTAGGAATCCACACTCCATAGCTGTTAATGGGATTCCTTCACTTAGACATGAAAGGAGGTAGTTTGAAGCAGAAACAGCAAAGCACGTGGCCTTTGGACCTTTAGAATGCAGTGTGTTTCCAGAGTGATGGGGACCTGCATGGCTCATTTAGTGGGAAAAGCCAAGTTCATGGGGTCACATCTTATTTTTATCTGTTGGTGGTCGAAGGAGTCTTGGATTTGTGCTTTCCTTTTCCTTCCAGGGGAGTTTTGTGGCTTGCATGATTGCCATCCTGCGGCAAATGGATGACAGCCACTATGGCCACTACATCAGCACTTTCAAAACCAGACAAGACATCATTGTAAGTTGCCTTTATGGGGTCCTGGTAACCTGAAGACTTCTTATATTTGGTTTTTAAAAAAATGACTGAAACTGAACACCATGAGTCCAGGGATCTCTTCCCACCCACCTCCAGTGCTATGTGGCTGTCCACAGTGATTATGGAAAGAAGAGAGCTGATTCCTACTTTCCTTCTTTGACAGGGTTTGAAAAAGAGTACAAGACATATATCAAGAGGTTATCACACACCTTAATCTCTCTTGAGCTTAGAGAGAACCCTTATTTAGCAACATTTAGGAGATGTTTTTTCTCTGAAAAGGGGATATTGCTTAATATGTGGGTACAGTAACTAGTGATGCTGTGGCAAGGATTTTAGAAGGCAGGGGTGTGCAAAGTCTTCTAAGACGTGGTTGATACCATTTGGAAGACGGTAATAAAAAGAGATAATCTCTGCCCTTTACAACGGGTACAAGTGGGCCAGTGAGTATTAACTCCTGAGCTCCGCCTCCTGTCTGATCAGCAGAGGCATTCGATTCTCATAGGAGCGGAGTCCTATTGTGAACTGCATATGGGAGGGATCTAGGTTGCCAGCTCCTTCTGCAAATCTCACTAATGCCTGATGATCTGAGGTGGGACAGTTTCATCCCAAAACCCCTTCCTGCCCTCATCAGTGGAAAAATTGTCTTTCATGAAACCAGTCCCTGGTGACAAGAAAGTTGGGGACTTCTGCTTTAAAACATTTATTTTTCTTTTCTTTTTTTATTGCATTTTAGGTTTTGGGGTACATGTGAAGAACACTCAAGATTGTTGCATAGGTACACACATGGCGGTGTGATTTGCTGCCTTCCTCCCCATCACCTATATCTGGCATTTCTCCCCATGCTATCTCTCCCCAAAAACATTTATAAGTTATCTTCAGTTGAAAATATTTTGTTCTCTTAAGCAGGAAAGTTTTTCTCCTAGTTGCTATAAAGCATTCATCTAAGAGGCTGAGTTAGGCCTCTGGCTGTGACTTCACAATGCCTTCCCTTCAGGCCATTGTTGGTGGCCCTTCATATTATTTATATATATAATTATTGCTATATATGTTCAGATGTCCATGAAGGTGTTATTAGACTTTGCAGAGCAGTGGACTGAATGTGCAGCTGAATTAGTGTACTGATGTCATGTGGACACTAGTCTTTGGATAACTTCCCATCATCTGTGCATATTCTAGTCTTTTTGTTCTGGATTCTCCACTTTCTGCATCTGTCATGCTGAGTAGGTGGCCAGTGCCCCTGTGGATTCGCAGTTCCTTCCTTGCCCATCACTCTCCTTTCTGTGATGCCCACCTGATGGACAAACATACAAGGAATTGGAGGGAAAGTGCTGTTTGTTATCAGTTGGTCCCATGGTAGACTCTCAGTGATCGACCACATGACTTGAGCCAAAGGTCTCCATGAGCTGCCACTTGGGCCACCCTGGCAGGCAGCATGTCACAGGAACCAAAGCAATATGTAGGTGTGCCTGCGGAGACCAGGAGCGAGAGGACCAGGATGAGAGGAAGGGAGGGGAGGGGTAAGGCCAAGGGTGCCAAGGGTAGCTGTGTGTGAGATCTCTACAGGCAGGTGGTATAGCGGGTAAGAGCACAGGTTTTAACACCCAGCTCTGGGTTTGAATTCTCATGATTCTACTTCCTTGTATGCCCTATGGGGCAAACTGTTTAACCTCACTCTACCTCAGTTTCCTCACCTGTAAGAGTACCCACCTTGAGGGTAATTTAAGTGTTACTTGGCTCCATACATGGGAAATGCCTAGCTTCCTGCAGATTGGCATGTAGCTAATGCCTATGAGGACAAGCTTTTTATAACAATCATCATGTTGTTATTGCTATATAAGGTAAAATTAACATTAAACATTTTAGGGATTTTTTTTTCAAATTTCCTTCAGAAAGCAGGCATGATAGGGAAGCTTTAAATTCAAACCCTAACAATTTGGCTCCATTGTTAAGTAAGAAAAAAAGGGGCATACCTCCTGTTTGCCAGCAAAATGGCAAGCTCCTCTACCTATATTATATAATTAAAAGAGGATCATTATCCCCACGAGGGAACGAAGGCCTTGGGAAATGAGGGAACATGCCTGAATTTAGTCTCCAGTGGGCGAGCTACCGTGCACAGCCAGGCCTTTGCCTCCCAATGGCCGTTCCTTTGACTCCTTCATGCTGCCTTCTGAGTGAACTGCATAAAGGCCATTGGGAAGTGGTGGATAAAACGGAGCTTTGGGATTCTCTGTGAGTTTCCTTTATCATGCTGTCTCATTAATTTAGATTTCTAGGAGTTCAATGGAGAATCTGTATCTGAACCAAATAAGAAGTATCTAAATTCAATCCTTGCTTCACAAGCCGTGAATTCCTATGGATTTCAAAGAAAGGTTAACAGAATGGTTAATAAATTGGGGGAAGCACTTAAAGTATATAATGAGGCCAGATGTGGCAGCTCACACCTGTGATTTCAGCACTTTGGGAGGCTGAGGCAGGTGGATAACTGGAGGTCAGGAGTTTGAGACCAGCCTGGCCAATGTGGTGAAACCCCATCTCTACTAAAAATACAAAAATGAAAAATTAGCCAGTGGTGGTGGCAGAACACCTTGACACCTGTAATTCCAGCCACTGGGGTGGCTGAGGTGGAAGAATCTCTTGAACCCAGGAGGTGGAGGTTGCAGTGAATTGAGATCATGCCACTGTACTCCAGCCTGGGTGACAGGCAGAGACGCCCTCTCAAAATAAATAAATAAATAAAATATATGATGAAACAAATTTTGAATTCATTATGTCAGGGATTTCAGAAATGAGGGTGGGTATGTCTAATGCACCATGAAATCAGGGGAAAATCTGCAGTTGCAGGCATACTTGCTGGCCAGAGAGAGCCATTCCCCATGCCGTTCAGCATCCAAAGTGTAGGAAGTTACCCAGCTTGACCAGCATCTCAGAAAAATATGGTTAGCAACAGACTCAGGCCTCCTGCCTCTCACATACTGTTTTTACCACTGCACAATATGCAGGTGTCCAGCCGGAACTGTGTAGGTTAGTGCCAGAGAAACTGGACAGTACTTTCAGGAGTCCCACTGGAAAAAGTCTACATTTAGCTAACTAATAAAAATGCCTTCAAAACATTTTAGCTTTGCTTTTAACTCTGATTGTTCTATTTCTGAATTAGTTTTGGCTCCCAGTCCCCTTTGGAGCAGAAGAGCCAAGTTTCCTATTCTGTGCTCTGTATGCTTATGTGATTAGTTATTAGTCATCACCAGTCACTGTTAGGATCCCTTTCTAAGGACCATTTAGGACCCTTCTTCCAGGCTGCACATGATAATGTCCCTGGCACAAGAAGAATCGCGATTCTGCCTCTCATGTGTATCACATTGTCCTGTTCTAACCATAAAAAGGAGGATTGAACTGAAATCTATTAAACGTACCCATTTACCAACAATTATTGGTGAGTTATGTTTAAGTGTATGAGATACATTCTGATAAGCTATGGCAGCAGAGGATGAAAGAGATAAGAGTTTCAAACTTGAGGTTCAAAGCCCCAAGTTCTCGTCTAGCTCTTCTTCCTGCTTCCTTTTTTTTTTTTCTTCTTTTTGATACAGAGTCTTGTTCTGCCCCCCAGGCTAGTGGAATGGAGCAATCTCAGCTCTCTGCAACCTCTACTTCCCAGGTTCAAGTGATTCTCCTGCCTCAGCCTCCCAAGGAGCTGGGAGTACAAGCAGACATCACCATGCCTGGCAAATTTTTGTATTTTTAGCAGAGACGGGGTTTCACCATCTTGGCCATGCTGGTGTTGAACTCCTTACCCCTTGATCTGCCCACCTCAGCCCCCCAAAGTGCTGGGATTACAGGCATAAGCCACCACTCCTGGCCCTCCTTCCCACTTTCTATGCCCTTAAGTGAGTCCTTTAGTTTTTCTTAGCCTGAGTTGTATCATTTGTAAAATGTGGATGATTCCTTTTGTCCTCATCTTCCTCAGGGTCCTACAGTACAAAAATCAAATCACATCATAGCTAGCTGTAAGAATGCTTTGTTATTCCTACAACCCTGGAAAGATGGGCCATTACTGTGAGACTAAGGATGTCCTGTTCTGAGGTTGTGGTTCTGCTTATGTGCATGCTGGAATAAAGACTATGAATGGAACCCAGTTTTCCCCCAACCTCTCCTCTGCTCTCCACAGGACTTCCTCATGGAAACTTTTATCATGTTCAAGGACCTGATTGGAAAGAATGTCTACGCCAAAGATTGGATGGTGATGAATATGACTCAAAGCAGGTAAGACAGCCCGCGGCCAGCCCTGAGGCATTTGTCTGAATGCCTGAGGCTGCTGTGTGAACTTTGGGAAGTGCCGTTAAATCCCTTTGCCTCAGACCCATTATCTGTAAAGTGAGGATCTTCCTGCTGCAGAGGACCTAATTTATGTGCTCATGATCCTGATTTTCCCAGGGTTTTGCCTTTGCCCACCTTGGGCTCTCGCTCCCTTCTCTAGTGCAGTCTCTTCAGTCCTCTCAGGGTCATCGTCCTCTCCTCCTCAACTCTGCATTGCACCTTTCAGTGGCTCCACATGGCCTGGCTTCATCCTGACATTTAGGGCTCACCTGTTCGTGTCTGTTCTATGACCAGTCCATGACGTATTTAACCAGATTCTTCTTACAAACATTTAGATTCTTTCCATTTTCTATTATGTGAAATAGCACTGTGATAGCCTTCCTTGCCTTAAATATTTAAAAACAACCATGGTTATTTTATCAGGATCAACTCCTAAAAGAATTTACTAGTTCAAAAGTTTGGCAAAATCATAGGGCTTCCGATACGTAGTGCCCAATAACTAGTCGCTTCTGCTACCTCCCTGTGTGTGTACCTGTACTCCAACCAGACTGGCCCCTGCCCGAGTCCCTGAACACATGGTCTGCTCTGCCTCACACTGGTCTTCCGCCAGCAGTGCCTTCCCTATAACCTCTAGCTGTCAGTGTTTCTGCCATTCCATAAAGTTCTTCTCAAGCGTCACCTGCAGAGGAAGCCTTTCTGGCCTGGATGCCATCTCTTCTTCCTTTGATTTTCCATACCCCATTCAAAACTTCTCATAGAATCGTTTTCAGATTCCATGTTGGATAATGGTTAGATGTACATATTGTTAATTTCCCCAAGTTAAATATTTCTTAAGACCAGAAACTGTGTCTTTCCGCACAGACCTGAGCCCATGCCTTGCAATTGTTGGCCCACAACAAATATTTGTTGAACAGAAGTGAAATGAACTGAATACATATTATATTAAAAGATTGTTGGAATTCAATGAGCTAAAGAAAGCAAAGTATTATTGTAAGCGTTATTGTTAACTCTACATGATACCCGATTTTGAGTAATTCTACTCATACCTGATTAGAAGAAGGCTTCCCTGCTAGGCACAGATTAGGTTTTAAAAATTGCATCAGAAACCTAAGCTTAAACAGAAGCATCATAATAGACTCTGTATTTCTCTGGTTTGAGGCTTAAGAAGCCTGGTTTGCAGTCTCAGATCTGCCGTCAATTACCTACATTGGGACGTGGCCCTGAGTGGCTCGTCCTGTTAGTTCTGTAAACTGAGCTCCTGTGTCCCGTCTGCAGGTGCTGTTGTGCTTTTGGTCCCCAGGACACTGTAAGATTGTGCGGTCTTACAATGCCAGGTTCAGGTTTGATTTAGTTTTTAACATTGGTGGGAAAAGGTTTCAAAGGGCAAAAAGTTGCCTTCTTTACCTGGTGTTTTTCTTCCCCAGGGTTTTTCTCCGTGCTATAAATCAGTTTGCTGAAGTTCTCACAAAATGCTTCATGGATCAGGCAAGCTTTGAACTTCAGGTAGGCATGTGACTCACGTACATGCTTCTGGAATTCTTGACCCATGGCAAGAGAACTATATGAATTTGGAAAATGTCTCCTCAGATTTCACCATTTTCACGTGAACAAGGTTTACCTGTGTTTTGTCATTTTCTAAAGCACACATAGCTGTTCCACTGTCCTCTAAACACAATAAAATAGGGGTTGTTTCTCCTTTCTATAAAGGTAACACATTTTAAAAAAACAAAAAAAAAATTTTAAATAGTAGAAGATCAAAAATACAAATAATCCTCCTTGTCACTGTAAACATTTGGAGTTGACCCTTTGTATATTTACACAAAGACACATAGACACACATAGCTAAAATAAGGACACAGGTAACTCTCCAACCTACAAATGGACAGTTCTAAAGAACAGTTTGTATACACAGTTTGTGAAAGTCTAAAGGAATTGCAGAACAGATTATAGCACTAGCTCTATCTTCATTCACTCATTCGTTGATTCATTAGCTCTGTCTTCATTCACTCATTCATTGATTCACTCATTCATTCATCCATTTAACAAATGTTCGAGTACTTATATGTACAGGGCACTATTTTGTGCCCCAGTAGGGGCATTTCCCTGGTGAAGGCGGGTAAGTTTCCCTTGCTCTCATGCTGCTTACCTCCCAGAGTATTCTGCATTTTGTGGGTGATGTGCTTTCTGTGTTCTTTGTCTTTGTATCTGTGGAACTGTTATCAGTGGAGGTTCTTGACTACAAATTGTCCAGGTTCTTGGCATTTTGAACAAGGAATCGGACAAAATGCACAAAGAAAGCAATGAAAGAATGAAGCAACAAAAGCACAGATTTACTGAAATGAAAGTACACTCCACAGAGTGGGAGCGGGTTCCAGCAAGTGGCTCAAGAATGCTGGTTACAGAATTTTCTGGCATTTAAATGCCCTCTAGAAGTTTCCCATCAGTTACTTGGTTACACACTATGTAAATGAAGGAGTGGCTAGTGACCAGTCTGATTGGTTGTGGGAGGGGACCAATACGTTGAATTTGTCATCTGCCACATGGTACAAAGGGGTAGTCTCTGATCCTTTTGTTACTTGGGTATGGAGAGTGGGGGTTTCCTTTTGATTCAGTTCTAAGAAGTCATTGTGAATTGGCCTTAGGTGCCCTGCCTCCAGGCCATGTTTACTTGCCTCAGAACTTTAAAATGGAAACTCATCATAAGTAGAGGAAATTACACACACACACACACACACACAAACACACACACACACACAGATGCATACACATATGAATATATATTATATGTATGTATATGTATATATGTATATTTTTGCCAAAATGGAATTGAGTTGTGCGGTTCTTTGGTACCCTGTTAAACTATTTTCCTTTCTCAGTTATCTGTGATCTTTTCAATAATGTTGAATATTTTTATATTTTAATGGCTGAATACTGTCTGTTCTATGACTGGTCCATGATGTATTTAACCAAATTCTTATGAACATTTAGGTTGTTTCAATTTTCTATTATGTTAAATAACACTGTGATGGATTTCCTTGCTTTAAATATTTTAAAATGTTCATGGTTGGCTGGGCATGGTGGCTCACGCCTGTAATATCAATACTTTGGGAGGACAAGGTGGGCAGATCACCTGAGGTCAGGAGTTCAAGACCAGCCTGGCCAGCCATGGCGAAACCCTGTCTTTACTAAAAATATGAAAATTAGTCAGGTGTGGTGGTGGGCACCTGTAATTCCAGCTATTCAGGAGTCTGAGGCAAGATAATTGCTTGAACCTGGGAGGTAGAAGTTACAATGAGCCAAGATGACGCCTCTGCGCTCCAGCCTGGGTGACAGAGCAAGGCTTTGTCGCAAAAGAAAACACACACACACACACACACACACACACACACACACACACATTTGTGATATTTATCTTTATGTGTATATACGTATTCGTGGTTATTTCATCAGAATAAAGTCCTAAAAGTGTTTACTTATTCCAAAGTTTGGGAAAATCGTAGGGCTTTTGAAAGATAGGGCCAAACAACCACTATAAATAGATACACTTCTTGACAGCAGTTTTCCTTTATCCCAGGAGTAAAGAAAAATATAATAGTCTAAATCTTTTTTAAGCTTAATATGAAGTCCCAAGACTTTTAGGATTGAATAATCAAAACCCAGGAAAAAGAAATCTTGTCGATTGTATTTTGTTGTTTCATTAATCCCTGATTAATGACTTTTTACCATGTGACACTGTTTTATTATGACCCCTATTCATGTTATTTTTCATTTCCTTTTTACCTACACAATTAATTTTGAACAGCTCTGGAACAATTACTTTCATTTGGCAGTAGCATTTCTCACCCACGAGTCCCTTCAGCTTGAAACCTTCTCACAAGCCAAGCGCACCAAAATTCTTAAAAAGTAAGTGTCCGTTTAAAGTTAAGATTGGGAAGGGGCTTCTTCAGTTTATATTGAGAGCAGTATTTTAGGTATCACAGAAATTACTGTGTAGTGACTATCCATGTTGTTAGTGAGGTAGGCATTAAACTAATTACTTAATGGACCTCATATTACCCAGGTTCACCTCTCTTTTCTTAAGGCCCAACCATCTTCCCATCAGTCATCGAAAGCTTTTTATCAAATATGTACCTGGAGAGGGACCTCAGCTTTCTGCATGCCCCTCCCCAAGAACAGCTGCGCCTCTGCTTGCAGCTTCCCCAAATTGCAGGCATGGTACCTCCTCGCGCATAGTGCTTCGCAAACCACACTCCAGCACAGTGGCTCTACCTCCCTGTCGTTTCAGCAGAGAAAGTCAGGACTCAAACATTGCAGAAAAATACCCTCAAGGTTCCTGGCCTGAAATTCAAAATGGAATTATGTGCAGGAGTGATAAGAGATTTAGGGAAACGTTTCATTTCATTTAGAGACAGAAAACCCAAAGGCCGTGTTGTTAAAAAATAACTTGAGAAATGTATTATTTGAAGACTTCGAAATTTTAGTTCTGTTCCCCTTGTTGGGATCTCTGTTATACCTAGGAGAATTATTTAGTCTCTTCTACCTCTGGTTCCTCCCTCAAAACCTGCCAAAAACTGCAAAGTATTTTTTGCTCCCAAGAACCAATTTGTATCCCTTTATGAGCGGTATCAGTCCCATTGAGAGTGCATGATGTAGAGCCTTCCAATGTGAATACTTTGAAGAACACACTGGAACGGATGTATATTCCCCAAATATAAGTCTGTAAAGTAAATAAGTATTGAGTCTGCCTGTTAGACTTCAGTCACATTACTGGATAATCATACTTTGTTCATCTTCCTTTTCATCAGTGTTTGCCTTGTTTTGTTTGGCTGTGTCTGTGTCTCACTCTTCTCTCTGAAGTGAGTTTGTTAGTCTCATCTTCTCAGTTATTTTTCAGCATTTTTATTTGGCTTTTTATGCTGTCAGGGTCCCCTGGCCTCTGTGTGCCCCATTCCCTTTGGGTGCTCGTTTAGGTATGAACCTCATTTCTTAAGGCTGGGCCTTAAGAGTGACCAGTGGGACACAGACTATTTTTACTTTCTTTCTTAATGTGTTTCTGTGATTCATTTCCACTGTAAATCCTCCTTCTGGTTTATGATCTTCTTCCTAGATACGGGGACATGAGAAAGGAAATCGGCTTTAGAATCCGGGACATGTGGTATAACCTGGGTGAGTGTCTAGCCTTGAACAGGCCTGATCACAACCTCTGAGTCATAAGCATCCCATGATGAATTCTTTTTTTTTATTTTAATCCAGATAACCCTCAGATGTATTTGTCTTTGTGTCTGAAAGTGAAAGTTGATTTGTAGATTTCATTGACAATGAACTGCCTCTTACTCTGGCATCCACATGTTATCAGAATATAATATTGAGTCGCTCACTTCTGAATTGAGTTGATTTTCCCACATAAACCTTTTTTTTTTTTCTTATGGGCCCTGTGGAGGAAGATTGTAACACTTTCCTTTCAGTGAAATAGTTTTTTAATATCTTTATTCACTTTAATTTCAGGTCCCCACAAAATTAAATTCATCCCATCCATGGTGGGTCCGATTCTGGAGGTCACTCTGACCCCCGAAGTAGAGCTCCGGAAAGCCACAATCCCTATTTTCTTTGATATGATGCAGTGCGAGTTCAATTTCAGTGGAAATGGCAATTTCCATATGGTAAGAAGTGGTAGACCCCGTAGTATTAGTAAATGCACATATAGTCAACTCATAACTCATTTCTTTCTATGTCGAGAAGCAGTAACCTAAATAGTGTAAGTCCACATTGATCTGAAAATTCACTGCATATTTCATTTTGTAAAGCAATTAGAGATCAAGTCAGGTAATACAGCCCACAGCCTGGAAGATATTTTTTGCTACATGTCTTTCCTAAGGCAACACCCTGTCTCTGGATAATTCAAAAAACTTAACTACATATATTTTAATCCTGGCTGTTTCAGTATAACCCAGAGAGTATTGAATTTAAAAACCTATCTAATATAGTACAGCTGAAAGCAGTGCAGTGGATTAAGTTCTAATCCATTACTCTATAGCTTTGAGAACGTCTTTTTCCTGATATGTCTTCTCCATGCCTCTGTTTTCTTATCTACAAAGTGTATTAATATTGAAAGGACCTTTTAGCGGCTGTGAACCTCTGCAAAAGCAATCTCACTTCAGAGACTTGAACATGAAACTAAAATAAAGTAGAAAAAGGAGAATTATTTTTATTTTTGTTTTTATCTTTTTAGATGGAGTATTGCTCTGTTGCCAGGCTGGAGTGCAGTGGCGCGATCTCAGCTCACTGCAACCTCCGCCTCCCGGGTTCAAGCGATTCTCCTGCCTCAGCCTCCCAGGTAGCTGGGATTACAGGCGCCTGCCACCATGCTCAACTAATTTTTTGTATTTTTAGTAGAGACGAGGTTTCACCATGTTGGACAGGATGATCTCGATCTCTTGACTTCGTGATCTGCCCTCTTTGGCCTCCCAAAGTGCTGGAATTATAGGCACGAGCCGCTGCACCCAACCTGAGAATTATTATTCTACTTTTACATGCATAGTTGTAACAGAAAGCAATGTTTTGGATAATAATAATTATTTTTTTAATCAAATGTAATGCAAAGCACAAAGTAACATGCGACTACGTTAGAACGTTTTGATAGGGTCTTGGTGCACAGTTTATGTGTGACCCTCTGTGATGCCCCCTATCTGTGCTGGAAACAGTTCACAACTTCATCAGTGGGCTGACCAAGTCTAGAAAAGTTGGCCATGTTGTCTTCTACAGATGCAACATTTTCCTGTGAAACTCTGCCTTTGCTTTCAGTTTGAGAATGAGCTGATCACAAAGCTGGACCAGGAAGTAGAAGGGGGCAGAGGAGACGAACAATACAAGGTCCTTCTGGAAAAACTGTGAGTATTTCAGGGACAAAACTTTAAGTCAGTGGTGTCATTTTAGTAACAGAGAATAACAAGGGTGCTGATGCAATGACAGTCTCAGAATCGCCGAGGCCACCCTACCCTGTGGTCTTCGGTGTGGTTATGGGGTGTGTACTGTCCACGGTTGACATTTTTAATCTAGTGGGAGTCAAATGTTGGTGTCTTCTGGCCAGCCTGGCCCTGGAGAACACAGCAGATGGAAACGAGGAGGAGGTGCACAGAGCAGTGGCATTTTGCCCAGTGTTTGCATTTTTGAACTTCAACAAAAGTCTTAGCACCTCTAATTATAACTGCAAAGCAACAATGTAAAGGAAGAAATATTTCAAGGTCTGCTGTATATGTCACAAACACCTTATGTCCCGTAAAGGACATAAAACCAGAGCAGTTCTGTCTCCAGCCAGATTGGTCTTTGCCCTGCCCTGTCATCCACCTCATTCCACACATCTATACCTCTCTCTGGGCTCCCATTGTCCCCACTGTCCCCCCTTGCCCCACACCACACTCACCTATAACCCTCTTGCCCTCGTCATCCTCCTTCGTACCTGTGGAGTCATGAAGACTGGGAAACTGATTAAAAACCCTTAGGTGCTGGCCTCAGCGAGAGACTGAGCTTCAAACCCTGTTTTCGCCACATATTAAGAGTTTGGCTTTAGTCCAGTGATTCTGCTTATCCAACACCTCATTTTTCTCCCCCTCTCCAAGAATAGCATCTATTTTTTTAATATTATTTTGAGGATTACAGGAGATGATGGGCTAACATAGCATCTGTTGCAGAGTTCATGCCTATTAAGTATTGGCTGCTCTAGTGTTCATGGTTGTCACTATTACAGTTTGTTGTGTATGTGTATGGCTTTTTTTTTTCTTTTTTTTTTTTTTGAGACGAAGTCTTGCTCTGTCACCCAGGTTAGAGTGTAGTGGCACAATCTTGGCTCACTGCAACCTCTGCCTCTGGGTTCAAGTGATTCTCTTGCTTCGGCCTCCCAAGTAGCTGGGATTCCAGGCACCCACCACTGTGCCTGGCAAATTCTTCTATTTTTAGTAGAGACGGGGTTTCACTGTCTTTGCCAGGCTGGTCTCGAACTCCTGAGGTCGTGATCCACCCACCTTGGCCTTCCAAAGTGCTGGGATTACAGGCATGAGCCACCATGCCTGGTCTATGTTTGTTTGTTTGTAAGAGATAGGGTCTCTCTCTGTTGCCCAGGCTGGAGTGCAGTGGTGCCATGATAGTTCACCAAAGCCTTGAACTCCTGGGCTCAAGCAGTCCTCCCTCCTCAGACTCCCAACTACTAGGACTATAGGCATGTGTTGCCATGCCTTGCTGTTTCCTATTTTTATTTGTGTAGAAAAGGAGTCTTGCTTTGTTGCCCAGGCTGGCCTCAAAATCTTGCTTTAAGTGATCCTCCCACTTCAGCCTCCCTATTAGCTAGGACTATAGGCATGTACCACCATGCCCAGCCGGTTATTTTTATTTTTGTAGAGATGGAGTCTTGCTGTGTTGCCCAGGTTGATCTTGAACTCTTGGCCTCAAATGATGTTCCCGCCTCAGCTTCTCAATGTGCTGGGATTACCGGCATGAGGGACCCCGTCTGGCCTACTGTTATTATTATTTACAGGCCTACCCTTCATTCAGGTGGTAGCTACTCTAGACCATTGCTTTCTCATGTCCCCTGACCTTTTCTGATGTTCACCAACTGCGTCTCCAAGTGAGTACTTGCCTTGGTCACTACATTACTCACCTGTTTGTGGATGAGGATCTGTGTTTAAGCACAGGACTCCCAAATGTTTTCGTTTTTGAAGATTCCTTAAGGAACTAGCACTCTGAATACTTAGCAATAGAATTAAATTGATGAATAGTCTGTATTTTAAAGGACCAGAAGTCTTTCTTCTTTTGTTTTTAATGCTGATAAGAACTTTTGTTGGTCTTTTTATCCTGTTTCCATTAAGTCTTTCCATTTGAGCTTCAAACCTCCCAGTTTATATCTTTTGCAATTCTGATGTTACGTGGAATTAGATGGTTATGTGCATATACACCCAATATTTACACATGATAGGCTACTATTTTTAATCCTACAGCTGATTATTTTTACATAAGGATCTTACCTTGTTTTCTTCATTCTTCCTAGATCACTAACTCAGAAAAAATACAGATACATAGGTCTCCAGTGCCCAATAATAACCCTAAATCTGGACTAATGTTTTGGACCCATTTCTTTCTCTTTCCCTCTCCCTCTTGTCCCAGGTTTTCTTTTAATTACCTAATCTAATAAGCCCCAGAATTTGGCTCTATGTGCATCCAAAGGGACAGGATTTAGACTGAAAGTTTAGCCTCAGTTTGCTTCTTCATAACTCTGCATTTTTATCTGAAGCTCAGACTTTAAAGAGCCATGTTTCAATGTTTCAGGAGGTGTGCTAGGTATCTCTAGGCTGGACATCCATCCAAGGCATTCCAGAATGTTTGAAGGATGTCCTGAGTGCCAGTCCTCAGGGAGAATAGAGACAGGAAGAAAATGGTTTCATAGGGCTTGATTCGAGTCCTCAGAGAGCATACATAAGCCTTTTGAGCAAGGGTTTGTTGACTGAATAACACACAAACACAAAAGACATTGAAAGAAGGGCACTGTGGGCTGGGATTCTAAGTGATGGTGGGACTTAAGCTGAGTCCTAAAGGAAACTGGAACTCGAGTCAACAGAGAAGCGCAGCGTAAGCGAAGTTTCCAGGACAGGAAGGTGTTGCCTGAGGTGTGTGTTGGCGTAACTGTGTCACTGCATATCTAAGGCTGACATTCTGTGTCATCAAATCCTGCCCCAACTGCTGCTGAGACCCTGGTCAGTGCTGCTGGAATGACAGTGTGGGACCTGGGCTTTTGTCTCTCCCTCCGCCCCTCCAGGCTTCTGGAACATTGCCGAAAACACAAATACCTCTCCGGCTCTGGGGAGGTCTTTGCCCTCCTGGTCAGCAGTCTCTTAGAGAACCTGCTGGACTACAGAACCATCGTCATGCAGGATGAGAGCAAGGAGAACCGCATGAGCTGCACCGTGAACGTGCTGGTATGTGACACGCCCCTGGGATGGTGGGACGGCACTGCCAGGCTGCTCCTGCACCCCACAGCTCAGCTCTAGGTAGATCTCACAAACACAGAGGCGCCCTGGGGCACTTTTATAGAGCCGAAGTCTTCCTGAGTCTAATTGGAATGGCTGGCTCAGCTCACAGGTATCAGCAGCCACAGACCCTGAGGGTAAATTTGGTGTGTTTTTTGTTTGTTTTCATTTTGATTTCAATAGGTTTGCGAGTACAGGTGGTCTTTGGTTACATGGATAAGTTTTTTAGTGGTGATTTCTGAGATTAGACAGCACCTGTCACCCAAGCACTGTACCCAAAATGTAGTCCTTTATTCCTCACCCCCGCGTAACCTTCCCCGCTGAGTTCCCAAAGTCCATTATGTCATTCGTGTGCCTTTGCTCCCTGAGGATAAATATCCCCTTTTCTTGTGGGGATATTTTTTAAAGGGAAACTGAACTCTTTGGAAAAGTTAAACTGTGGGAAAGCGACAATAGTGGTTTTGGCTATTTTTGTGGCCAGCTCGTCAGTAGCTCTTGATTTATGTTGGGATTTTATGATCCTCTTTTTTTTTTTTTTTCTGGCAGAATTTTTATAAAGAAAAGAAGAGAGAGGACATATACATACGGTAAGCTGAAGGAAACATCTTGCTTCTGCTATTTATTTCATGGCTTTGTGATTGATTTCTTCAGTAAACAAATACCGTGCCCAACACCATGTTTGCTGCTTGGAGAGAACCCTAAAAGTACAGCTTCATTCACCCTGAACAGAAAAACTCTTTTAGACAGATACATGAGTAATTACGACCAGAAGGAGTGCATAAGTGAGGTCATGACAGGGATCCGGGAGAGATACACAACTTCTCTCTGCCTGGGAGGGCAGGAGAGGCTATAGAGGGAGGGGCTGTGTAGGGAGAGGCTATACAGTGAGAGGCAGGAAAACCTGCCAGAGAGTCCTAGCATCAAGTCTGCAAGTTCCTGAACATAAAACAAACTTGTACCTAACCAATATGCATGTTCTTGAGGAGAGACTCCATAGCTTTCATTAGCTTCCCAAAGGGATCTAAGACCTAAGATTTAAAAATATTAAGCATCACTACCTTAAAGAAAGAGGAGAGGTCGGGCACAGTGGCTCATGCCTGTAATCTCAGCACTTTGGAAGGCTGGGATCACAAGGTCAGGAGTTCGAGACCAGCCTGACCAATATGGTGAAACCCCATCTCTACTAAAAATACAAAAATACAAAAATTGGCCAGGCATGGTGTTTAGCACCTGTAATCCCAGCTACTCGGGAGGCTGAGGCAGGATAATCGCTTGAACCCAGGAAGCAGAGGTTGCAGTGAACCAAGATCACTCCACTGCACTCCAGCCTGGGAGACAAAGCGAGACTCCATCTCAAAAAAAAAGAGGAGAAACTCTGTCTAGTTTAGATGGAGTCAGAAAAATTTGGAAGCAGGAGGCTGCACAGTGTATTAAAGAAATGGAGAGGAACCAACTCCTTGGCTCAAGAGGAAGGAAATGCTTTCGTACAATAATGGGGAAGGGGATCAGGCAGGGAAGCAGGCTGGGGTCTGGTTATGGAATGAGCTGAACACTAGATCAACTCTCGAGCCTGGGCAACATGGCAAAACCCTGTCTCTATAAAACATATGAAAATTAGCCAGGCTTGGTGGCACATGCCTGTGGTCCCAGCTACTCAGGAGACTGAGGTGGGAGGATCACTTGAGCCCTGGAGCTCAAAGCTGCAGTGAGCTATGATCATACCGCTGCACACGCCAGCCTGGGCGATACAGCAAGACACTGTCTCCAAACAAAACAAAACAAAATAAACAAAACAGAAAACTCTTGAATGACAAAATGCTTCCTTTCTCCTCTTCTTGCCAGATATCTATACAAGCTTCGAGATTTGCACCGAGACTGTGAGAACTACACAGAAGCTGCCTACACGCTTCTCTTGCACGCTGAGCTTCTGCAGGTGAATGGCTGAGAGCCTTTTTCAACAGGGTGGAGTACAGTGTCCTTTCAGACTAAATGCTATACCTTTCAGGAATTTAATGGGAAAAAACCTTATTCCAGGGATATCCTTTTATACAAGTTGGTTTTTTTAAAAAATTCTTTTTAAATAGGCACAACTAGTTTGCAGATCAAGTATGGGAAAATTCCAGTTACCTTTTATTTAAAAATCCGTGTAAAGCAGACCATGACTTAGGAACCTTTGGTAATTGACACTCTAATTAAAAATAAAACACACATTGATGAATACATCTAAAATACATAAAATGCAGAAAACTGCAGAAAGATGAGTTGTAAGTGAATATAATACCATAGAAGTACTCTACTATTGATACTCTCTCCCTAAATAGATTTATGTTGTGGCTGGATATAAATACATCTATATGTTATGGATCTCAAGTAATTATTTCTGGCCCTGAGTACTTCCTCTAACTTTGGATTGTTGTATAAACTTTGACTGGCTAATACGTAACTCAGACTGAACAAACCAGTAACAAGAACCTTGATTTCTCACTCTGCTCCTCCCCAGCCCATCCTACCGCACCTCATTACCATGTTACTAATAACATTCCCATCTATTTAGTTGCTCAGGCAACCTCATAGTCATCTTTGATTTCTCTCTTTTACTCACCACCTCCCACATTTCTTCACAAGCAAGAGATGTGTCGCCTCTGTTCAGAACATGCCCCTAACCTATCCACTTTTTTTTTTTTCTTAAGAGATGAGTTCTCCCTATGTTGTCCTGTCCGGTCTTGAACTCCTGGGCTCAAGCAGTCCTCCCACTTCAGCCTCTCAGGGTGCTAGGCTTACAAGTGTGGGCCACCACACTGGCCAGTCCACTTTTCTTCATCTCCCTGGATACCACCTTGGTCCATGCCATCAGCCTGTCACACCTTGAGGACTATAGCAGCCTCCTGTTGGATCTCTCTGCCTCCAGTCTTGTTCCTAGCTATTCATATTCTTTTACAGTTAATTTTTTATTTTATACTAAAGTAATATGCATGCATTGTCCTAAGATATGAGTTAAAAACAGGATTCCTATGCTTCACCACTTCCCAAAGGAAATTCACAATTCATATTTAAGTGGATAATGGGTCAGACACGGTGGCTCATGCCTGTAATCCCCACACTTTGGGAGGCTGAGGCCAGCAGATCACTTGAGGTCAGGAGTTCAAGACCAGCCTGGCTAACATGGTGAAACCTATGTCTACTAAAAAATACAAAAAATTAGCAGGGCATGGTGGCACATGCCTGTAGTCCCAGCTACTCAGGAGGCTGAGGCAGGAGAATTCTTGAACCTGTAAGGTGGAGGTTTGCAGTGAGCTGAGATGGTACCACTGTACTCCAGCCTGGGTGATAGAGCAAGACTCTGTCTCCAAAAAAAAAAAAAAAAAAAAAAAAAAGCTTATTGTATATAGCTTAGAAGGTGAAGCTATTGACTATGGGTTTTGCCATTGCACGATCAGAAAGAAATCCCCAGTGTCTGTAACTGTAGGTCTTTTTATTTGGGCAATTCAGTAACTGTCCTATTCTGGTGTAAGGTATGAGGTATAAATGTAGCTTTTTTCCCCTTAGTATGCTATTAAATAGAGATGCTGTTTGTTACGTATAGGTCACATTTTACTTATTGGTATAAGATTCCATCTTTATTACTAAATCCTTGTTTTTGTGGGGAGGGAATCTCTTTCTAGATTGTATATGCTTTTACATGGGTCTCTGTCTATTCATGTACCAATACCACACTGTATTAATTATGAGTTCTTGATAGTATGTTTTATTACCTGGTAGTTACTCTTGGTTGCTCTTCTTTTTCAGAGTTTTCCTACCTATTCTTTTTGTTTCTTTTTCCATATGGACTTTGGAAACATGAAATTTAAAAATTAATTTAGTGAGAATTTACATGTTTATGAAATAGAGTTTTCTTATCCAAAAGCATGGTATGACTCTCCATTTGTTCGAGTCTGCTTTTGTGCCCTTCAGTGGCTTGTGAAAGTTTTCTGCATATAAGTCTTGTGTATTCCTTGTAATGTTCACTCTTAGAAATGTTATCTTTTTGGACTTATTTTTGTTTGGTTCTGTTCTTGTATTATCTTCTGTATATTTAGTTTCCATGTATCTGAGGTCTCTTTTAATCCAAGTATATTAATGTTTTTCCTGCTGCATAACTTAATTCTCTTATTGCCTATAGCAGTTTGTTAGTCAACAGCCTTGCCTTGTGAGGAATACAACCATAATGCTTGCAAATTGTGATAGTTTTACCTCTTTCTATTCATTTTTATACTCCTAATGTGTTTCTTTTAACTGACTATATTAATGACGGCCCAGTACAGCGATAGGCATGCTGGTTAGCGACCTTCTCTTTATCGCTGATTTTGTGGGGGATTTCTGCGAGTGTTCATTCATTTGGCGTGATAGTTGTTTTTGAGCTGGCATGTGTCTGTGTGTGTGTGTAACTTCTGAGTTTAATACATAAGCTAAAATACAATGTCAATGAGTCAAATATATATGCAATACCATCTTGATTGTGAGGAGCGGAATATTTGTCGTATGAACTGTGTTGCCTTCCTTCCTTTTCAGTGGTCTGACAAGCCCTGTGTGCCTCATTTGCTTCAGAGGGACAGTTACTATGTTTATACTCAGCAAGAGCTTAAAGAGAAGCTGTATCAAGAAATCATATCGTATTTTGACAAAGGCAAAGTGAGTATTGGATTGTTTTTGTACTGGGGGAACAAGGACGTGACTGCAGTATCTCGGTGCAATTCAGATGCTCACCGCTTAGAGTTATCACTGACTACGCAGGTTCAGGGCACCGTCTCCAGCGAGACTGTGCCCTCTTTAGATGCCATCCGCAAGTTTTTAGGGGTCCCCAGTCTCTTCACAGTTCTGGGCCACTGGCTATAAATTTGGGGGGCTCCCACTACCCCCTCAGGCTTCATAGTCTACTAGAACAACCAACAGAGCACAGTTAAGTGCTATATTTAACGATTCCAGCTTCATCAAGAAGGATGTAAACTGGGGCCAGCCAAATGAAGGGACCCATAGGGAACAGCCTGGGAGAGTCCCAAGCACGGGACTTCTGTGTCTTCCCCCCTGAAGTTGGGGCACCTTCCCAGCAAATCAGTGTGTTCCTCAATCAGGAAGCTCACCCAAGCAGTGAGTCCACAGAGTTTTCATTGAAGTTTCTTTTTTTTTTTTGGTAGATATGGAGTCTCACCAGTTGCCCAGGCTGGTCTAGAACCTGGAACTCCTGGGCTCCAGTGATCCTCCTGCCTTGGTGTCCCAGAGTGCCAAGGTTACAGGCATGAGCCACTGTAGGGCTTCATGATACAGACATAATTGATTGAATCTTTAACTACATGATGAACTTGATCTTTAGCCTTCCTTTTGTCCCTGGAGGTCAGGCTGATACCACGTGGCTCACAGCCCTAACCTTCTAGTCACGTAGTTGGTATTTCTGGCATGGTAGCCCCCATCCTGAGACTAGCAGGCCACCATGAGTCACCTCATTAGCATAGATTTGGGTGTGATCCTGGGGTGGTGGCACCAGGAAAAACAAAGACTCTTATTATGTGAGAAATTCTGAGGGTTTAGGAGCCACCTCACTGGAACTCAGGACCAAGACCAGATACATTATTTAATATAGAACAATAACAACTGCTGTTTATTCTCTCCTTGTGTATCCTTGAATTCTGAGATTTCAGAGGGGGACAAATTTTGCAAACAATGACTTTAAAAGATTTAATTTTGAAGTGTTTCACAGTGGCTTGTGGGCTCTGCACACATTCCTTCAGCAGCCAGAAATGATGGAACATAGCACCTTGTGAACAGGAATGAAGCAGGAAGTGACCCAATGCTGTGGGTTGAATAGTATCCGTCTAAGAGACAGCTCATGAAATACCAAAGGGATTAAAAGGCTCAATCTGGACTGCTAGCCTCAGACACTGAGGACACGTGTTGGTCTGTAACTTCCAAGGTTATACATGCTTGGAGGCATTTCCTAAAACTCGCATCTACTAAGTGGGGGAATCAGTGCCCGGCATGTATATGCAGATTGCCAAATTCCACACAACAGTACTGTGAGCTTTTTCCATCCCACAAGCATCGTAACTACACCTACACACACACACACGCCCCCGTACACACGCACAAACACACACGTTTCTGAGTCCCACTGAAGCTTCCTTTCCCCCTCCAACAAGACTTGCATGCTCTCCAAACCTCGGCTGACAATGGGTCCTCTCTACTTTCAAGCGTTGTAGGTGCTTTGCCTGTTAAATGCAGTATTGCTTTTTGGGGGACACATGGTACTTACTCTTAATGTCCTTGCAAACCGAACTACAGAAGCTGCCCCTGGCAAAGCTGCCAATCTACAGTATCTTTATGATGTCATAAAATGAAGGTTTCATTGATCCAAGGGATAAAGCAAGTGAGGAATATTTACCAAAACTCAACCCCCCGACCACTTGATCATTCCCAGTGACTTGCCTGCGGCTTTTGCCGCTGGATCAGTGACTGCCTTGTTCTCCACTTTAACCCTACTTTCCTTTTTCTGAAGATGTGGGAGAAGGCCATCAAACTGAGCAAAGAGTTGGCTGAGACTTACGAAAGCAAAGTATTTGACTACGAGGGCCTTGGCAACCTCCTGGTGAGTCTGGGTCCAAATCTGTTCAGCCTCCAACAGGGTTGCTAAAATTGGTGCTCATGAAAATATTTCTGTAAATCAAAAGGATGAATTGTGTCTTTAACAGTGGGAAAGTAAACTTTGCTTGAAATGAGAATGAAAAAGAAAAGATACAGTGCAAAGGCTACATCAGTATTTCTGCAAATTATTCTTCATGGGAGGCTCAGAACTTCCCTGGAAGTGGAATGGGGTTGCCTTGAAAGTGTAGAATATTGAGTTTCATATAATAGTGACTCACCTTCCACATCCCTCAGAATCTCCGTCTGCAGCTCTCTCTTTCTTCCTGAAGCAATTTTTCTTTCTGTGGACCTTCCATATTCCCAGCCATCAGTAAAGCAAAACAAAAATGAATGCCCAGTGGAAGACAGCTGCCATTCCGAGTGCCCAGTGGAAGGCAGCCACTATTCTGAATGCCCGGTGGAAGGCACCCACTATGCCAAATGCCCGGTGGAAGGAAGCCACCATTCTGAGTGCCCAGTGGAAGGCACCCACCGTTCCAAATGCCTGGTGGAAGGCACCCAGTATTCCAAATGCCCAAGAGAAGGCAGCTACTATTGTAAATGCCTGATGATAGACAGCCACCATTCTGAATACCCAGTGGTGGCAACCACAATATTGCATTCAGTAATTTTTAGTAGAGGAGATAGAAAAGATCAGATCACCCATAGTCATGAAATTATCATTTGTTTGAGGAGCCATGTGTCAAGATAACTTTGTAAAAAGTCTACCACTGTACTATACCAGCCCCTGCTGTCACGTGCAAAAAAACTAACATATTAATATCATCAACTAGGCCAGATGCTGTGGCTAACACCTGTAATCCCAACACTTTGGGAGGTTGAGGCAGATGGATCACCTGAGCCCAGGACTTCCAGACCAGTCTGAGCAACATAATGAGACCCCATCTCTACAAAAAATACAATAAATTAACTTGGTATGGTGGCACGTTCCTCTAGTCCTAGCTAATTTTTGGGAGGCTGAGATGGAGGATCACCTGAGCCTGAGAAGTCAAGGCTACAGTGACCTGTAATCATGCTACTGCACTCCAGCCTGGGCAGCAGAGTGAGATCCTGTCTCAAAAAAAAATTTTTTTTTCATCAACTGAACTGAGCTGAAATACTAGTAATGCAACATGTTACCAGTCTAAGAAAATAGTATTTTGACAGAGCCCGTCACCTAGATAGAAGAGTAACAGCATGCTAAGTATTGTGGGGATGGGGCTCAGGTCATTGCTCAGAGCTTCCCAGGTCTGGCTGGCTATTTTGCTTTCTTTAAGGCCAACCCTGTGAGTCAGAGCTGGGAAGCCCCTCGTCCTCTGCAGAATTAAAGATAGAAGTGGTAGCAAGTACTGAAAAACAGAACATCACCACCACCTTCTGGGCACTTACAATTCACCAGAAAATTTCATCCAAACCACCTGCATGGACTGCACAGTTCTTCTTTTAAAAAGTTATTTATTATTAGAATGTTTTTGAAACAGGGTCTCACTGTCACCCAGGCTGGAGTGCAGTGGTGCAGTCATGGTTGCAGCCTTGAACTCATGGACTCAAGACAACTTTCTGCCTCAGCTGCTGGCTAATTTTAAAATTTTTTGTGAAGATGGGGTCTCACTATGTTGCCCAGGCTGGTCTCAAACTCCTAGCCTCAAGCAGTCCTCCCACCTCTGCCTCCCAAGGTACAAGGATTATAGGTATGAGCCACTGTGCCTGACCTTGGAAGGAAGGTCAGGAGGAAGAATCTTCTTTATCTCCTCCCATGGGTTTCTGGTGAAGTGCAGCCACCTTCTGTGAATCTCAGAATGCACCTTTTAACCTTTCATAGGTCCCGAGCCCAGTTTGAGAAATTGCTCAAGGTTGTGCACTGCCCTGTTACGCAGAAGAATTTGAATGTGCACACACTTCTGTGGAAGTGCATACACCCTCAGGGAATCCCAGCCCTCCAACACCCATTCATGGAACCCAGGTCCATAACCTGTGATCCGAGAACAGAGTCACCCTTTTCCGCCCATAGGGTGTTGTCCAAAGACCTTTCGTTGCCCTGCGTTACATGGGAAACAACAAAACAAAGTCTGACTTTTTCCCCCCCAATCGTGTCCTTACAGCCTCCCCTTGGAATGTCTTGTTTTGTTTTGCAGAAAAAAAGGGCCTCGTTTTATGAGAACATCATTAAGGCAATGAGGCCTCAGCCTGAATACTTTGCTGTTGGATACTATGGACAGGGCTTTCCTTCTTTCCTACGGGTAAGAAACCTGATGGTGGTCTCCCAGGCCATTAGGAGGAGGGAGGAGACTCATTTCTTTTCCAGATGGGCAGCAGTGTGTTAGCAGCTGCCGCCCCGTGTTCTCGCTGTGGGCGGTAGGGGAGGGAAACCACTTTCTGAGCGGCCGGCCTCTTCACCCCACACCCCCGGACACCCCTGGTGTTCTGGCAGGTCTTTTGTGAAATGACTTTTCCCAGGTGCAGTAAAAAAGGGAAAAAACAGAACCATCCCCTGCACTGGTCAGCTGCCACGGGTCACACCCGGGGCGGGGGGGTGGGGGTGGGAAGTGTGGACTGATACATTTTGTTGTTTATTTTGTTCCTAGCCAGAGCTAATTTGAAAGTAGGTATCCCAAGAACCAGACTGCAAGAGTCTCTCAAATTAAAACATTTTATTATAATAATAATGACAACGATGGTATTTTCTTCCATTTCAAAATTGTCTGTAATGCGATATTCATTTTACAGTTTAATAAACAAAAATTCTTATCTGTTACTAAAAGAAAGTTTCTCTTAGAGCTGAGCTTTGCTTAAACATTTATTATCCATCTCCTTTCTCCTAATTTTAAAACAAGTAGTAAAGCAAGCAACTTACATTCCTAAGAATGCCTAATGAAGAGACAGTTTATTCATTCAGTCAGTAAATATTTATTGAGTGTCTACTCTGTGCCAGGCGTAGAGAAGGCATTAAAAATATCTTGGTGATTACAATCAAACATAGTTCCTACCCTCATGGATTTTACAACCTAAATTAATGAGGGGAGATTTTAATCACACATGAATGTAAAATTTAAACGGCCGGGTGCAGTGGGCTGGTCTGTAAGCCCAGCACTTTGGGAGGCTGAGGCAGGCAGAACACTTGAGGTCAGGTATTCAAGATCAGTGTGGACAACATGGTGAAATACTGTCTGTACTTAAAATATAAAAATTAGCCAAGCATGGTGGTACATGCCCTGTAATCCCAGCTACTCAGGAGGCTGAGGCAAGGGAATTGCTTGAACCCAGGAGGAGGAAGGATGCATTGAGCAGAGATCACACCACTGTACTCCAGCCTAGGTGACAGAGCTAGACTCCGTCTCAAAAATAAATAAACAAACTGTAACCAAGAAAGATATCCTGTACTATAAGAATCTGTAACCAGGAAGTATTTACCAAAGTGAAATAAAAACTTACCCCTTTACAAAAAAATGTACAGGAATGTTTATAGCAGCAGCTTTAATCATAGTCACCAAAGACTGGATCCAATCCAAGTGTCCCTGATGTGGTGACGGGATGAACAGAATGCTGTGTATCCACACAACAGAATCCTGCAGCAGCCACAGGCAGCAAGCTCCTGAAATGCACAGCTGCAGGCGTGATTCCCACATGCATCTTGTGAGGCGAAAGAAGTCAGACTTAAAAGGCTGCCGACTCTGTGGTTTTACTTATGTGAAATTCTTGCCAAGGCAACACTTCCTATCAGGGCAGAAAATAGATCAGTGGTTGCTGGTCAGGGGGAGGCTGGCTGCAGAAGGGCCTGGGGAAAGTTTCGGTGGCAATGAAACTGTTCTGTATATTGATTGGGCTTGGTTATGTTTGTCAGAACTCACAGAAATTTTACACTCAAAGGGGTCCATTTTACTCTATGTAGATTATGTCTTAATATTATTTATTTATTTGTTGAGACAGTGTCTTACTCTGTCATCCAGGCTGAAGTACAGTGGTGAGATCTCTGCTCGCTGCAACCTCTGCCTTTTGGGTTCAAGCAGTTTTCAAACCTCAACCTTCCAAGTAGCAGGGATTACAGGCGTGCACAACCAGGCCTGGCTAATTTTTGTATTTGATAGAGATGCAGTTTCACCGTGTTGGCTAGGCTGATCTGAAACTCCTGACCTCAGATGATCCACCTGCCTTGGCCTCCCAAAGTTTTGGGATTGCAGGTGTGAGCCACCACACACAGCCTATGTCTTAATTAAAAAAAAAAAAAAAACAATCAGGGCCTGGAATAGTGGCTCACACCTGTAGTCCCAGCTACTCAGGAGGCTAAGGCAGGAGAATCACTTGAGCACAGGAGGTGGAGGTTGCAGTGAGCCGAGACTGTGCCACTGCACTCCAGTCTGTGCTACAGAGCTGGACTCTTGTCTCACAATAAATAAAATAAAACATGAGGAAAGGCTTTCCAGGGAACTTCTGTTTCAGCTGCAATCTGAAAGGTAAGGTTGGAGTGGAGGAGGTAAAGTGAGTAGGAAAAAGGACTGCAGGCAGAGGAAGCAGCAGGTAAGAGCAGGGCAGTGCCTGGGAAGGAAACAGTGCCAGTGCAATAGGCACAAAGAGAGCTGGGCTGCCAGTGGGGAGGCGAAAAGCCCTGGAAGAGCCTGCAAGGCCTTGGGGTTTCCTGGGGTGTTCCGTCTGTATCCTGAGAGCAGTAAGAGCCACCACAGATTTTTCGTGTTGGAAAGGTCATCTGGCTTTGGTCTCCATGGTCATCCATGGAAAATGGACAGAAGGTGCTTGAGAATAAACCGCTAAGAGACCATTGCACATGTTCAGAAAAAAGATGACAGGCTAGACTTGGGAAGTGGGGGTGGTGGCTTTAGAGAGAAGCGGAAAGACTCGAGCAGTGGAGATGAAGTCACTGCATCTGATGATTGATGGGCTGCGTGGGTGAGGAAGCGAGAGGTGCCGAGAATGATTTCTGGGCTTCTGTCCTGCGTCATTGGAGGGGTAGTTGAACCCCCATTTACTGGGACAGCACGACCAGAAAAGGCCAGAGTCATGGAGGAGAGAATGAATTTATTCCTTGAGTAATTATTTATTAAACTCCTACCATATACTTGGCTCTAATACAGGCATGGGAGCGAGTCAAAACAAACCAAAATCTTGAAATTATCAAGCTTGGAGTGATCAAAAAATGAGATCAATCAATCAACTATTTAGTATGTCAGATGGCCTGGAGCACTGTTCAGTAAGTATCGTGGAGAAGAGGTCTTAGGGACGGTGACTAGAGAGGCAGGTGTTGGGGATGGAGTTGCAGTTTTAAATAGAGTAAACAAGAAAGACTTCCAAAAGAAAATGACATTTTTGAAAAAAAAAAAAAAAAAAAAAAAAACAGAAAAGAAGTTAAAGAGTAAGCCATGCAGCTCTCAAGAGGATGAGCAAGGGTCCCAGACCTGGAGAATAGCAGGTCCCAAAGCTGTGAGGCTGGAGTAGTGTGTACAAGAGGGTGCACAGGAGAATGGGGCTGATGGCTGTGGCTACCAGATAGCAGAGGGCCTCCCAGGGCTTTCTAATGTATTTGCCAAAGTTTGGTATTGCACATACTCAAGGGGAGGTAGAGTTGGAACATCCAAAAGGCGCAAGTCCACCATTAGCTGTATAGATCTGGAACTCAAATGAAGTTACAGACAGGAGGTAAAAGTTGGTGAGTTACTTAGATGTAGTTAAAATTACCATGGATGGGGATGAAATGGATCAGGCAGAGGAAAGACAATAAAGAGTGGAAGGTCTGGAGCCAAGCATAGCGACTCATGCCTATAATGCCAGCACTTTATTAGGCCAAGACAGGAGGCTCACTTGAGCCCAGGAGTTTGAGACCAGCGGTTCAAGACCACCCTGGTCATCATAGCATGACCCGATCTCTAAAAAAAATTTTTTTAATGAGCCAGGCATGGTAGCATGTGCCTGTGGTCCTAGCTACTCAGTAGACTGAGGCAGGAAGATTGCTCGAGGATTGGAATTAGAAGCTGCAGTGAGTTGTGATCAAGCCACTGGATGATAGAGTGATATATCCTGTCTCAAGAAAACAAAAATTAAAAAATAGAAAAACTATAGCCTCTAAATGCATCAGGGTCTAGTGTTAGCTCTAGTTTAATCCAGGTCAACATAAGAGAACGGGTACCCCAGCTGTACTTGTTACATATGCCTGTGTGTTGCATGAAATCAGGAAATGTGACCCCAGAGACAGCCGTGGTTCCATGAAATCAAGAACACCAGACTTTCAACTGGAAAGCATTCTAGTCTAAATCACCTCCTGAGTGAGTGTGTGATTTTGGTCAATCACGTAATCTGTGAGTCTTGATTTTCTGATCTGTAATTTAGAAAAATAATGCCTATATCACAGGAAAGTGTTGAGAATTAAATAGCATATAGGAGTGCTTATTAAACTGTTAGATTATAGCCATTAACATACCTCAAAGTGTACTATAGAATATAAAATCGTTAGGAGTGATGTAACCTCAGTTGCCCTTCCATTCTATGGGATATTTCTCCAAAATCAGAATATATAAAATTAGATCGTCTCTTTCCAACCCAATGAGATCTCATTATCGGCCTTTGTTTCCATCATGGGTACCAGTGTTCTTCCTACTCCAAGACCAGTGACTTTTTTTTTTTTTTTAAGAGATGGGGTCTTGCTCTGTCATCCAGGCTAGAATGCAGTGGTGTAATCACAGCTCCCTTCAGACTTGACGTCCTAGGCTCAGGCAGTTATCCTGCCTCAGCCTCCTGAGTAGGTGGGCTAACAGGCATGCCCCACTCTTCACAGCTAATGTTTTTAGTTTTTCTTAAATATAGGGTTTCTCTGTGTTACCTAGGCTCAAGACCAGTGATCTTTGAATTAGCGTCAACTCTCCTGTCTGCCTTCTCTTCTCCCAACACCCAAGAGGCAAACGCTGTTACTTTTCCCTCTCCTGCTGTTACTTTTCCTTCTCCTGCTCCGTTCAGCCTGTGAGCCTTCAGTTGGGCATGGATTCCACTGTTGGCTTGCATTGTCTACACTTCTTTCGTCATGCGGCTGCCGCCTTCCAGAACCTCCAGTGAACATGCCTTTGAGACTTTGAAACCCCTGTGTGCTATGCAAGACCATTCATAGTGTGGCTCATTCTTCCAGTCCAAGTTCATCTCTTCTCCTGGAACTCTGATCTTTCTGCCCCTGGGCCTTCCCCTTCCCACATACCCACCTGGTCCTTCTCACCCCTTACCTTTCCTCATCTCATTCATCTGTCTTATGTCCATCTAAGGCCCATGATTCCCTTGAAGCTTTCTCCTTCCAGCTGAGCTAATTCTTGCTGACCTGCTTCTCTGATTCCTTTGACAGTTACCGTCTGCATCATACAACTAGCGTTTTATTATCCTCTGATCCTTTGCCCACCTTGTTTCATCTGAATGATAGAATTTCAACAGGCTTAAGTCCCATAGAGTTTTCCTAGCTTGGAAAGTGTTACCATGTATTCCAAAAGATCCAGCAGTCTTTACTCCCGTCATTCAGTGTTTGCCTGGAAAGTGTAATTGCCTTCACGATACTTACACTATCATGTTTACTTATTTATTTACTTGCCTGTTTTTTATTCTCTCCTCTAGCAGGTAAGTTCTGTGAGAGGAGAATCACCATTATATTCCTATTTTCCAGCTGATCTTCTGTTTGCTCAATAAATATTTGTTATATGAACGGACAGGTGATTTTCAAAGACATTTTGGAAGACAACCTGGGCCCAAGTCTTGGTTAAAAATGAAGCATGTGGCCGGGCGCGGTGGCTCAAGCCTGTAATCCCAGCACTTTGGGAGGCCGAGACGGGTGGATCACGAGGTCAAGAGATCGAGACCATCCTGGTCAACATGGTGAAACCCCGTCTCTACTAAAAATACAAAAAATTAGCTGGGCATGGTGGCGCGTGCCTGTCATCCCAGCTACTCAGGAGGCTGAGGCAGGAGAATTGCCTGAACCCAGGAGGCGGAGGTTGCCGTGAGCCGAGATCGCGCCATTGCACTCCAGCCTGGGTAACAAGAGCGAAACTCCGTCTCAAAAAAAAAAAAAAAAAGAAAAGAAAAAAAAAAATGAAGCATGTGTGTGCCACCCGTCCAAACTACTCATTTCATACGTGGCTGTGTTTGCACTTGCCCAGACAGCCACAGCTGTGAGACAAATTACTCCCATTCCTGGGGCCTAGGAAATTTCTTTGGGAAAAAAAAATTGATTAAACAGATTAAATTTACAGTTTCGAGTGCAGAAAATAGTATTTAATGCAGTGATTTCTATCAGACTTTCTGGATTGGCTGGAGACTGTGGTCCATTGCTCCTGTTCTCTGTGACTCTGTCTGTGCCAGAAGACACTTAGGTAGTGCTGTTCAAGTGCTGGTCCACAAACTGTTCCTGGATCATCATGAGATCGTTAAGGAGTTCCTCAGTGTAAATTAATGCACTTCCTTCCTTCCTTAGGAAGATACTTTTGTTTTGCCATGAAAATATCAGCGTGCCTGGTCATGCCATTGATTTAAATGAGGGCACAAGTTCCTTATTTCCTTGCAGATGGATCCTGACTGTTTACAGACTGGCCATGGTCCTTGTACCACACTGGAAGAAGCACTGGCCTAAGTATTTTTCATGCCTATGATTTAACTTCTGAAATAAACCACAGCTCTTGTAAGATATGACGGTTACTGCTGGGCATGGACTAGATATTCAATGAGAACTCGATGGCGTGGACTGAACTTTGGCTAGGGAGTGCCATGTCTCCCTCAGAACCCAGAACGCCAGTTGCCTCTTCATTCTTCTTATTTAATGACTTCCCTTGCTGTCTCTCTCCTGCAGAATAAAATCTTCATCTATCGGGGAAAGGAATATGAGAGGCGAGAGGACTTCAGCCTGAGGTTGCTAACCCAGTTTCCCAATGCGGAGAAGATGACCAGTACCACGCCTCCTGGGGAAGACATAAAGTCCTCTCCCAAGCAGTGTATCCTTCCTGTGGGGAATACGGCTCTGAGGCTCTTACGGCTCTGCACAGCCCCAGCTAAGCCAGTGAAGATAGGTGCTACAGTCCCATCCTCTCAAACTCTCTGATGCTGGTTCCCATTCCATGTATAATCCTTGGGACCCTAATAGTGTTAGCTGGTGGTGATGACATAGCAAAAGAAGAGCTAATAGACAAATGATGGATATGAAATATACTTCCTAGCCAGATGGCGAGCTTAAGTGGAACAGAGACTTCCTATTCTGAATTCTGGATTCTGTTGCAGACTTTGAAACAGTATCTCTGCACTGGTGGGTTGAGGTGCTAAGACTTTCTAAGACTCCATCGTTAAATCAAACCAGGTGCCGTTACCCTCGAGCAGGTATTGAAGCCTAAGTTAACCACTTACCACTTGTGTGATGTTGAATTTTAACCTCTCTTATCTTCAGATTCTCCACCTGTGAAAAGAGAATAAATAATATCCCTCTTGCAGAGTTGTTGTATTAGAGATAACATATTAAAAATACCTAGCACAGTACCCAGCTGTGGCACAGGGTAAACAGATGGAATCCAAAGATAAAAGCAATTCCTGTTGCCTGGGCTCGGAGTCTGGTAATTTCAGAGAAATGCTTGTCCCAATAAATTGTTTAAATTCACTTCTAAGCACCTATTTCCTGATATTGCATTGACGTCTATTTCCTTGTGGCAAAGGTGTTGATGTCTGACCAAAAAACAAATAAATAGATAATACGAAGAAGGGTCCTAGGATTAATTGTAATCATTGACTAAGACATTTTGGTGATACATAAAGGAACTCCATTTTCAATAGAGTCCTGGCATTTGGCTCAAAGGGAGTGATTGGTGCTGGTGGCATTTCTGGCTGTGAACCAGGAGGAACAGGGGCCTTTGCTGTCTGACATCTTGGTGGCCCTAGCCCTTCTCCTTTCCTTAACGAGCTCCTCAGACATGCAGTGCTTCACCGTAAAGCCAGTGATGAGCTTGCCGCCCAGCTACAAGGATAAACCAGTTCCAGAGCAGATCTTAAAGTAATTGGTTTTTCATTAAAAGAAAAAAAAAAAAAAATCCTTGTCTAGGCACAGTGGGTCACATCTGTAATCTCAACATTTTCCAAGGCTGAGGGAGGAGTTTTGCTTGAAGCCAGGAATTTGAGACCAGCCTGGGTAATAAAGTGGGACTCTGTCTCTGCAACAAAGAGAAAAGTTGGTTTCTCTCTCACACTTGTTTGGAGTATATAAAAACCAAAGCCTTGTATTTGTTACAGTTTGCAAGACCTACTGTCTTTTCTACTTTGAGTGTAAGATAAAAGCTTGGTAATTCACAGGGATGTGGGGTTTTGTTTTTTTAGGCAGAGGAAATTCAGGAACTTCTCTCCTAGCTTTCATATTCTTGAGCATTTATTTTCACCCAGAACCATCACGGAGGAGTGGCTGGTCCCCAGTGATGGAGGGCCTTATTTCCCCTGTTGAAAAGTTGAATGCTAATAGGGTTGATAGAACTCTTATAAAACTGTACAAATGAGATGACAAACGTAAGTATAAGTGCATACACGTTTTTGCAGGCAGAGTCTGGCTCTATCACCCAGGCTGGTGTGCAGTGGCATGATCTTGGCTCACCGCAGCCTCTGCCTCCCAGATTCAAGCAGTTCTCCTGCTTCAGCCTCCCGAGTAGCTGGGACTACAGGCATGCCCCACCACGCCCAGATAATTTTTTGTATTTTAGTTGAGACAGGGTTTTACCATGTTGCCCAGGCTGGTCTCATACTCCTGAGCTCAGGCAATCCACCTGCTAAGAAACAGGATCTTGCTGTAACCTAGGCTGGGATGCAGTGACGTGATCATGGCTTACCTCAACCTCAAAACTCCTGGGCTCAAGAGACCTCCCTCTTCAACCTTCTGAGTAGCTGGGACATGTGCCATGACGCCTGACGTGTGTGTGTGCGTGCGTGCGTGTGTGCATGCGTGTGATCTTGCTGTGCTGCCCAGAGTGGCTGGTCTCAAACTCCTGAATTCAAGCAATGCCTCCCACCTCTGCCTCCGAAAGTGGTAGGATTATGGACATGAGCCACCACACCTGGCCACGGCCACGTATACCTTTTAAAACCATGTGCTTTCACTGGGGTCTGTTGGGGAGTGGGGAATAGGGGAGGGATCGTGTGGGGTGGGGAGATTGGGGAGGGATAGCATTGGGAGAAAACCTAATGTAGATGATGGCAGGTGGAGGCAGCAAACCACCATGGCATGTGTATACCTACATAACAGTCTTGCAAGATCTGCACATGTACCCCAGAACTTAAAGTATAATAAAAAAATATATACAAATAAGTAAATCAATAAAATTGTGTGCTTTGACTTTGGGAGGCTGAGGCAGGTGGATCACTTGCAGTCAGGAGTTCAAGACCAGCCTAGCCTACATGGTGAAACAGCATCTCTATTAAAAAATACAAAAAAATGAGCCAAATATGGTGGTACATGCCTGTAATCCCAGCTACTTGGGAGGCTGAGGTAGGAGAATCACTTGAACCCAGAAAGCACAGGCTTCAGTGAGCCAAGATGGCACCAGTGCTCTCCAGCCTGTGCGGCAGAGTAAGACTCCAACTCAAAATAAATAAATAAATAAAAATATAATAAGATTGTGTGCTGTGAAATAAATTCCTAAATAATATAAAAGTAAGACATGAAATCAAATCAGATTGTGCGCTTTCTCAGGCCGTCATATGGAGGCACTATTGATTGTGAGACAGCTTAGCGGGGAACACTCAGACCCGGCAGATGTGTTATAGGTTTTGTTGAAGTCAAATCCAGGAGTGGTTATTCTGAGAGAGAAAATACAGCTTTGCTGTGTCCTTCTGCAGCTACTACAGAGCCAATGAAGTGCAGCAGTTCAGGTACTCCCGGCCATTCCGGAAAGGAGAGAAGGATCCAGACAATGAATTTGCTGTGAGTTCACCCCTTTTGTCCATTAAGAGGTAAAACTGCCATCCCAAGTGGTCTTCCACCTACCTAACCAGCTTCCCTAGGAAAAACGATAGCATCCCTGGGAACAGGGGCTTCCCCTGCTAATTACCTAGCCAGCCACCTGTCATCTCCATGGAAAATGCTGGGGCTGCTTCTCCTAATGACCTTGGGCAAGTCGCCCCTGTCTGGACCTCACATTTCCCTCTGTAGGGTGAGAAGTCCCAAGTAGATGATCCCTTTCAGCCTTACACATCCAGAGTACTTGGATTTTATGAGAAAATTTGGCTCATTCCCTACGAGGCATTTGGGAATAGAATCTCACTTAATTGAAACAGGGAGTTTTGCTGTTTTCCCTGGGAATTGACCAACATTCTATGTTTTCCTCCTGGGAATTGACCAATATTTCACGTTTTCCTTCTTGCCACCAGACGATGTGGATTGAACGGACCACATATACGACTGCATATACCTTTCCTGGGATTCTCAAATGGTTTGAAGTCAAACAGATTTCAACAGTGAGTCATTTGAAATCGGCACTTAGAAAAAAACTTTCTGTCTCCAGATATAATCACAGGCTTTGTTGAATTCCCACTGCCGTTCACACCAGCTTGGCCAGACGACGCTGGCCAACTTTGTTTTTCAAAAGAGAAATAAAAGGCATGCTTGTATAGCAGAGCTCCTTTGTATCACTGATGTGACAACACCAGCCCTAAAGGTCACTCACAGTGAATGGCTCTTTTATGTCCAGAGGAGTGGTGTCTGCTCAGCGATCCAGCTGGCACCCAGAAACATTTTTGGAATGCCGCTTTGGAGTTTCCAGTCAATTACATCTTCCCTCCCAAAGCCTTTTCTTTTATTCTCAGTTAATCATGTCACCAAACACCCTAGACTCCTCCCTCTTCACCTTTCCCAAAAGCCACTCATTTTACCTGTTTAGTGTTTATTAAATCTACTTTGTTTCCTACCTCCTCAGTGGCCTCCCTGCCAGGCATAGCCTTCTCAGGTCCAGTTTCCTCACGGCCTCACTGCCTCATTGGGAATTCCATTAAGGAAACCTTGCCATTTCATCCACTGTCATGCTTAACGCCCTTCCACGGCCCAAGTACCTGGAGTATAAAGTCCATCCTCCTTAGCACATGCACATACAGCCTAACTCTTCCGTGTCATCTCCTAGGCAATCTGTTGCAACCATGCCGCTCATCCCATGCTAATAACAGTCCTCTGTGACATTGGATAATTTTCTCTGCCTGAAACACACTCTTGCAATTTCTGCACCTAATTAACTCCCGTCAAGGTACCACTTTCTCAGTGAATCCATCTCTGGAACACCCAAGTTGGGTGACCTGCCCTTAGTCTGTCCCCTGTGGCACCCTGGTCATGTTTCTGACCTACCACGTTTACATGTCCTGAGATCCTGCTAACACCATCAGCTCCTCCAAACCATGAAGTACATGCACCTTAATCACTTTTGTATATATGGTGCATAGCATGGCCCTTAGCCTAAAACAAGAAGTTCAAGAAGTGTTTCCTGAACAAATATGAATTGAAGTTTTATGTGTTATAAGTCATGGCTAGGTACAATGGCTCATGCCTGTAATCCCTGAACTTTATGAGATCAAGGTGGGAGGATCACTTGAGCTCAAGAGTTGGAGACCACCCTGGGCAACATAGCAAGACCTCCACCTCTACGAAAAGAAAAGCTGGGTGCAGTGCCATGTGCCCGTCACCCTAGCTACTTGTGAGGCTGAGGCAGGACGATGGCTTGATCCCAGGAGTTGGAGGCTGCAGTGAGCTATGAATATTTTCACTACTGCACCACAGCCTGGTCAACTGAGGAGACCCTGTCTCTAAAAGAAAAAAAAATTTTTTTTGCTATTATGCCTCAGGTATGAATATGATTTTTGGATGGAGACTTTGGGATTCAAGTCTGGAATAGGAGGTCATGTTGGCTGATAATGGGTAAAATGAAGAAGGAGATAATTTTTTTTGAAACCTTATTTTGAAGGCATTTCCATAGGAAGAGCTCTCTGAATCTGTACTTTGTCTTACTTACTTTTCATCCAAAATTCAGCCTGTAGATTCTAATACATCCTATTACTTCTGACTTCCAATAACCATGGAGTTCATACTAATATTGTGTATGGTCTGTATGCATGGCCTCCAAGATCACTTACCTCCTTTCATTGAGGAAGCATCAAACGTTTTGTCACTGGACAAGCTTGGTGGTGCAGAAGTGACTCAGAACTGATATCCCACTATTCTGTTGTCATTGATCTTCCCAAAGGTCTCCAAGGAAGCATTGCCTAAGAAACGATTCTTACTACAGGTCCAATTCTTTTCTTTCCAAATTTTCTGTAGACATTTTGTCCAAGGAATGATTATTACCATAGTTCCCATTTTTAAGTCATCATTCTACTTGGTAAGGTGATTTTAAATACCTTATTTTGCATCTTACCACAATTCTAAAAAATTGTGGTATCCTTATAAGGTGGTGGTCCCCAACCTTCTTGGCACAGGGACTGCTTTCCTGGAAGATGGTTTTTCCATGGACCTGGGGTGAGAAAGTGGAGGGTGTTGGGGGATAGGGGATGCTTTTGGAATGATTCAAGCATATTACGTTTATTGTGTACTTTATTTCTGTTATTATTTTATTGTAATATGTAATGAAATAATTATGCAACTCACCATAATGTGGAATCAGTGGGAGCCCTGATCTTGTTTTCCTGCAACTAGACAGGCCCATCTGGGGGTGATAGGAGACAGTGACAGATCATCAGGCATTAGATTCTCATAAGGAGCATTGCAACCTAGATCCCTTGCATGCACAGTTCACCATAGAGTTTGCGCTTCCATGAGAATCTAATGCTGCCACTGATCAGACAGCAGGCGGAGCTCAGGTGGTAATGAGAGTGATGAGGAACAGCTGTAAATACAGATGAAGCTTCCCCCACTCACCTGCTGCTCACCTCCTATTTCCTAACAGGCCACAGACTGATGCTGGTCCATGGCCTGGTGTTTGGGGATCCCTGTTGTAAACATAACCTTGATAAGCAAATCTTCCCTTTTCTATAGCTTGTGGGTATTTTATACCTCTTTAAGGGAAGAGTTAAACCTTTTCAGTCTTTCCTTGGAGCTGATAAGTGTCCTTGTTCTCCCATGCGCTCTGTCACCCAGGAGGAGATCAGTCCTCTGGAGAATGCCATCGAAACCATGGAGCTGACCAATGAGAGGATCAGCAACTGTGTTCAGCAGCACGCCTGGGACCGGTCCCTCTCTGTGCATCCCCTCTCCATGTTGCTCAGTGGCATCTGTGGACCCGGCTGTCATGGGGGGCTTCTCCAACTATGAAAAGGTTCGCTTGGTCCCAGAACCCCCTAAGGATTCACAGACCTGGGTGTCTTTGTGCCTCCCTCTGTGCCATTTGCCACTGACAGATTCGTTTCCTACAGCTCCTCTAAGAGATGTTCACTTTCCCTTCTGGCAAGTAAAGTCAATGAAATGATAGTCCCTGACCTCTTAGAGACTATCAGCAACCTAGCTGGTATAGAACATGGCGTAGTAAAACATCCCAGGGGAGGGGGAGAAATCCAATATACATCTGGCCAATGCACCTGTTAGTCTGTCTCTCCTGAGTGGTTTAAAGCTAATGGGTGGACCTCAGAACCCAGGACGCACTGGAAATGAAGCAGCATCTCTGGGGATGGCAGAGCCGTAGTCTCTTCAGAATTAGCTTCTAGGGGCCGGGCGCAGTGGCTTACACTAGTAATCCCACCACTTTCCAGTCAGGCAGATCATGAGGTCAAGAGATCTAGACCATCCTGGCTAACATGGTGAAACCCCTCTCTACTAAAAAAATACAAAAATTAGCTGGGCGTGGTCACGTGCGCCTGTAGTCCCACCTACTCGGGAGGCTGAGGCAAGAGAATTGCTTGAACCCAGGAGGAAATTGCAGTGAGCCGAGATTGTGCCACTGTACTCCAGCCTGGCACCTGGTGACAGAACAAGACTCTGTCTCCAAAAAAAAAAAATCAGCTTCTAGGGGCTGGGCACAGCTGTGGTTCATACCTGTAATCCCTGCACTTAGGGAGGCCAAGGCAGTTAGATCACTTGAGGTCAGGAACTTGAGGCCAAGCTAGCCAATATGGTGAAACGGTAGTCTCTACTAAACTGATAGAGGCAGAATCTTTCATTGCTGTGGTATGTTTTCAGTAGCTAAATATTTTTTGAATATAAACTTTTTAGATATAAATCCATGTTTGGCAAGGAGACCTTTATAGGAGCTGCCTGGAGAGTGGGTAGAAATTAAAGCAGCCAGAGGGGAATGGCAAACAGCATTAACTGGGTGGTGCTTTTGTGTCTGTGTGTATATCTGTGTATGTGTGTGTGTGTGTGTGTGTGTGTGTGTGTGTGTGTGTCTGTGTGTGTGTCTTCTTGGAAGAGCAGGGCTTTGAACTCAGTTGCTCCCCGAACCCAATGCTTCCCATTGGCCACTGTGTGCTCTTGGCAGCATGCTTCACCTCTCTGAGCTGCAAAGTGGGAAGAATGCCTGACTTGGCCAGGCACGGTGGCTCACACCTGTCATCCTACCACTTCGGGAGGCCAAGGTGGGAGGATCACCTGAGGCCAAGAGTCCAAGACCAGCCTGGCCAACTCGGCAAAGCCCTGTCTCGAATAAAAATAACAAAAAATTAGCTGGATATGATGGCGAGTGCCTGTAATCTCAAGAGGCTGAGGCACGAGAATTGTTGAAACTGGGAGTCGGAGGCTGCAGTGAGCCAAGATAGCGCCACTGAACTCCAGCCTGGGTGGCAGAACACCACTTCATCTAAAAAAAAAAAAAAAGAAAGAAAAATGCCTGACTCGCAAGGTAGATCACAGGATGGACTGGAAGATTAAGGGAGACGTCCTTTATAAAAGGAGCATCAGACAGTGCTTGGCATAGAGTTGAGGCTTTGCCAATCTTGGTTTTCTTCCTGCCTCCTCCTGCCTACTTGGAGCAGATGGTATAATTTGAATGCTCTTCATAGGTGGTGACTCTGTCCTCTGTGGCTGCCACTGTGATCATCTTTCTTACCCTTTTTCCCAGCCTTTCAGCCTTCTCTAACCTTACTATACTCAGCAGCTGGGAAGGACTCCACACCAGACAGAAATTCTGATTTGTCCATGTTAGGTGCCATAGTAATATCCAGTGTTACAGTGACAGTCAATATAAAAATAGCATCTAATATTTTAAAAATATTTAAATATTTCAAATATTTAATATATTAATATTTTTAAATAAAAGTAATTTTTACATACTGTAGTGCTTTCAGTGTGTACTTTTTATATGTAGTCTTTGGTACTAATCTTCATGTGTTTTTTCCAAGTATTAATTTTTACAGAATGCCCCCATCACAGATTTATATATGCCAGTATCTGTGAATAATACATAATTTCATATGAAGTTTTTCCAGTGTGACAGTGATTCTAATTAAAATGAACAAAAAGCAAGGATATATAAATAAATAAATACGTTTCAGGACCTTTGGCTTAAAATACTAAGGTATTCATTCAATTAATATGTATGACTGCACGTTTCTAAATGTAAGAAAAAGGTCAGCTCGCTAATCACCATGACGTATTGCAGTCAATTGGGAAGCCCATCATTATATATTTGATGTAGGTAAATATTCTAAACCAGCTCTTTATTCATCGTCAAAGTGATAAGAACACATAAGCTGTGTGCTGTAATTCATCACCCTTTCTGTTCTGAGGCACAGCTCTGCTAGAAAAATGAATTTCAGGGCACTCTGCTCCAATGTTTCCTGATCTAACCAATACTTGGAAAATTTCCATGGATTTTATCATTTATCAAAAAACAATGATTATAACTTTCAAAAATTTCAAGTGCTTGTACTTGAAAGGTAAAAGTCAAGACTCAAGTAAATAGTCCTTTTTCATTTATACAAACAGTTCCTCTAAATACAACTCTGGCTAGAATGAGCTGTTTTGCTAATGCATGATATTATCATGCTGCTTTCTGTCATCATTGTTTCCTATATATTCAGATTCTCTGTTTCATTAGTTTGTTAGGGCTGCTGTAACAAAGTCCTCCAAACTGGGTAGCTTAAAACAACAAATTTCTTGTTTCACTTTTCCACAAGGTCCAAAATCAAGGTGGTCACGGTGTTGATTCCCTCTGAGGGATTTGTGGGAGAACATTTCATGTCTCTCTTCCTGGCTTCTCGTGTCTTCTTAGTGGTCCACGGCTTGAGGATGTGCCATACAGCCTGTCAGTGGCCATGCTCTTGCATCTCTTCACATGGTGTTCTCCTAATGTTTGGACTTGTGTCTCCGAATTTCCCCGTTTTATAAGGACACCAGTCATATGGGCTTAGGGCCCCACCCTACTCCAGTATGTATGACCTCCTTTTAACTAATTGAATCTGCAACAACCCTACATCCACATAGGGTCACATTCTGAGGTACCAGGGGATAAGACTTCAACATAGGAATTTGGGAGGGATATAATTCAACCCATAATGTCTGGCCACAAAGTAGACTTTGCACATATTTTGTTTGCCACCAAAATAGGCCATTCACTTCGTAAGTCTGTCCTGTTGTTCCAGGAGCTCTTGGTTTTATATAGTGGGCCAGTGGGAGGGGCGGGTGTTGGCTTTCACGGCGGTAAAGCAGAAGACTGAAGGGGAATCTGAAGGCTGGTCTTTGAAAGCACTTCCAGAAATGAACGTTAAGGTCTGAGAAGAAAACATGTCACTCCTATTTTGGACCCTGTTGGAAACGTTTACTGCAAGCTTGTATTTCTCTTTCCTAATAAATTATCTCTTTAAAACAGTACCCTAGGTAAGGCCTGTGTTTGGAATTCAAGTTTTGGGTTTTATTTACCTGTTACAGGGACTTTGCTGGGGGCTCATGAGTGTTTACTGACGAGCATGGTGCTGATATGTAATAATAAGGGCAACAAGCATTTAATATTTTTGAAATGTCTTCACTATGTATATCTCATTTTGTTTCTAAAATAGCATTTGGGATAGGTGATGAGTAAGAAAGTACAGGTATTAATCTTCACTTAATATAGGGAAAAAAACATGATATAGCCAATATCACAGGAAGAGAGGAAAAACTCATTTCCATCTCCTGCTTGTTAAATTTTACTCTTTCCTTTATAATATCTATGCACTTAATTTAATGATTAGCCTTGAGATACTGTCATTTGGCCTTTGCTTTGTTCTTTGGGAGAGTTCTTTTAATGAATGACATTTCGATTTGTTGAATGTCGATGATTTGATGAGCGCCTGTGTGTGGTGGGGTGGTGACTGCCGAGAATGTAGTGTGCTAAGAATTAGCTACTTTAAGGAAAGATCACACAATAGCACACACTTTTTTGCATTGCCCGACATGGTTATAAGAGCTATCCCAGGAAAGGAATGCATTTTTAGTTAGACACACCTGGTTCTTCAGCACAGGAGACATGTTTCACCCTTCCAGGCTTTCCTGCACAGATAGGAATGTGTCCTAATTAACGCTTGTATATGCTCTGCCTTTAGGCTTTTTTTACGGAAAAGTACTTGCAGGAACATCCTGAAGACCAGGAGAAAGTTGAGCTGCTAAAGCAACTCATAGCATTACAGGTACAGGACGGCTTTCCTCTACACTCCTGGGGAGGCGACCATATGGGACACCCAGTATTCTCCAGGGCTTAAGTCAGCAAGCCCACTCACGGTTACTTTGCTTTCTTTAACCCTTATGGAACCACAGCCTATCTATGTATTTGTTTGCTTGGCAGACAGTTAAGCTGCCCAGGGTTGACGGAGGCTTCTTAAAACTGAGATGAAAGTTCATCAGTTGGGGCTGGGCTCTGTGGCTCATACCTGTAATCCCAGCACTTTGGGAGGCCAAGGTGGGTGGATCACCTGAGGTCAGGAGTTCCAGACCAGCCTGGCCAACATGGTGAAACCCTGTCACTACTAAAAATACAAAATTAGCCAGGCATGATGGTGCATGCCTGAATCCCAGTCATACAGGAGGCCGAGGCAGGAGAGTCATTTCAACCTGGGAGGAGGAGGTTGCAGTGAGCCGAGACTGCGCAACTGCACTCCAGCCTGGGCGACAGAGCGAGACTCCCATCTCAAAAAAAGAAAAAAAAAAAAAGTGCATCATTTGGTTTCCTGGCATGTGTTTCCAACTAAGATAGGCTGGCCTCATTTTTTTCTCTCATGACTTCAGGGGGCAGTGGCAGAAAAAATGACTATCAAATTGGGTCTGAGACTTAAACCTATCAGTTGTCCATCCATGGAAGTGCCCCAGGGCTCTGTTAGATTTGCCTCATCCAGCAGCCCTTCCCCAGTTTAGGGCCAACCTATATTATTGGTGTGCACATTTTCCCACATCATTGACCAAAGTCCATCCAGGCCACAAGCCCTACACTGAGAAGTGGCCTTCCCATAGCCCAGCACTAAGTCTACCAGTTTGCCTGTCCACCGCCTCCCTCCCTTCCCCAACCACATCAAAACGATTCCTCTTCTCAAAGTACATTTCCCTCCTTGTTTGGCCTTCTTTCCAGATGCCCCTGCTCACAGAAGGGATCCGCATCCATGGGGAGAAGCTGACAGAGCAGCTCAAGCCGCTGCACGAGCGGTTGTCTTCTTGCTTCCGAGAACTCAAGGAGAAAGTAGAAAGGCGCTATGGGGTTATAACACTGGTAAGCATGATCTAAGTGGCCGCCATGCTTTTTTCTAGTCTCCTTGACCTTTTATGATACCGATTCGTTTTTCAGATGCCAAATGAGTTGTGATAGCTCAGGTATGACATGGAAATACTGGGACTGGTGGGAGACAGCATGTTTCCCTTTGGTGACCTTGAACAGTCCTTGTGCTGGACAGAGGTTCTCCAACTTGAACAACCATTAGAACCACCCAGAGTGCTTATGAAAATACAGATGGCTGAGCCATAACCCCAGAGTTTTTGATTCCTCAGATCTCAGGGTGGGGCCCAAGTATTTGCAATTCTGAGAAGTTCTTGGGAGATATTGATGCCACTGGTCTGGGGACAACACTTTGAGAACCACTATACTAGAAATCAAAACCACTCTACTGGAAATTAGGGTTGCAGTGGCTCTCGCCTGTAATCCCAGCACAAAGGGGCCAAGCCGGGCTGGTCACTTGAGACCAGGAGTTTGAGACCAGTCTTGCCAACATGGTGAAACCCTGTCCCTACTAAAAATACAAAAAAATAGCTGGACATGGTGGTAGGCACCTGTAGTCCCAGCTACTTAGGAGGCTGCAGCAGGAGAATCACTTGTACCCGGAAGGTGGAGGTTACATTGAGCCAAGATTACACCATTGCACTCCATCCTGGGCAAGAGAGTGAGACTGTGTCTCAAAACAAAACAAAACAAAAAAACCCCAAGTTTTTCTGAATCCCAGACACTGGTTATTCTTGGCCTGTCTGGCCAAATTCTTCTATTTTTTCCTAATCTTAGGAATAGTATCTATTTTGATGAAAAGTGTACAGTTTTCACTCCTCTGAAGGGAAGAAGCAATTATGAATTACATTTCATATGCATGTAGCTGCTTTCCTAATTGTTTTTGACAAGCTCCTCACAACTACAATTTTCTTTTCTCCTCCTGAGCAGTTGAGTGAATAGTGCAGGTACTAACCTTTTCTCTCCAGTGGGTGAAGGTGCAATACATTCTAGCTTTACTTATCTGCAATTTTTTCTTTGAATTCATCCTGTTCTCTTTAATGGTCTTATTGTTTTTGTTTTCTTTTTATTTTTGAGACAGGGTCTCTCTTTGTCACTCAGGCTGAAGTGCAATGGCACAATCATGGCTCACTGCAGCCTTGACTTCCAGACTCAAGCCATCCTCCCACCTCAGCCTCCTGAGTGGCTAGGACTACAGGTGTGCTCCACACCCAGCTAATTTTTAAAAATTTTTTGTAGAGATAGGGTCTTGCTATGTTGCCCAGGCTGACCTTGAACTCCTGGACTCAAGTGATCCTCCTGCCTCAGCCTCCAAAAATGCTGAGATTACAGATGTGAGCCAGTATGCCCAGCCCTGTAATGGTCTTATTCTTAAACCCTTGACTGTAATATTATTTCCTGAAACAAAGCTCTGTGTTTCTTTTCATGTTCTTTTCTCCCTGTTTGCTGTCTGCCCACCTTCAGTACCGTTTCCTCCAGGGCATCTTTTGACCGTCTCTTTCAGCTGTCGCAGTGCTCAGTCCTGCCTTCTTCCTAAGACTGTGCCTCCTAACGTTCTGCTACTCAAGGGTTTCTTCTAGCTCGTTTCTCTTTTGCACACACATTCCTAGACAGCAAAGACTGTGTCTTCAATTTAATGAACTTAGTCATTGTTAGAACTAGGCCAGTATTAGTGAGTCAGTTTCATATGGTGGCATCTGGGGATAATCCTACTGGTGACATTTCTAGAGAACGTAGGATTCACCAGGTTAAGCTGCACGTCTACGGTGTCAATCTAAAAATTTTCTCTTACCTCAATATTGCATGTTTTAAAAAGCTGACAGAAGCTGACCTGGGGAAGCAGACAAAGGTTTTGCTATTTATTGGAGAGTCTAAGGAACATCTTAATTTCCTCCTTTCTCATGTAGGTGGCAGAAAATTATGACAACTTTGTCTCTAGTCTTAGAATCTGAGAGGTTTAACCTAAGTTGTACCCACAGCTAACAATATCAATATCTGCAGTATTAAACAATACAGGCAGCACAGGCACCAACCTGTCAGAATTGAGTGCCAGCCAATAAAGATGGTACTGTTTAGCCACAAGCAAACAGGGCAGCTGTGCCAGTTCATAGGGGCTGAATTCCAGGCCCACTAACTTTTTGGAGTTGTGTATTTTCAGCCACCCAACTTGACGGAGAGGAAGCAAAGCCGCACAGGGTCTATTGTGCTCCCCTACATCATGTCTTCCACTCTGCGGAGGTTGTCCATCACCTCAGTCACTTCCTCTGTGGTTTCCACCTCTTCAAACTCATCTGACAATGCTCCTTCCAGACCGGGATCTGATGGGTAATGGTTTGATCTTTCAGCTGCAGGGAGGGTGGGGTAATGCCTTACTAATGTTTGCCTTTAGCCACACATAACCCCACTTAAGAAAAATAGCCTTTGGGTCATTCCCATTGTTTCCCTAATGAGGAATGTCAGGATTAGCAGAATAATAACAGTTAGTAAAAATGAAGAATGACAAAAAAAAAAAACCCATAATCTCACCACACTATTACATACCTATAGTCATTACCTATTTTTTTCATCGTTTCCATTTTAAAAAATAAATGTTTACATTTATTTTATGAATCGGTTTTATAATCACATGATATGAAATTCTGAAAGTACCAAAGGATATATAACAACAAATCTCCTTTTAATCCCAGACTTCCCACTACAGTAGAGCCCCTGCAGTAGCCCACCCCCCACAGCCAAATGATGCTTGCATTCGGGTTCTTGGTACCCCATGGCAGCTATGTATAGGTTCACAGGCATCGCCTAACTGTATGTTCTTCCCCACACTTTTTTTATATGAATGGTAGAATTTACTTTGCTTTTTTCATTTGCTATTATATCGTGAAACTCATTCCATTTCAGAACATAAAAAGCCCCCTCTTTATCTTTCTGTAACTATATATCTCATTGTATGTATGTGGCATGATACAGGTAGAGTATTCCTCATCCACAATGCTTGGGACCAGAAGTGTTTTGGATTTCGTTTGTTTTAGGATTTTTGGATATTGGCATAACACCAGTTCAGCATCCCTAATCCCAAAACCCCAAACCTGAAATGTTCCAGTAAACATTTCTTTATAGTGTCATGTCAGCATTTAAATGCTTCCCATTTTGGAGCGTTTTGGATTTTGGGATTAGAGATGTTCAGCCTGTATATTCTACCAGTGCCTACTGGTCATGTAGTTGGTTTCAGTCCATTACTGTCACTTCAGCGTGACAGTGAATAATCTTAAACACAAGTTATTTTGCACATATACAAGTATATCAATATGGGAAAAGAATCCCACATGTGAAATTTCTCTGTCATAGCTGTGTATCTGCAATTTTGAAAATTATTCCTAAACCGACGTCCATGAAGATTATACCACTTTACACTCCCACCAGCAACACACAGGAGTGCCTAGTTACTCACACCGCAGCCCCCAAACTGTACTCAGGCTTTTTAAATGTTACCAATCTGGTAGGTAGAACATGCTTTCTTGTATAAATTTTTGGTTTGTTTGTTTCTGGTTTTTGTTTATTTCTCTTGTTTGGCCTGAAGTTGAACCTCTTTTCATTTGTGTATGTTTTATTTCTTGTGATCTGTGGTCAGATACTTTTTTTCTGTTGAATTGTTGGCCCTTTTTCTGCGAAATAAGTTGAAATATTTTCTCCCAGTTTCTCCTCTATCTTTTGACTTCTAATTTGTTGCTTCTAATTTTTTACCGAGTTGTGCTGATTTTTTTATATAGTCATATAATCAATTTTTTATTTTATGAATTCTGGATTTTATTTCACAATTAAAGGCCTTTCCCACTCTAAGATAACAAAAAACGTATTTTTTTTTCCATTGACTTTTAGGGTTTCACTGTTCACAATTTTGTCTGTAACCCTTTGGAATTCATTCTAGTATAAGATGTTAGGTATGGGGCCAACATGTTTATTTCCAAATGGCTACTCAATTCTTCTTAAAACATTCAGTGAGCAAGTCATCTTTTTTTTTCTAATGTCAATCATAACACATTAAATTTCTACATACTCTTTAGTCTGTTTGTGGACTTTTTTTTTTTTTCTATTTGTTGGATATACCTGTCTATTCATGTATCAGACCTATTTAATTACTATAGATATAGAACATTTTTTATTTTCTAATATTCCTTTTCAGAATGTAATCTGCTAGTGATGCTCACTGCTAGTGTTGCTGTTGGATATTGTCCAGAAACCTATTACTTTTTATATTAGGACCATGTTAAATGTGTGGACCAACTTTAGGAAGACTGATGGCTTTTTGATGCTGAGGCTTCCTTGCCAAAAACACAAAATGCTTTTCTATATGTTCAAATTTAAAATATTTGAAAGGAGTTAATTTATAGTCGTGTTCTTTCTGCCTGAGATTACTATTTTTAAATAATATATTGCTAAAGTACTGGAAACTTTTAAAAGAAAACAATGCTTTATAACTTCATCACTCAAAGATAACCACTGTTCAAGTTCAGTTATATAATACTAAAAAAAGTGTGTTTACTTTTTATACAAGTAGAAAAGCATTGCGTCTATCCTTTTGTGGCATAGTGCTTAATAGGATATAGGTGGTGAGTATTTATAAATCATTAAATATTTAAGCTACTGTTGAATATAAGTCACCAGTTGACTCACCGTTTATTCACAAATGTTTAATTCCATAATTAATAATTACATCATAAAAATAACCTACCTGAATGCCACCCTACCTGGAAATCAAATATGTAGTATTTCTTAAATTGTTTATACATCCTTTTCATTGATATACATATCTTTACATAGTTCCAATTATAGCATAGATATAGTTTGGTACTTTGCTGTTACCTTCTCATCTTTTTATTACAAGCATTTTTCATGTTGCTGTGTAATCTTGATTATTTTCAGTTTGTACCATCATTTTTGATGGCAGTGGACATTATATCATACAAAAGTGCCATGATTAATTCTTCTCCTACTATAGAATATTTAAGCTGTATCCTTCTTTCTAAAGAAAAACTTCATTTTAGATTTTAATACAAAATATGTAACTTGTATCAGTGTAGAATATATTTTTATTGAAAACTGTAGCAAACATATTTGTACATGTAGCTTTCCTATTAGGATGCATTCTTAGAAGTGCTGGGATTACTTCTAGAATATAGTCATCTAGATTACTACATTCTAGTAGTATGTAGTTTGTGGGTAGAATTTGAACACAGGCTTTCTGGCTCCAGAGTTGTGCTGTTACCCACTATATAAAGGCACCTATTGAATCTCTTTCTTTGAGGATTCTGTCTCTGTCTATAAATTTGAATTAAGACCTTCTCTTCCTGGGATAAAATACTCACTAATATTTTCATCCAGTCATCTGATGGTCTTGTTTCTGTACATTAACACCTTGAGACGTTTGTTCACTTGCAACTAAAAATTTAGATTTAGAATCAGAGTGAAATCATAGGTCCATGCCTCTAGTCTTAGCACTTTGGGAGGGTTGAGGTAGGACGATCGTTTGAGCCCAGGAGTTTGAGACCAGCCTGGGCAACATGGTGAAACCCCATCCCTACTAAAATATATATATATATATACACACACACACACACACACACACACACATACATACACACACACACACACACACACACACACACACACACACACAAAATTGGCCAGGTGTGGTGGCTCACGCCTGTAATCCCAGCACTTTGGGAGGTTGAGGTGGACAGATCATGAGGTCAAAAGATAGAGACCAGCCTGACCAACGTGGTGATACCTCATCTCTACTAAAGAATACAAAAATTAGCCTAGAGTGGTGGCCCATGCCTGTAGTCCCAGCTACTCAGGAGGCTGAGGTAGGAGAATCACTTGAACTCGGGAGGTGGAGATTGCAATGAGCTGAGATCATGCCACTGCACTCCAGCCTGAGTGACAGAGCAAGAGTCCGTCTCAAAAAAAAAAAAAAAGAAAAAGAAAATTAGCTGGGCATGGTAGTGCACACCTGTAGTCCCAGCTACTCAGAAGTCAAGGTTGTAGTGAGCTGTGATCCCACCACTGCATTCCAGCCTGAATGATGGGAGTAAGACCCTTTCTCCAAAAAAAAAAAACAACAACAAACAAAAAAAAAAAAACAAGAAAAGAAAAGTAGGCTGAAGAGTCATAACTGCTTGTACTTTCATTGTGAATTTTGATTGCAAGGTGATCAGTGTTTGTGATGTTCGTCCTTGTTCCTGGCCAATAGCTCAATCCTGGAGCCGCTTTTGGAGCGCAGGGCCTCGTCAGGTGCCAGAGCTGAAGATCTGTCCCTCAAAGAGGAGAACAGCGAGAATCGAATCAGCAAGTGTAAGAGAAAAGACTGGAGTCTGAGCAAGTCCCAGGTCATTGCAGAGAAAGCGCCAGAACCTGATTTGATGGTAAAAAAAAATAAAGAGAAAAAGAAATCTCTGGAGGCTTGCCCCCCACCTTCCCTGGATCCAGGCACCTCACCATCCCCTCCCAGATAGCAGCTGGGCTGTGGCTTGTCTCAGGACTCAGCAGCCTGGGTTAGCTATGGCTTGTCTCGGGACTCAGCAGCCTGGATTAGTCATAGACCGCAGGTTGTGGTAAGGAAGGCACATTCCAAGGAGTTCCAGTCCATAAATCAGTATCGCTGAAGATCTTGTACCCACAATGTAAACACATGGGTTGATACTTAAAGCTGCGGTTCTCACCACTCTGTCCCCTGGGTCAGTGCAAACATTGTCATTTCTCTTCTTTAATTTTTTTAAAAAGGTACTTTTCTTCCGTAAGCCACATCATGTTGTTAAATGTGGGAAGACCACCTTTTCCTGAGAATCAGGGTGGCTGATTTCCAACTTAAGTGACACAGTCCAACTGTGATGGAAATCAGGCCTGTGGTCAGCCAGGAAATCATCTGTGGTTCAGTGGTTCTAGTTAGTGCCTGGTCGGTGGTGCCCACCATATGACAATGTAACAAGTTTAAAAATTGCTCTTTGAGTTAAGTCCTTTCCAAGTGTCTGCTCAGAAGAAAAGGCTGTTGAGAGCATTGTTGAGCTCAGCCTTCCACACTGTGAATATGTTGTGCTGTCTTTTTCTCTGGTTCTAGAGCCCAGCCAAAAAAGCACAAAGGCCAAAGAGTCTCCAGTTGGTGGATAATCGGCTATCACCATTTCACGGTTCTTCACCTCCTCAGTCAACGCCCTTGAGACCACCTCCACTCACTCCCAAAGCCACCAGGACCCTAAGTAAGTTTTCCTATATCCCTGATGGTCTTTTCACTAGGGTTTGGAGTATGTGTATGAATCTGGGCAGTCTGTAACTAAACCAGCCACAACATATGTAAGACCATTGTAAAACTGGTTCAATTCAGTGGTCGTGGGTATAATACAGTTGGACTGGAGTTTGGCAAGGTGGCCACTAGGACTCATTAAACTTTTCTGGGTAAGCCGGGTGCAGTGGCTCACGCCTATAATCCCAGCACTTTGGGAGGCTGTGGTGGGTAGATCACAAGGTCAGGAGTTTGAGACCAGACTCATCAACATGGAGGGACCTCAAGCCAGGTGTGGTGGTGTGCGCCTGTGATCCCAGCTACTCAGGAGGCTGAGGCAGGAGAATTGCTTGAACCCAGGAGGCGGAGGTTGTAATGAGTGGAGATTGTACCACTGCACTCCAGCCTGGGCGACAGAGCAAGACTCAGTCTCAAAAAAAACAAAAACAAAAACAAAACAAAAAAAACACTTTTCTGGAGAGTGATCCAAAGGGCGTTAGTGTGCATTTTATAATTGTGAAGGTATAAATGAGACACATCTGCTCTAGGACTAGACAGATAACAAGTAACTGACAAGCTAACCATTAGGTTAGGTAGACCTCAGCAGGGACCAGAAGTAGACCCATTCCATCTACTGCTTACCATCTGGCCTGGGGAACCAGCAGTGCACAGCACTTCAGAAGAATTGCAAGGTGCCCATAGTCCAGAGACATGGTGGAGGGACAGGTTTCTCAGAGCCAGATGGGAGACAGCTGTCAACCAGGAGTTAATCAGTTACAGTTTCCTGGAGGAAGTGAGTATTTTCCTAAGCACTTGGGCTCTATCAGGGAACACAATAATACCATACGTTCCAGAAAATGTTCTTATCTTTAGCTTAATTGCAAAACCCTGAAGAAAAAATAAAGTGTTTGCTTCAGAACATCTTGTGAAGCTCTTGAAACTTTCTCGCGAGGGTATTACCTGTGTAATGTGGGGTGAGAAGTCTTCATTCTGTCCACAGAAACCACAGAATGTGGCTTTCACGAGTTAGTTGACCAGGTTGGCTTAGGTGTTACGGTGCCAGCAGCATTTCTGTGAGTTTCCTTGCTCAGTGCCTCTCTCTGCCCGTGTGCCCTTTGTGTCCTTTCTAGGTTCCCCAGTCGTTGCAGACAGATGGACTTGCAGCTACTCCTGTCCCACCGCCACCTCCCCCCAAAAGCAAGCCCTATGAGGGCAGCCAGAGGAACTCCACCGAGGTAGGGAAACCGCAGCTGGCAACTATGGCCAGGGAGTGCCAGTCCTGGCAAGCAGCATCGGGTTTTCCAGGCTTTCTAGTGGGCAGGTTTGCTCATAGACCTGTCACTGCAGTCGATTCTTGGCTCATTCCTGAAACCACAAGAGATAGAGAATTTTTCAGTGGGAAGGACAAACATTCAAGCACATGATAAAGGTAGAGCAGTGTTCTCTGTACCTCATCCTGGGTACCTGTGAAATAAGTTGTGAGTTCTAGTTCACTTTTTTGGGGGGATGGGTTGGGGGTGGGGGCAGGGTCTGGGTCTGGCTCTGTCGCCCAGGCTGGAGTGCAGCTGTGTGTGTGTGTGTGTGTGTGTGTGTGTGTGTGTGTGTGTGTGTGTGTGTGTCTGATTAGCTCACAGGAAGCAAGGAGGACAAATGAGTGTAGTTTTCCATTTCACATTGCAAAGCTTGGGTAGATAAACTCAGATCAATGAGAAACTAAAGCAGAATGTGGGAAATGGAAGGAAAAGGCAGAGTTAGGAGGAAAACTGAGACCTGCTTCTAATTTTGTGTTTCTGCTCCGGCAGCTCGCTCCCCCACTGCCTGTCCGAAGAGAAGCCAAAGCACCACCTCCTCCACCTCCAAAGGCTCGGAAGTCCGGCATCCCTACTTCCGAGCCTGCATCCCAGTAAGGGTTTTGCCCTCCCTGCAACACAGAGTGCCTTAGACAGCTGCTGCCCAAGAACTGGCCTCCAGCCAGTGTCCTCATTCCACGGGGCTCCCTGCTGACTGCATTTCCTGATCCGGGATGACGTTTACCAGCTCAAAACCAGTTAAGTTGTTCCAAAAGCTTCTCTTTGATAGATGTTTGAGGCCGTGTCACCTCCCTTCCAGTCCACATGGAATTCCTGAACAGCCACATCCTCTGAATTTTTCAAAGACGAGATCGCGTTCACCATTGTTAAATGTCAGCCTGTACCGCAGAGACATGGTGGTCTGCGCAAGCCTGGACGAGTTCTTCCACACTGATGGTGGAGCAATGCCTGTAATCTACTGCTTGGAAGGATTTTTTGCTTTGCCTATGAAAAGCTGTGCTTGAGACTTAGGTATTTTTCTCGTGCGAACACATCCATCCCATCCCATATTGCATCTTGGAAGATATGGACATCAAATACACTTTGGTAGCTGAAATAATCATGTCTTTCTGATGTCGACTGTGTCCCCTTTGAGGAAAAGAACATACGTTTTTAATGGAGATGGGCTGCTTTCAGGTACGTGTGGCTGTCATTATTGAAAGAGCACGGACTCATGTGAGCCCTGAGTTCTTGCGTCCTCCCATCTTCAATCTTCTTGTGGCACGGGACAGCTGCCGTCTCCCTCCCCCACCACACTCCTGACTAATGGCCTTCTACACACTGCAGCCACTCCTTCCCCATGGACTTCTTTGAAGCTCTTCCTTGTGCACATGCAGTTTTTTTTTGTCCTGTTACCTCCTCTGAGCAAAAATCACTGGCTACAAGGGACTTAGTGGTCGGATTCAGCAGTTTCTTTTCCAGACCCCATTTGGATGACTCAGCAGCCCCATCTGCTACCTGATTTTACCCTGGAGAATACAGTGCAATATCTCCCTTCCATTATTTATTCCTCTTGATTGTGGAATTAATTTGATTACTTGCTAATGGTACTAATCGTATTCCTCTCAGAGGAAAAAAATGGAGTGATTTAGGTGACCAAATATTACATACATAAATAGCCACATGAAGTTTTAGACGTTTGGAGCTGGAAGCCTCAAAGATCAACCAACCAGCCCCCTTACTTAGTAGGTAAGGAAATTGAGGCTACACACAGAAAATTGTACTGCAGATTCTAATAACCCAGCTTGCTGAATTAGGCTATACCCAGGTAACTTCTAGAAGACGACTCTTGAGAAGCTCTTGAATATTTACTCCCGGTTGGAACAATATTTTAAATGTCCCAGATAGTTCTATGCTACTGAGATATTTGTGGCAAAGCAGAAAGCTTTTTGACTGTGAATCCAAAGGTCATCACTGGGCGAAGCTCGATAGTGGCCTCTTCCACAACCTTGCCTACAGTCCTTTCCACTAAGGAAGTGAAGAGAGCAGAGAAAGAGATTTCCGCTGTCAGAGCTGGCATTTGCCTGCCGGATTCTCTGTGTTCCCTGTTTCGGCGCCACCCTTTCAGTTCATCACGAAGGGCAAGGAAGCAGAAAGCTTTCAGATGTGTCCAGGGTGTTACTTCAGAAATGCGTATGCAGATTTTAGAAGGGTTGTGGGAAAGGTGATCCTTTACCCCCACCCAGGAGAACCTGCAGTGTGCTAGCACAGAAACATCACTGGCTTTGGAATTAAACCCATTTGTTTTCAAATCCCAGCTATGACATCTATTAACTTGGCAGACAAACACAAATTATTTGAAATTATCAGAGTCTTCATTTTGTTACCTTTCAGAATGGGGGTAATGCCTCCTGCATGAGTTATTGTGAGGTTTCAGTGAGATGAAATATGGGAAAAGATACTCACCTGATGGTCCTTGCTTTTCTCTGCTAGGCCTGAGTAAGAACTGGAACTTTCTAAGAGCATTACTGATACTTTTTTTTTTTTTTTTTTAATCTTCCAAGGTAGTTTGGAATGTGAGTGCCAGTTAGTTCTGCACATACGGCCCCTCCAAAGGGTGGGTTTGTTTGGAGTCTTTTACATGATTATTTATGACTAGAGACAAACTTAATAAGAACTCAAGAGGATTTTACATGGAAAGAACTTAAGCTGTAGAGAAAGGATGAGCCAACAGAAGGGACAGGTAGGGCTTACCTCGAGCCCGGCACGACTTCTGAGAAGTCACTCAGCAGACCGGCTTGGGGGGATTTGTACCACAGTCTATTTTACAGGCTGCCATTAAAATAGAAAGATATAAACGGGGTCACCAAAAAAAACCAAACCTCAAGGCTGTCCTTCCACAGGAGTAGAAATGAGTCCCACAGCCTGGTCTTTGAGCAGAGGCTTGGAAGCTAGGATACATCTGGATACCTTCTCTTTTTAATAGAACATGTTATTCCATATGATTCTCTTTCTACCTTAATGGAAATAATAGCTCTCTCCTGCCTGAACAAAAGGGATTCCAGGTAGTATTGTGACTTAAGAGGTTACAGCGGATGATGGAAGGTTCATTTTTTGGGGAAGCTGTTGGGTAGGAAGTCAAATTTGACAAAGAGTCCTAAGTAATGTCTGTCCTGAAGTCAAAGAGGAGGACTGCAAAGAAACACCTCATGGTTACATTGAATATAGAGAGATAAGGAGCAGGGAGGAAAAAAGAGACTTGGTCTTTGTTTTTCTTGCTAAGAACTCTCTAGAGCATTGAAAGACATTGAAAGGAGCCCGAAAATTGCCACCGCTTTTGTGAATAATGGTGTATGGTTGGAGGTGTTGTTTTTAAATCTTTTATTCCTCTATCTCTGTTCTAGTGACTTGTCTTGTTTTGAGACTTTTTAAAAAGAATTGTTTTATTCAACATATATAAAGTTCTTATGGAATACCAATCATGGTACTCGCCCTTGATAGGTAGCAGTTGAGCGTGTTCAAATATAAAAAGACAGTTCACTCTGGTGTGCAGTAGGATTGGAACTGGAATGTTATCAGATGAAAATGAAGCCCTAAATAAGATTGCTGGGCCATGGGGTGCTTCCTCCTGCTTCAGCTTAACCTTTTGATTCCAGAATTGCAGTCATTTTCTCCTGCCAGGGAAACCCATTAAAAACTGCAGCCACACTGCAAATTCATCATGAAAAACAAGATGTAAAGCAGGATTTGAGACAACAATCTACCTTTGTTTACTCTTTGCAAGCTGGAAGAGTCCTTCTCCTCTAGTTGCCCCTGTGTCACTGGCTGATTTCTGATTTTGGCTCATGCCTGTAATCCCAGCACTTTGGGAGGCTGAGGTGGGCGGATCATGAGATCAGAAGATCAAGACCATCCTGGCCAACATGCTGAATGAAACCCCGTCTCTACTAAAAATACAAAAATTAGCTGGGGGTGGTGGCACATGCCTGTAATCACCGCTACTGGGGAGGCTGAGGTAGGAGAATCTGTTGAACCAGGGAGTCAGAAGTTGCAGTGTCTGGCTTTTACAATTAAATTAGAAAAGGTAAGTTTCTGTTTGGGTGCGTTAAGAGTTGAACCATCAATTCTAATCTACAAAAGGAAATTCAGGACTTCATTCCGACACCTAGGATCTAGCCAAGGCTGATCTGCAGTATCAGCTGTTGAGATTCATCTCTTCACCATATTTTGTGAGTTGTTCATCTAAACTTTGTCAAAAATGCCTTTGCCATGATTTTGTTACTAGCTGGGTTTCAAACATGGACAGTTAGGAAGATGTGCATTGAAGTAGGAAGATTTTGTTCAGATTTGCTGTTATTTATTTTTTAAATTAAAAATGGAAATGTATTTTAAAGTTTATTGTGTGTTTAGTTTGTTATTGCCCTTATTTTAATGAAATGAACTCATTCCTGAACTTTGCAGTTTTTCCTTATCCATGCCTCCTTCACGACACATTACACCCAGCATTTTTCTGGCTTGTTTCCTTACAGGTCCTGTTAGGTTAAACCTGCACTGTGGGGTCTCAGAGTCATCTTTGCTTGGAAATAAGAAAAATTACAAACCACTTGGTTCTTTTCACCCCTTCCATCTATTTTTTTGCCATCCTGCGTGACAATTTTCTGATAGCATTTCATTTAATGTACATAGGTTCTGTTCTTTACCTATTCCCCAGAGATATTTAGACAAGAGAGAAATAAAAAGGTTAAAGGGGATATCTTACATGAAATAACTTAGATGAAAATGATAGGAACTGGTTCTAAAATGGTTAAATGTTTGTATCACCTGGGGTGAGGCCACTCCCAGATCAATTACATCAGAATTTCTGAGGATGGGGAGTAAGATCAAGGCATCTATATTTCTTTACAGTCCCTCCCATATTATTCCAATGTTAGGCCAAGGTTGAAAAACCACTACATAAAGGAAATAAAACTTTAGAAAATTGGTATTTAAGGTGCGTTTCATAAAATCTCTTGCTAGTGGTGGGTCAGGTTGGAAAGAGGGAAGGGGGCAGTCACACCTTTATTAGCACCTCTGTTTAGTTCTGAGCTTGTGCTTTTGATTTTTTTCTCCCAAGAGAAAAAAAAAAAAAAAAACACTGCTCCTGCTCTGTTCAGGAGTGGTGGCTCAAGCCTGTAATTTCATCCCTTTGGGAGGCCAAGGCAGGAGGATTGCTTAAGCCCCAGAGGTCGAGGCAGTAGTGAGCCCTGATCATGCCAGTGGACTCCAGCCTGGGTAACAGAGTGAGACCCTGTTTCCTCAAAAAATTTTAAAAAATTAGCTGTCACAGTGGTGCATGCCTATACTCCCAACTACTTGGGAGGCTGAGGGAGGAGGATCACTTAAGCCTGGGAGGTCAACCCTGCAGTCAGCCATGATCATGCCACTGCACTCCAGCCTGGGCGACAGAGTAAGACCCCATCTCTATAAAAAATAAAAATTAGCTAGGTGTGGTGATGCATGCCTGTAGTCCCAGCTATTTGGGAGGCCGAAGTGGGAGAATCATTTGAGCCTAGGAGGTCAAGCCTGCAGTGAGCTGTGATTACGCCGCTGTACTTCAGCCTGGATGACAAAGTGAGATCCTATTTAAAAAAAAAAAAAAAAAATGTGTTCCAGTGCTTTGCTTTTTAGAAGCAATAATGCTTCACTGTGCTCATATAATTTGTAAGAATCACTGCTTCTTTAAAACACCCTAGCATTTGGGCCCTAAATACTAGATTGACAGACCTGGGTAATCTTTCGGCTCTAGGATCTCCATAGAGAAATACTATGGAGTGTCTTCCTCTGTCCAGATCTAAGTGCTATTATCTTATGTAGTGATTCTTGGCCTTTTTGTAATCATCTGTAAGCTACTGCAAATTCTAAAAGTTTTGCTATAATAGAACTGTTTTCAAACCATTCTTTTTACTACTTGATCATTTAAAGCCATATACATTTGAGAACTCATTTCATTAAATGTATCATTTGATATATTTCCCTACCCTTTATTATAACAGGCTTAGGATTTTTTTTTTCCTTAAAGCTACATTGATGAGTTAGAGTTATTCAGATTCAAGGAAGTGTTTATGATTTCTGTAAGGAGACCATTTTCAGTTTTCAGATGGAGTCTCGCTCTGTTGCCCAGGCTACTCAGTGTTGCAGTCATGGCTCACTGCAGCCTCAAACTGGGCTCAAGCAAGCCTTCCGCCTCAGCCTCCTAAGTAGCTGAGACTGCTGGTGTGAACTACCATGCTCAGCTCCACAGGGGCCATTTTCACTCTCTCCTCCTCCTCAGTCATTTTTGGGCCATTTGAGAATCAAGGGTACCTCCTGAAAGTCTCTTAACATCAGCATCAGGCAGTTGGATGAGCATCTTTTTATCCCATTCAAGGGAGGCTCACAGCTGCCCCTAAAGAAATTGTCCCAAAGACAAACTTTGGCTAGGGAAATTCGATGCTTCAAGCAGATGTGTAAGTTAAGTGGGAGTGTGTTGCTTTTTGTTAATGTGTTAAGTAATGTGAAGATTGTAAAGTATACTGTTTTCATTAAAAAAAAGTCACCGAGTAATTAGCTAATGGAAGCCTCTCATCTTGCTCACATGTATTAATAATACAGTTTTGCTTTTGTTTCATAAAGCAGATTGTGGATCACATCATTGCCTAATTTGACTAAAGAAGGAGTGAAGAAATTATTTGATTCCACTTTAGAGACTCTTCCAATGAAGGTATTTGGGAAATTGATCATTGTGCTGTAGCAAATATTTGCGTTAAAAAGGGGCGGTTCCCCCCCTCCCCCGGGATGTTTCTCACCCCTGTTCAAATTTCTTAGCATAAGTCTTTTCCTTTTTGAGGGAGCCTGGGATCTCTTTTGTTAACAACAGACACTTCATCTCATCTGCCTTCCCATCTGCCACCTGTATACAGACGTGGAAGGCTCCCTTTGGTGGGCTTATAGTGCTCCTTCCCCCAGAGTTCTGAGATGGAGAAAGATTTAACATGTACGCCACTTAATCCACAACACAGCACTTTATTATGGAATGTGTGTGCCTTGGTATAAGGATTTCTGAAATTAAGACAATTTACAGGTATTTAGTGGGTTATAAATGTCAATGTCAGAATTATACTTTAGTCACGTTAGTAATGGTGACTCCTTCCGGCCCAGTGGATTTAAATCTTCTTCTGCCGAGTTTCCTCTTCAATCAGACTTTCCTGAAAAATATATAACAAATATATCAAGGCTGACTTTACCAGCTAAATTTAATTACATTTTTAACATTTTAATTTCCAAAATATCAGTCTAGAAGGAATTGGTCTGTTTGATTTTTACTCTAGTTAGTGCTAGGGAGACACAATAAGTTCTTTGTTTGTTTGTTTGTTTGTTTGTTTGTTTGAGATAGAGTTTCGTTCTATCACTCTGTCGCACCGGCTGGAGTGATCTCAGTTCATTGCAACCTCCCCGTTCCAGGTTCAAATGATTCTCGTGCCTCAGCCTCTCTGGTAGTTGGGATTACAAGCATGTACCACCACATCTGGTTAATTTTTATATTTTATTAGAGACAGGGTTTCGCCATGTTGGCCAGGCTGGTCTTGAACTCCTGGCTTCAGGTGATCAGCCCACCTCAGCTTCCCAAAGTGCTGGGATTACAGGCATGAGCCACTGTGCCCAGTTGAATGGGTCTTTTTAAGCTACTTAATATTCATAAAATCTACATTAATAGTTTAAGGATGAGCTGTGAGGAAGGAAGTGAAAAAATAGTCTGGTCAATTACTTGGCTATTAAACCAGCCTTTGCTTCAATTTCTTCATAATATCATGTTTGGCAAATTTCACTGCTTGCTATTTTTGTAATGCGATAAGCAAGATTAGAAAAAGGAAATAAACATGTCAGCCCACTTTTTTCTTTGTCTTGTGGCATATTAAGTTGAAGTCACTGGAGACAATTAAAATTATAGCTTATTTTTATATATGACTTTTTTGGGCTTTCCCAGCTCCTAGGCATTAACTGTAATGCCTTCTGATTGCTGCAAGTAAGTGGACAGTAGAGCTCAGACAATATCAACATTGAATCCAAGATTCAACTTAAGTCAGGCAGTGTGGCTCGCACCTTTAATCCCAGCACTTTGGGAGGGTCACTTGAGGCTGGGAGTTCGAGACCAGCCTGGGCAACATAGACCCTGTCTCTACAAAAAATTAAAAAATGAAATCAGTTGGGTGTGGTGGCAAGTGCTTATAGTCCCAGCTACTAGGGAGACGGAGGCAGTCTCGAGAACTGCTTGAGCCTGGGAGGTTGAGGCTGTGGTGAGCATTGAGTGCACCATTGCACTCTAGCTGGGGCAACAGAACAAGATCCTGTCTCAACAAATAATTTTTTAAAAAGATTCAATTTATACATCCAATTCTCTTTATATTTTTTCATCAAAACCTTAATATGATTAGTGTATTTCCATTTGGGGTGGAGGGGATTTGGAGGTAGTTATAGTCCTATCATAAAACATTGGCATTTTTCATTCCAAAGGAGGAAAAAACCCATCTAGATCAGCGTTTCTCATGTCTGTATTCCCTAGGGTTCTGGAAACCCATGTAATATAAAGTACAGTTGCACGATCAGGTAGAGGGCTGTGGAGTGGCCTGGAGAGTAGTCGTCTAGGGTGTTTGGTGATTATACTTGGAGAACTGAAATCCAGCAGCGGGAAGAAATTTGTTTTGTTGGTTATCCCAAAGGCTAGAGCCAGGATTAACGGATACAATTTATAGAGAGATTTCAATTCAACTTCAGAAAAGAAAACAAAAACGTTTCAGCCCCCAGTGTTGTCTTACGGACTGGGATTGCCATGAAATACAGTCCTACCACAGGAGTTATCACAGGAGTCAAGAACATAAGCCCGGCAGTGGCTGGGAGGTGGCTGTCCTAAGTGATCCCTGAGGGCCAATCTACCTCTAAAGCTCTATGTTATGATCACTTGAGCTTACCAGAGCTCCTTTCAGGTCCCGAGGGGGAAAACGTGGCTGGTGCACGGTGCATTCGAAGTGTTGGGTTTCTTCCAGTTGACCAACCTCTTTGACTATCTGAAGAAAGAGAATGTAATTCTTTGAGATGTAGATAAGGAAATGAAATGATGTTTTCTGTTTCCACCAAAAAATTGTGGAGAGTGGGGTCAAGGGGGCTGTGGGGCTGAGGGGGACTGGGAAAGTTGTAAGATTAGCATAGGGACTTTAAGCACACAGATCTGCCATCTGCTATTTCTGCAAAATGGCATGGGGATCTGGACATAACGGTGACAGTAAGAAGAGATCATATTTTCCTCTTAGAGATGATAAGGTGCTTTGAGTCTTAGGAGAAACAAGAGAGACCAAAAACAAAAAACCGCTAGAGAGTTTACAGTTGTAAAAAGGGTTGGTTTTTATTTTCTAGGTTTTACTAAACATGCTGTAGTTAAATGAGATTTGTTTCATGTATAACCTGCAGAAAAGAGGCTTCAGATTCTGGGGCTTCTTTAATACTAAATTATATTTATTATTTCTCAAAAAACAGGTATTTCTTTCCAATGATAATGAAATGATTTAAAAATTTTCTCATTCTTAGCCCTGGGTTATTTTTTGGGCTAATCAGCTAACAAAGATGGCTTCTCTCCCTCCATGACCCTGAGAGGTTATATTTTATAAATAAAAAACCTTCCAGCACTTTGGGAGGCAAAGGTGGGAGGATCCGTTGAACCCAGGAGTTTGAAACCAGCCTGGGCAGCATAGGGAAACTCTATCTCTATAAAAAAATTTAAAAATTAGTTGGGCGTGATAGTACATGCCTGTGGTCCCAGCTGTGCAGAAGGCTGAGGTGGGAGGATCACTCGAGCTCAAGAGGTCAAGGCTGCAGTGAGCTGTGATTGTGCCACTTAACTCCAGCCTAGGTAACACAGCAAGACCCTGTCTCAGAAAACAACCGCAAAAAACAAAAAAGCAAGGACCACATGTTAGTGTTTGTGCCGTTCTATAATCTAAGCTACATGATATTAAATCCAGCATGTCTTCCACTGTACTATTTTATCATCTTGAGTTTGCTAATTCCTGTATTCTACTAGTCTCCAACTTTGCTTAAATGCCCCATCAGTGAAGTGAAATTATAGGGTGTGCATCCTTGATAAGGATGCTCATTTATAAATTATGCCAATCTACTGACCTAATATCATAGATATTTTTAAAAGATGAAATGAGAAAAAAAAAAATTAGTTCTTTTTTTTTTTCCAAATCCCAATGAATCATCTTCTGATACAGCCCTTGACCCTATCTGATCATTTCTAATTCCTTTAGGAATTCCATACACTCAGAGTATGACGCACTATCTCATACTTGTTGCTATTCTTTTGGAATTTTTCTGGCCCTTTTGTTTCTTCAGTCTGTTTGAATTGAAAGTAGGAATAAGACTTCTACTTTGTAAGCACCTTATCTCACCTGGAGTATCTAGGGTACAACATCATAGAACGTTGCCATTGGGGCTCATCCTGAATGTTTAATATAGTTAAATTGAATCAAATAGCTGTGTCTTATTCTGAAGCTGAGAGAAACTTACCTCTTGGAAAGAATCAATAAAATTTTCGGCATCTCTCTTTCCTCCGGGGCGCAGTCCATAGGACCAGTGCTGGCTGGAGCAGCCCGCCACACACAAAGTCAGCAGAATGAGGCCAGCTAGGAGTTTTGGAATCAGCTCCATTCTAAGGCACATGAATGCACAATCAAATTAGATCCACACAAGGTTGAGTAGAAACTAAAGACCTCTTCTGTGAAACGGCTAGCATCTCTATCATTAACCCTGTAGAGGACAAAGTCAGAGTCCGTTTTTACACACAGACTGAAACTCAGTCTCAAGAAACTCAAGAGTCTCAAGAAACTCAGAAACTCAAGGCAACACCTGCTGGTTTGCCTTGAGTTTCTTAGCCACTGGGGACAAAATTAGTACTTTAAGCTGACGTGTTCAGGACTTTTTAGTGCTAAAACAGGCTATACTTTTATTGTTTGGTTATCCAAACCCCGTAATTCATCCCTTATCCAATTCACCATTTTTGGCTTAACATTCCCCCTGCTGTGGATTGGTCTTCAACTCTTTCATTGCTGAGATAAAGGGAACTGAGCCATCTGTTAAGAAAAGTAGCTTCTACTAGGAATCTCTGGCTAGTATAAAGATGCTTGACATTAAATGGCTACCCCATGGTACTAATGACATTTTTCTGTTTATCCTTCAGTCTTCCTAGCATTACAGCTGGCTGGACCATCTGTAGGAGAGAGGACTGAACAGTAGTCCCAGACCAGATGCCTTCCTAGCCAAGTGGACCTGAAATTATCTAACGAAATGTGTCTCCAAGTTAATTTTCATTTGATGGCAAAAGAGGCTAAAGACTAAAGCAAATACTGGTCGATAAGCTGTGGGATCCCCCAAAGGCTGGATCTCTGTGACTGGTGATGGCAAGGACAGTGAAGGACAGAACTTCCATTAGATAATGTCACACCTGGATCTAGCCTTTGGGCCGTCAAATGCCCTGTAGACATACAATAGCATGCAATCTAAAAAAGAAAAACTCGTGCTAGAAATAATACAAAGACTGTTACCTGTTTAGAGGCAGAGAGCTTCTTAGAGGCAAAAACCCTTCAAGATCCCCTTGAAGTATGTTGAGTACTGTGACTTTTCTAATTTCCTATCTTCCTTTTTATAGGGAACTTTTCCAGGACATTTGAAATCTTTCCTGCTGGTAAATTATACTGCACGTGGACTATGCTTTCTTTTTAATGGTAATTTTTTCAAATCCTCACATAAAGCCCTTTAATGGTGTATGTAATTGGAACACCCCCTGGTGTATCTGTTAAATTTACTTAAGTGCAGCCATTAAAACCTCTGCTAAAACTTTTATAGCTGAGGCCACAATTCAAAGAGATTAAAATCCAGCTAGGTTGGATTCCCTTGAGGAAACCAGCAGACCTATCAAGAGTTCAAAGAAAATAGATGTCTTAGATTAAGTGAAGTCAAATGCATACATAAATTCCACAAAGGAGGCTATGCAATCAATAGGGGATATTGAGTCAGGATGTCTGAAAGCTTCTGGCTCTTGGATTCTTCATTTGTAAAAGGAAGGATGTAGACTAGATGGACTAGATGATCAGAGTTGCTTCCAGTTTTAAAAATCAGATGTTTAAATAAGTGATTATTGACAGTACATACCAAGTTCATGTAGGATCCTAAATCAGATAATATGTGTTTGAAAATTCCTCATCTACTCATCACGTTCCCGGCTTACTTTGAAAGCCTTGTAAAGCATCAAAAAGGCAAGAAACATATACCAAGAGCAAGACCATATTGAGCATACTTACATCAACAGATCAGTTCATTCAGTAGATGCTTATTGAGTTAAATATGCAAACCACTGTTAAGAGAAGTGGGAACAGAAAGATGAGAAATTATAGTTATTTAATATATAGCCCATGTATAAGAGCGCTCATTACAACAGCCCTGCAAAATGGATATCATTATCAAAATTTTATAGCTGTTCCAGCCTAGAGATGCAACCTTGAGGGGACACACACACACACACACACACACACACACACACACAGAACCATTACTCTTAATTACATTTATTTGAATACCTTGTTGTCTTCTCCTAATTTAACCCTAGGCTGAAACCTATAATAGTCAAAGATCCCATCTTATTTAAATGTCTCTTAATAAGCCCCTGGCATTTAGTCAGTATTCAGTAAGCATAGGTTTGAATGAATGAATGAATGGCAAAAACCTTTTAACCAGATAAGGCCTAATGCTGTCTCTATTTCTGCATCAAAGATATGCTTTATCTGACACAGAATTAAACTTTCATGTACAATTGGCTGTAAATCCTATTATATTAGCTAAGTTGTAAGATGGCTAAAAAAAAAAAATAATACTAACTGGATATTTGTTCATTTTACAGCTGGGATTGGCCGTTTCCCCGCAAGTAGGATGCTAAACCCTATCAGTCAATGCCCAGTGTCCTCTGGAATAATTACATTTGCAGGGATTTCAGAGTAATGAGAAATGGTGTCTTACCTTAGTTTACCCTTGCTTTGTCCAGCCATCTCTGTGGAGGCTGTCCAGTCCTCGTAAGAGGATAGAGAAGGGGATACACTTTAAAGTATAATTGCAAATAGAGGATAATTTAAAAATAAAACATTAAGTATTGGACTTTGTTCCATGCAAATTATTTCATTTAGCCATTGACTCATATAGGTGCCATTCTGACATGAAGATTGGAATCTCTTCTCACTACAAGATACAACTAGGGACAGACTATTTTTCAACAAGAGTTCATTATTGTTGAATAGTGCTAGTTTAAATTGTCCAATTGATTTGTGTTTGCTGAGAGATGTGCACCTAAGTATTGCTTAAACAGAAAATGTGGTCTCTGGATAGGACTAATAAAATGGGAGTTAAGACTTGTGATGCCTATTGTCAGGTGAATCACTTATCCCTGGGTAAGTAGGCCTCATTGGATTTCGTGTAGGTTATTTCTATCAGTTAGCATTAAATTTTTGACAAGTGCTTTGAAATTATTAAGATGAACACAACAACATTGTATTAGTCAGTGTACTCTAGAAGGACAGAACTGATCTTTGTCTCTTTTTCTGTCTATGATATATATATATATATATATATATATATGACTATATATATCACATACACATATATATATACACACACACATATATATATAGGGGAGTTTAAGTATTAACTCACACGATCACAAGGTCCTACAGTAGGCCATCTCCAAGCTGAGAAGCAAGGAAAGCCAGTCTGAATCCCAAAGCTGAAGAACTTGGAGTCTGACGTTCAAGGGCAGGAAGCATCCAGCACAAGAGAAAGATGTAGGCTGGGAGGCTAGGCCAGTCTAGCCTTTTCATGTTTTTCTGCCTGCTTTATATCTGCTGGCACCTGATTAGATGGTACCTACTCAGATTAAGGGTGGGTCTGCCTTCCCCAGCCCACTGACTCAAATGTTAATCTCCTTTGGCAACACTCTCACAGACACACCCAGAATCAATACTTTGCATGCTTCAATCCAAGTTGACAGTATTAACCATTACGAACGTGGTCTATGAATTCATTATTTAATGAATATTTATGCTGTACGTCCTTAAAGTCTCCATTAGCATTGTCTTAGGTCACACAGATCTCAAGGCAAGAGTCAACTTTGTTTTGTCTTACTTTCTATAGCACCAAATAGGTTATCAAACAACTATGCAATTAATGAGTTTTTGATATTGAATGACAAACTTTAAACCATTTAAGGATTCTATGGTGAGGCCAATTTACCAAAAAGTTAAATATAATTGGGTTTAAATAATTAGATTTTATAGTTGTCATATTTTTTCTAAATTTGAAAGAATGGCTTTAGAGAAAAAACTGCTTCATCAATATCAAAACACCTAAAAATTATGACGATGATTTCATAATCTCACTGAAATAACAGAAATGAAATATATTTTCTTGCCCTAATGTAGAATCTCAGCAGGAAGCACTCAAGGTTAATTCCTGCTGACATGTCTAATCAGGTTGTGAAAGTGTTGCAGAGAATTAATCCTTGGATAAGGTGCTTTATACTGAAATAATGTAACTACTTTTCTTTGTAGTAAGGAACCTTTTAATCTTAAAGGTACTTCTTCCTTGGGGACTTAATGCAATTCCAAGTTTTTTTTCATATATTAAAGATGATTTAAAGATGATATAGGCCAGCTTTACAGTACACACAAGAGTCATAAAGAGAAAATATTCCAAGTTTGATTTATAATTGAACTCTTCATAAGAATATTGAATTTATAAGATTTTCTACTAAAATTTCCTTTAGACTGCAGTTGAAAGAACTAGACTACAATAGATAGTATTGCTTAGACAGTTACTTGAGTACCAAATTTTGTTAATACAGATAATTTAGCCAGTTTAGTTTAGATTTAAAACCTTTTCCCTGTCATAACAACAACTGTATTTTTACCTATGTGTACAGACATGTTTCATCATTAAGGTTAATGGAAGTTTTACTATTTTGAGTTTCCTCCTTCCTTAAAATTCTCTATCCTAGTTATCAGGCAAAAAATGCTTTGGGGGCATACTATTTATCCAGTGTAATAAAGCTAACTGGTAATATTCATCACCTAAAGAGTGATGAATTTAACACAAACAAATAAATTCTTGGGGAGGCAGTCTTTTGTTCAGAATTCATAAGGTTTGTGTTAGGATGGTGTATTTTAAAAAGAATGATAAAAATAATCATGTTTAAAGAAAGAAATTTAATGGTACTTTCAAAAAGACTAATGCATAACAAATTAAGTTATACTGTATTTCCTTTGCTACCCAGAACCACAGGGCTGGTTGTCAACACATACTGAAGAAATGTAAGCAAAATACAGAAAGTGATGATTTTCAAAAGCAAGAGAAGAAACTCCTTTTCAACACTTTATATTGTTTATTAATGCAGTATACATTAGATCTAAAATCTGCAGTTTCTAAGCACACCATGTTTAGATCTTTCAGATCCTTCTGCAGTTTTAGGTTATTTCTATGGAGGTACCTTTAAGTGAATGAATAACACATTCTATAATTCCTGAAAATATAGTACAGAGTGAAATGATTTAAATATAATTTAGGCACATATTGATTATGAAAATAGATTATCTCTCAATACAATACTTCTCTGTCTTGGTAAAAATAATAAAGCAAAGAAAATAATTCATTTCTGAAGTTGCTTTCCTTCACTTGTAAAGGTCTGATCTCCTCCCACTATGCATATGTACCCTTTACTGTTAAGGAAAGCTTTGCATATGTAGATATAGAAGAATAAGCTACGTAAATACTAAAGATATGTCATTCTCCCAAAGGAGACAAAAGTGGTTTTCAATGATTCCTTGCCTCATGTTGATGAGTCTGTAGAATTCAGAACCCATTTGGACACAGCTAATATCCCTGCTCTTGGGGTAGACGTAAGGACACCAGGTCATTGGTAGGGAGGTACAGGCCCTTCTTCTGCTGCTGCAGAGAGATAATGACTCAAGAGAATTGGGCTAACATTTGTTTAAAAAACAAATAAAAATAAAATAAGTTAAAGAATCACAGGTGCTGACTGATGGTTACATCTTGGACCAGCCAAATGCCTTTATTTTTACTTTAGATGTGTTTTCTGGTGGCTATAATCAAATGTCTGTTTAAAATTCCTCATTCCTCACTATAGGGTTCTAGCTGCAATTATATTAGATTGCCTTTTAACAGGCAACTCTACCATATTCATTCATATTGTATAAGCTTTGATTGCAGTAGATCTGGATTTAGTGTCTATTTCTAAGCTGGCCCTATGTAAATTATTTGGTATTTGAATTAAATCAATGTTAATGATGCACCTTGGTTTTTTGGTTTTGAAGTATCTTCCTATGTTTGTGCTGATTGTATGAGAAAACTAGGTTTACAGTGTAAACAGAATTGCTTGGTCTGGTGTTGAGTGGAATTTGCCTAGAATGAAATTCTCAGAAATGCTCATTTTTAAGTGTTGAAGTGATAGGTAAGTTCTTCCTCCATCTTGGAGTTCCACTGTACCTTTGGAATGAGTGATGTACAACGATGTCTTTCTTTCCACTCTGTCTCAATCAGTAAGAACTGAATATTACTTTCATTTAGCTACTGTTTTGTTCTTAAAAGTAAACATTATAAAAATGAACCTGAAAAGAGTCTTAGGGAGTCTGATCTCACCATATTCATATGGTGTGACAGGTATTTAAAGAGGGAAGGCGTCACTAAAGCTATTTATAAACCTGAACAACTTTTTCAAAGTTTTCGTAAAGTTTTAACAATTTAAATATCCGCACTGCATCTAGGTACTCAATAAATATAATTGCATATGTTGTGCTTTCCATAAAATTAAAGTCCTCAAATGCATCTCAAACCAAGATGGTATTTCCACATCATGCCTATTTAAAAGCAAATATAATAGATACTATTCCTGGTCATAAAACCAGGTAAAACCCCCTACCGCATTCAAAAGGCAGCAATATCTAGTTTCCCTACATCTATTAAATGAGTGCTTTTCTGTTAAAAATCAGAATATGGAAAAAAGTCAATTTTTTTCCCTTATGCACCGCTGAGAACAAGCGTAATCCTCTAAATGTTTTTTTTTAAATTTCCTTACAGTGTTATTTCTTCTAGACAACTGAGTGGGTGGAGAAAGAAAAGTGGTAAGGAAAACATTTTCATCTTGTACATCTTCCTCCAGCCCCTAAAATTCTCATCTGACACTTTGTGACATGTGTAATGGTGTCAGCATCTCTTCAAATATAGCTCCCT